TCGTCAATCAACGGTGGCCGCCGCCTACAGTAGACTAAACTAGTTTACTAGTTACATAGATCGCTCGGAGGACTTTGCTCCGTCAGACACGGGCGGAGCTGACTCCGTACTCACCTGTGCATGTATGTATAGAACGTTGCTAGACTTTTCGATGGAAAACTCATAAACCTTGAAAGGCACAAATTCAATTGCTTGCTGAGTTCCTTATTTTTTGGGGTATTCGGGGATATTATTCGGAGGGGACCTGCCTAGGTAGGGGATGTAGGTTTACCGTTTTTTGGTTGGCGGGACGCTTATTGGCGGGTTAGGTTTACTGTCTCTGGGATCTGAGACTTCTACTGTGTAAAAGTCTTTTTGGCTTTGGGGACGGAGTAATCACGGAGAAACTTGTCCTATTCTAGTATTTCTTTTCTTTCTTATTTTCTTTTTTATTTTTTGGTTACTGTGTTGGTGGTTGCCTTTGGGTTATATGGTAGAACGTGTGTGCTTCGTGTAGGTATAGTATTAGGAACTATGGGCCATCGCCTCTTCTATTTTCTATTATATCTAATCATTAACGGAATCCAAAGAGACCTACCTGGTTACTTTGTCATGTACATTTTGTTATATTCTAATCTGAATTTAATTTCTCTTGTAATATAATTGAGCCTTCTGTAATAGAATTACACGTCTCTGTTTTCAAGTCGCTTTTCGTTACATGTATTTGGGGAGAAGGACAACAACTGCCCCAAATGAAATCGAATATGCATCACATGACCCTAATAATCACGATATCTTCTTACCCAAATGATAAGTTAGATGATGCGTAGGGAGTTTGTCTCTGATATATTATGGCATTCAGGCATCAATCATGCCAAACTCATGATGTTACTGTGATGCTCTATCTCTGGTAAATGGCTCGGCAGTTCCTTTCTGCTTATGTATTCTGTATATTTAAAGCCGTGAATTCCTTGTTCTTAGGCTACCTGAGTGGATATTCTATGATTTAATCGACATATCGCTCCTAGAGTAGATGATCTTAGAACTCTGGGCCTTGCTCTTGGTGATATGTCGACTGACCCTGCCTTCATATGATCTTCTCCATAAATGCCAGTCCCAATATGTTCTGTTCCGAGGTTCATGCGGACATGCATAGAGTAGGGCTCGGTACTGCTTCATGTAACTCGAAGGAGTGTGGCATTAGCGGGGAAATGGAAAGGAATGCAACAGCTTTATCCACTCGATTAGGTTTAAGTTTGGTTGAAGCAATCCGTGTAACACATATCAAATTAGTAGTATAGCAATGATTAGGGCTGATTCTCCTGAAACAATTGCGTCTGTCTATAAACCCAATATCGAGATGCACCGAACTCTAGATCACCATTGCAGTATGACGACCATTGCTCAGCTGAAAATAGTGAATTGGAGATACGAAGTAACGTATGTAGCGGCTCCTTGTCTACCAGAAGAGGTATCATTCCATTTAGACAGGCAGTCTAAGCTTCAAGTTCTTTAACCATACTAAGCACGACACCCTCTATCGGAACAAGCTTATACAAGAGGTACATCACCAATGACATAGACAATGACGGGTAGACAAGGGAAAGCTTATATCGATCTCGAAAACACCCGCCTTCAGTCGGTATATAGCGGATAAATTACCCCCCTACCGCTGGCAACCAATACAGTCCTAATTGAAGGAACCTTGATCTGCCTCATTCTCCAATTGGAACGCAGCCATGCCCTCGTATCCTGTTCTAGTGCAGACGCCAGAAGTTTCCTGATCTGAACTTCCCTCGATAACGCAGATCTGGACAATAGCTTCGGTCCTTGGTTTTGTGAGATGCCGGGAAGAGGTCCAATCATTATCCACTTAGCGTTGCATGTGGAAGATTTGCCTCTAGCCTACGCTCGATCGGTCTACAGTCTCATGATATTAGTAAAGTTATTGAGAACGCCTGTGACTTTTCTTGGACAGGGATTTTTTGGAGTGAATCCCCGTGGGTACTCGAGGTGACCCATTAGGGTTTGAACGTTGCAGAGCCAAAAGCCGATAGCCTCACGATGACGCCAAAAATCAAGGACCTGCTTGAAGATTGAGGCACAACCTAAATACTTCCATGGAAGGGGAATGAGAGGAACAGTTCCTGATAATTTTCGTGTGGTGGATCGAGGTTGCATCCCGGGGCTCTTCGGCCTCTGACTCGTGCGTTGGGACTGCCAGCGGCCCGAGTTAAGAGATTGAAAATCACGGCGGAGTTTTTGCTGCGTTCAGCTCGTGAGGGGGTTGCGGGGAGGAAAGGAGGAGAAACCCGGTTCTGGTGGGTCAAATCTGGCGGGGAAATGTTGGAGAGCGGAAGAGAGCGGAAAAGAGAAACGCCATCTCTCTGTTTCCTCGTGCGTTCCCGGTTTGAGAGCACTTAAGGGTTGAGGGTTTCAAATAAGTAATTCTTATTTACTCAACGGCTTGATTGTAGGTTTGTGGCTGCTCTTTTTCGTAGTGAATTCTTTGGCGGAAACTTTAGCAGTTTGGAGGGTTGCCGGGAAGTATAATAAAGTGGTTTGCGTGAAGGATCTAGATCGGCGTATTCTCGATGCGTATTCTCGTTCCGGTTTGGAGTCGTATCGGAACTGGGGATTACATACAGGGTACTTATGATGTACGCGAGAGTGTATCTGCGAGTACTTTGTTTCTGCTTCCACTAACCTATTAGTTTATGTTAGGTCTGTTGTTTTTTGAGGCAACGGCAGCTCCGACGTATTGTACTATAATGGACACTGCTAATTATCCCAAGACAACATGGGCCAGGGTGATGACTGCACTTTGAAAATATTCGGCCAAAATTCCACTGCAGGTGCAGACCGGAGCTGCCGATACCCAGATGCATGTCATGGTGAGATGCATACTGCTATCAGTAAACAATTGTGAAATCCTGATCCTACTCTATGTGGCTGGCATGTAGCTGAGAAAATAGAGGTCTAACCGTCGGATACGTTGAAGGCCGATCTAGGATAGGTTTCGTCTATAACAATCAGGTTGACCTGCTTTGGGACGGTGGAAACACTCAACCATTCCCAACAAGGTGTCCACGGTTGTTCAAGTCATACATATTCTCCCAACGTGTAGTATTCACGCTGCTAAGGAAAACTTATCTGGCTTTGTGTTCGGCATCTATTGGTGTCCCCAAGGGCTTGTTGGATCTTGTGAAACTCATACTGTAAAATAATGGCGTTAGTCTGTAGTCCACTAAAGGCTCTGGGCAATTCGTTCAAAATAATCGTAGGGAGATAAGCTTGCCGAATGTTTGTACTGTACGACTCGGCAACGTCATGTAGTCATGAGTCAGGCATTATAAATTCCCAAGGGTTCTTCTGGAGACCTGAAGAACCCCTGATATTTGGCCCTGCCGGTGATATCATGAGGCGCCGATCGACTCTCAGATTGACATCTAGACCATGCCAGTGACAACAGAAAAATCTGCATTACATCTGACAGTTAAATGATCCAATTATAGAAGAACTGGTTTATGCCGTCATTGACCGCGCCGTATCACGTGGCGACGAGGTACACACAGCAGTACAAGCGATGTGATCACTCTGCCCAATCTGCTACCCATATCTTGATTCAAACCAAACCAAAACAAAGAAAAGTACCGGTTTTTGTTAGCAAGCGGCCATCATTTCCAGCCCAGTCTCTTACTAACTTCGCCTCGACCGGTTCGCCTGTTTTCCATTTCCCATTCAGCAGATGCAGGTCAGGGAACTGGCCTTGTCGCTTGCGTTGGTCGTTCAATATCATTGGGCAGGACCTGAGCACTGTCGATCTCAAGGTCACCAGGTCTATGAGTTGGCAATTTCATCACACTTCGAATTCTTCCCCTGCTCCAGGACCCGGGATAATCCACTGACAAGTCACCCGTGTCTCTTAGTAAAGCTCGTTTTGTTGCTTAACGGAAATGCCGCCGATCGATGCAGTTGACGGCAGGTAAGGACTCCAGCAGCGTACCACCCTCGCATGATCCCCGGCTTTCGACCTTACATGGAGCGCCTTACAGTGGGCATGGCTGACGGCTTCAACAGGTCCTGACCCCACCTGGCGAACGGGACGCTTGACGCTCAGTCGACCGTAGAATCGTATTCGAAGGTCAGATCACTCCACCAGGTCCACCACGGTGCCACGAACCTCACCCCGTAATGGCTGGCACTTCATCTATGGGGCATATTTTCTGTACTCCGTATTCTAGACCCCGGTCCATGTCGATCAGCGCCTCAAAACTGGTGATGGTGTGCTATGATTGTTCCGGATGCTTGCACGCGCAGAGGTTTTGCTTTTTTTTTCTTCATTCCCCCTGAAACTGACCCAACGGCCCGTAAATTTTCTTGATCACACGCTCACCATTATCCTTATTCTGACATTAATCAATATCCGCTGCTGAGTTGGCAAACCCTCAGCCTCAGCATGTTGCTTGCGCCACCGATCAATGACCCGTGGGACAGCATATCCCGCTTACTCAACTGTCAAATAGGTAACTATGTATTCCCCTTGTTATACGTATTCCAATCCTGCTATAGGTGTTGAGCTCTGTATTACCCTCCATGGTAGACTAAAAGCTGGTATCTTACATACGCGGTTTACTGGTTACGCCGATTTGGTATCGACGCAGGTACTTACTCTCTTGGGATTTTGCTACCATCCAACTCGGCGGCTCCTGTCTTTCACGCATTCAGAAATAGCCATGTGACAATACGATCTCTTCTTGTCGTAATCTCCCATTATTGACTGCTCTTGCTGACATTTCTACTGGGGTACTTAGTCACCATGCCGTGGACATAATATTATTAATAACATCTAATGCTAACATTATACATATCCTTTCTAGGGTGCAATATCAACTATGGTTGACTCGAGATGGTCGACCTCACGAAGATGGCCATGTTACACAGCGATAAAAAACAAAGCGACGACAGCGACTGCATTACTCGAACATATGGGCTTCGCAAAGGAAGATTTTGATCAAGGCTCATGACTTTTCCGGGAATCGTCGCTCCCAACCAATAATCGCTGGTTTCGAGGGACCGGAGAACATGGACGAGTAGTCTGTGGCAGGAACACCTTTCTTGCCATCTACATTGAACAGCTTCATATGACGCGCCATTGTCGCCACGATTACTCCCAGGTTAACATAGGCAAACTTCTCTCCAATGCAGCGATGGCGGCCAGCGCCAAAGGGCAGATAAGGACTGGATGTTCCTTTGGACACGGTGCCATAGCCGTAGTCGACCATGTCCTCTTCATCCTCCTTCTCAGCTCGGTTCTCCCAGCGATGGGGATCCCAGCGGCTTGCATTGGGGAAGTACTCATCACTAAGAGCGGTCACGCCGGGAGATGCTAGCAGAACGTGGTCTGCGGGGACGACGTAGGGTGTGCCAGGAACCGGCATCGGGTTCTTGACCTTGCGCATGAGAGAGTGAATGGAAAGGTGCAAACGCAGAGTTTCCTTGATGAGATTCTGATGAAGGGGCAAAAGATCCAGATCACGGTACTGCAGCGGCGGAAGGGTACTTCCATCCGGGCTGAGCTTCGTGATTTGCTCCTGATAGAGCTCTTCCAAGACCGCGGGCTCAGAGGCTAGTCGTAGCATGATCCAAGAGCTGATAGATGACGATGAGTGTTGACCTGCCATTAGTAAAGTGATCATCATATGGGCGATTTCTTTGTCTGGCACAGGCTGTCCATTCTTATAGGTACAATGCATGAGGTTCCAGATCATGTCGGAAGTCTCCCGGTCCGGGCTCTTGCGGCGCTCGTTGATAATGTCCATATAGATCTCCCTCATGCGCACATGGGCAGCATCTCGCTTCCGGTTACGCGGCAGCGGTGCCCACGGAAGCATGAAGTTGATAGGAGTGAACCCCCGGTCAAGGTCATGATACAAATCTGCGAACTCCGCAGTAAGCTTTTTGCGAACCTCCTCGCCTTGCAGTGCCCGACCGGCAGTGAAGATAGTGATTTCAGCCATGGCACCCGTGATTTCCACCCGGCCGGATGTCCCCTTGAAGTTGGGTGATGTTTTGAGATAATCAAGAACTTCTTTTTCAATCAGTGGTACATGCGACTCCAGTGCAGCCTGAGTGAGGCCAAATTTGATGAATTTCTTCTGCTCCATAAGCTTTGAATTCGGGCAATCATACACAATGTCGGAACCAAAGACCGGCGTGGTGAGCGGGCTATAGATCTCCTCGGCATTGACATCCTTCAGTTTGCCATTGAGAATGAATTCGTTGCCTTGAATGCCCAGGTATACTGTGATCTTTCGACCCAGTAATATGAAGGTAAAGATGTCGCCATACTGCCAACTGTGTTAGCAGCGGGCTCCATACAGAATTGCGGAATAAACATCACGGCGGCCGACTAACCTTTTGTCTACAAGAAAAGAAAAATGCATAAGGGTCCATCCCATAAGTAACGGTACTGCCCAAGAAAGGGATCCAGTGGAAAACAAGAGGTGGATCAGTCTTATTACGAAAGAGAAGCTGGCGCAAGACATTTAGGATGATGATTGCCAGCACGCCAACAGCCGCGTAGGCGCTGACGAGAGTGAAGGATGCCATGCTGCGAGGAGAAGATCGCGAAGACAGGGAAGAATAGGAAAACGAGTGTGAGGAGCCAGAAGAATACCGACCATAATATGGAAATTAGATAGGCCATTTGGATCTACCTTTCAATGTGTATGCCTAATCTGGATGGAACCCTAACCCGTAACCATGAGGAGTCAAGGATAGCCAGACCATTACTAAACAGAAGCACTGCCCCTTTAGCAATCGGAACAACCCCAATTCTGCTGACACCACCCGGATATGCAATGCGAGGTACCTGATAGTGGACCCCATATTGGAGTACTTGGCATCGGCGGGTGGGTTGGCATCCGAATCGGACCACTCCAGATGCCCTAATTGATCAGCAGCCCCTTGCAGCTCTAACGACAGAGAAACCCAGCCCCGGTGAATGTATACATAATAATATGTACGGAATACACGGCAATGGTTTAATTTGAAAACGTACGGAGTAGTTTTCATTTCTTTCGAGAGTTGCTATATTCACTAGGTTGTTTTTTGTCCTGGTCAAATCTTCAGGTCCCAAAGCCTGGAAGTTTGCAAGGTACTGCGTCGACCGCTGTCTGTGTATTGGGCCATAAAGCTGGGACTGTCATACATTGTGTCGTTGGTAAAGTGCTGACATGTGCTGCTTCATGAAGCTTGCTGTGGATATAGTGGCTAAGATTGAGCGCCTTGTCTCTCCTCTGTTCAGACTGCTCTTGACCCACAGGGACTGGAAGAACTATACACTGAAGAATGTCCTAGATAATATTTCCGTATATTAATTCTGCAAGACTGGCTTGGCTGAGGAGATAGCTATTCAGATGCAAAAAAGCATCCAGTACTGATCACCCGTCGAGTAATGAACTACGATGCCTTTGCCTATAGAAAAGAGATTCTCTGATAATCGTTCATGTGGGCCTTCACATGAAGATCGTACACAGCTATGCTGACTCTCTCAATGACCGAGAACATAAACCTACTGCAGCTGCTGGGCATTCAAGTTCAGAAATGTATAGAGTGTATGGTTTTGTTTCCTGGTACATTACGGCACATGCATATTCTAAAATCGTAGTTAATTTCTTCCTGCATAGTATATCTTTCCACTCACCATGGGACGATTCCTGTCAGCCCATGCTTTTACTTCTAGAACTACATTATCGATACTTAGGGGGAAAATGTATTCTAGACAGGAAACGATGGTTAGATACGTCTTGAGATAGCGGCTGAAGACCCCTGTAGCATTGGACGGAATCTCCACCTAGAAGCTAACGACATATTTTGTTCTAGAGTTGGCACCATTCTTCGTAATACTGGTGGCTTGATACGTTTGAGGTATCTAGAATGTAGACGGAAAGTGGCGTGATTCGGTGGATAGGTTGATGATAGTAGGAATCAAATAAGATATCATGGCGCACCTTATGTTCAGCGGACTCTACAATAGGTGAAAGGCTAAAATATTCAATTGGAACCTATCTTGGAGATCCTAACTGGAGGCGAAAAAAGAATTCAGGGACGGGTTCTGTCAGGTTGCCGACCAGGCTAAAAATAGAGTAACTTTGAATAATAGTCAATCATTCCTTGGAATAGGAGATGCACCACATCTAAAGAATTACAGTCCCAGTGCCGTGGAAACTCGACGGGGTTTAATTGAGAACAGGAGTTCCTGACCTGGGACTAGTTCGTATCTGCAGCCCCATGTGGCGCTTGGACCTTGAGTCATTTGCACTGAATCATCGGGAGTCACGAAGAGTCATTGTGGCGCTTCTCCGTTTCAGGACTAGCGCGTGAGGCCGACCTTCAGCGGCAAACGTCTGATGACTAAGCCCGTATGGCTTCCTTTCACAAACTATCAATCTAGTAGTCGGGTTATATTGCTATTTATCCAGACGTATTGTCCGGGTCTGTAGTTGCTTCAATCTACTGTGCTGTCTTTTTCTGTCATATTTTGACTGGGCACTAGATTTTGAATGAACGACCCTTCATCGGCAGCCAGCAACATGACCAGCACAAGTTCAACAGCTGGCCAGAGGCCCGTCTCGAAAGCCGAAAGCTCAAATCCCCGCGAATTCCAGATAAACCAGCTGAGGAGACGCTTTCGCCCGGCTGAGAGCACGGATGATGTGGGCATAACGCTGACTTTTGGGATGGCCCCTTCGGACCCGGACTTTCCCTTCGAAATGGACAAGCTGCAATGCGTTTTGCATGTGCCTCTATCATATCCTGGTCGTGAGAGACCCACTTTGAAAGTGACCAATTCCGAAATGGGCAGCGCTTTTCAGGATAATGTTGCGCGGGGATTCGATGACATTGTTGACAGCACCCTGAGAAGTGGTGGCCGTGCGACCTTGTTAACCTGGATGAATACGCTAGACCGACACCTTGAGCGTTTACTCACGACTACGGAAAGAGGCCCTACGCTGAAGTTCGTACCAAATGTGGCTGGCAAGCAGAAGCCAGAGAGCATATCGATTGTGGAAGGTGTGAAATCCTTGGCTGTTTCTACCCCAGCGAGTAAGCAAGACATGGAACCAAAGCCGTTGTCTGTGACGGAGGTTCCCTCTCAGGTATACTCTGCAGAGGAGAAATCACAGGCCGAGAAGAGGAGGGCTGTGGAGACTAAGCAAATCGAAGCTCGTCTTGGAAGACTGCCTTTGTTTCAGAAATCCAAAGATGGGCTTTCGTTTGTGATTCCTATACAGCCCCCCAAACCCGACCGGCTACCGATTCCGATCCGTTCTGTGAAAACAGTCAAGCTATCGGTGCCCCGTTTGTACCCACTAGAACAGAGCTCTGTTGAGCTCCAAGGCGTTGATCGTGCAGAAGCGCGGCCTGTCGAAGTGGGGTTTGCGCAGTGGGTTGAAGGAAACTCAAAATTGAACCTGATGTCGCAAATCAATTACCTGACGGCCAACATGCATAACTTCGCCAAAACGCTACTTGAGACTCCTCAGGAGACTGTTATTGATGCGTCACCTGAACCGCATACAGACTCTAAAGCTCATGAAGATAAATCGACGACGATAAATGGCTCGACACTAGAAGACAAACCTCACGTCCATGTCGTTCCACGACCTCCAGAATGGACAGTGGGCGAGCGCAGCAGCGAGAGCGAAGGTACGGACATGACCGAGTCTGAAGATGACTTTACAGGCGAAGATGAAGAAGATGGAGGAGCTCTAGTACCAGCGCTCCCGGAAACCACTGTGGAACGTGGTGTTGCCCTTTCTTTCCCCTTCTTGGAACTATATGGAATTGAGCTTTTAGAGCTTGTCGGCCTCTCAATCACGATTAAATGTGATCGATGCAAGGAGCAGATGGACGTAAAGAACGTCCCCCAGGTCAAGGACAAAGCTGATGCATTGTCTCCTAAAGTTGAGTCATGCAAGAAATGTGCCAATACTATGAGTTTTGGTAAGGATTTCTCGAACAGTACATAATATGAGAGACTAAACTAATCACATTCAACTAGGCTTCCGTCGACAGTTAATGCACCCTAATTCAAACCGCGCCGGGTATCTTGACTTGGATGGCTGTACTATCGCCGATCTTCTTCCTAGCAGCTTCATTCCAGCATGCGCTGAATGTTCAAGCCCCTTCCCTGCACCCGGTGTTGTTGCAGTCCGCGGTGAGAGCGCATCAGCATCATGCCGCCAATGTCATCGCAAGATGGTATTCAAGGTTCCTGAAGTCAAATTCCTCAGGGTAGGATCGGCCGCATTCACTTCTCGCAACCAAGCATTGCCACGAAAGAAGCCAAAGGAAGCTCTTGGCATTGTTGCTGGTCAAGAACTCCCACGTCGTGGTCGCTGTTCACACTATGGCAAAAGCTATCGCTGGTTTCGATTCAGCTGCTGTGCCAAGGTATTTCCTTGCGATAAATGTCACGATGCGGAGACAGACCACCCCAACGAACACGCTAATCGTATGATCTGTGGCTTCTGCTCTAGAGAGCAAATTTACCGGCCTGAAAATTGCGGAGTCTGTCGTGCGGTTCTTATAGGAAAAGCAGGAAGTGGATTCTGGGAAGGCGGGAAAGGCACGAGGAACAAGGTATTGATGAGTCGGAAAGATCCACGGAAGTATAAGCGTCGACCGGGATCAACTCCGGGAGGTTCTTCTTCGAAAAAGAAATATTAAAGGTGTCTACTTGGGTCGTCATATGTGCATCGGATGTTGGGCCATGTCTGGTTCGTCGATACCTTGGTGCACTGGATGGCCTGTGTACATGAAATGAACATAATGTCGCCCAATGAAAATACGATTAGATGCTTCGTATGCTTAGGATTTACTGTAACCATAACTTCAGATAAACAGGCCTTTAAAAACATTAGAAAGTAGCATGTACATACAAGACTCCCACATTCATAGAAACACTTCTTGTTATAGCCATTAGAGACGCTAATCTAACATGCGCAGCAACTTGACAAAAATACACTTGTTGGAAGAGATGTAGGATAGGTATCAAGCAGAGGCAGCAATACAAAGGCATAAGTCATTCACATCATCACACCCACGTCCTAAACAAGATTTCCACGCAGCTCCTGTTCCCGCTCAATCGCCTCGAACAACGACTTGAAGTTTCCAGCTCCGAAACCCTCGAAGTTATGTCTCTGGATAATCTCAATGAAAACAGTGGGGCGATCCATCAAGTGCTATAACCATTAGTACACGACCATTACACAAGAAAGCGGAACTGATCAACATACCTTGGTGAACAACTGCAGAAGATACCCATTCTCATCAAAGTCGATGAGGATATCCAGTTTCTGGATCGTATCGAAGTCTTCGTGAAGGGTCAGGCCGGCCTTCTTCAGTCGGATCTTCACGTCATCGTAGTAAGTGCTGGGGACCTTGATGAATTCCACACCGCGAGCCTTGAGGTTGGTGATGTCCCGGATGATATCGTCGGTCAGGAGAGCGATGTGCTGGACGCCAGCACCGTTGTAGAAGTCGACGTATTCTTCGATCTGAGATTGCTTCTTGCCCTTGGCTGGTTCGTTTATGGGCATCTTGACGATCTCGTTTGGTGAGGCCATCACGATACTCTTCAGAGCAGAGAATTCACTACTCAATTGTTAGTTGATCGTCCCCAAAATCTGACAGGAACAGCTGGACTCACGTGCAGATTTGCTTGTCGTCGACGGACCAGAAACGGTGGAATCCGAGGGCTTTCTCGTAGCTGTGATTGTTTAGCTTTTGGGTATAAAAGACAAACGAAAACAAAGGATAACTCACTATTCGCAAACCTTGTCCATCTCATCCCAGTCCTGGTTTCCAACACAGTGGTCAATGCGGTTGAGATGCACACTGGGCAAGAATTTAGAGACGGGGTCCTCTGCGGTCTCGAGCCGGTAGCCCGGGAGGAAAGCACCGCGGTAGTTGCTCCTCTCAAGCAGTGTATGTGTGGTCTGGCCATAAGTCTGGATTGTAGCTACTCTGACCTCGCCGCTTTCATCCTTCAGCGTCTGCGGGTTCGATACAGCCTTTGCACCGTTGCTTACTGCCGCGTTGAAGACGGCATCGACAGAGTCGACTTCGAACGCAACATCCTTGACGCCGTCGCCGTGCTGCTCTAGGTGGTGGTGGATTTCTCTCAGCTGCTCCTGTTCCTCGCTGGAGAAACGGTCGATCTGGTCGAGGGAACGGAGAGGCGAAGTGAGGATGAAGGTGACGTCTCCGTTGCGGACAACGTGGGAGCAGATGCCTCGGCTGTCGGTTTCGAGACCACGGTAGGCGACGCGCTTGAAGCCCATGCGTGTGATATAGTACGTAGCGGCTTGTTTGGCATTGCCTACGTACCAGTGCACATGGTCGTAGCCTCTGTAGCTGGCGAGGGAGGTTCGGTCTGTGGGAGGGGGGCTGGTGGAGATAGGGGCCATGGCTGTTGTTTTCGTGGTATTGTTTTGCTTTGACTTTGATTCTTTGGTTTATAGTAGTACAGATCTGATAGAGTCTGAGTTGAGCAATATAAATTGAAACTGTCGTTGTGCTGTCTTGATATCAACTACGACGAATGATAATCATCTTAAATACAATTCGACTCCCAGCCGTGGATCGATCACCGGGTATCTTGCTAGCCCACCACTTCATCAAACCAACACCTACATCACCTCTGAATAGTGATGATTTCATTCTTCCCAGTCCTACATTACCCAATTCGGTCAGCGGGATGATGGCAACTTGGGGCTTGCGTCGGCTGTGAGCGGGTGTTGCGTGGAAAGGGCCGGCTGGGCGCGGGTATCTCGAAATAGCCGACGCGCAGATGACCATGGGTAAAACATCCGCCACAATGACGCTGAAGCATATCACGGCTTCAGTCGCTTTAATTGCTGGGACTATACCGTTTCCAATCTTCATAGATATACATAGTCTAGTTGTACATAATATCCACAATATAACACCTGAGACATACAATCCCTTACTCCCTTACATCAATTCCCCCTACTTACACCTACTCACGACCAAAACCAAACTATCCTTTCCACTTCTATACCTCCAATCACACCAACCAAATACCCTCGAATTAATACAACCCCGAAGACAAATGAATATGGCCTCAACAACAATCTCCTCCACAAAACCAAACCTAACAACCAACGACTCAGCCGTTCTACAAGCCCTCTTCGACGCCGAATCCTCGCCCTCAAACGGCATCACAATCAATCCATCTCTACCCCCCTTCCCAACCCACCTAAACATCGACCCCAAGCTCCACGAAACCCTCAAACCCGCGAAGTAGCCATCGTCCGTACCCTGGCATCGCCCAACCCGACCCCCGAGACGATCCAATCCGCCATAAGCCAGCTCTCCACCCTGATAGCAGAACACCCAACCTACCCACCCGCCTACGTGAACAGAGCCCAAGCCCTCCGCATGCTTATATCCACGGACCAAGCGGAAGAAACTGAAACAGAACTCTTCACCCCACAAAACGCAGAGACCGTATCCTCCCTCCTCTCTGATTTGGGCGAGGCGATTGGTCTAGCGACGCCGCGGTCACCGGCGGATCCTGTTTCGGAGGTCCAGGCGCGTTTACTGGCTGATGCGCATACGCACCGCGGGTATTTGTTGCTGAGGTTGGCGAAGGTGAAGAAGAGTGGTGAAGCGTTTGAGGGGCCAGGGAGATGGAGCCAGTTAGATGCGGACAGGTTGGAAGAAATGGCGAGTCGCGACTTCTTCTTTGGGGGTCGGTTTGGGAATAAAGTTGCCCAGCAGTTGGCTGTGCAGACGAATCCTTATGCGAAGATGTGTGGGGCTATTGTAAAGGAAGCATTAAGGAAGGAGGTTGAGGGGTGATGTTTCTTTTTGTCTGTGTTGTGTATGTGCATATGTGTAGCTTTAGCGTCGTGTGTTCAATGTGGATTGGTTTGTTATATGATTTAATATGAACTAGAGTTATTCCGGGTTCAGCTAGGATAGATGAATTCTAGTGACCAGGGTTTACCAAGAGAATGTAGTTCAATTGCTGGCGCAAAAGCCGTCCATGTGGTAGTACTGCACCATGCAACCGCAACACTATGGCGTCGGCCAAATCGAGGAAGTAAATTTAGCCAAGTCGGAGGATTGGCCTTTATGGCTGTGGGTATGAGGCTCCCATGACAGTTTGAATGTGAACAATGGATGCGAATACAATATTAAATCAAGTGTTCCATTTAAGTAGACCAGGTATCAGTGCTAAGTTGCCAATGAATGTTTACAAAATATGCAGTACATCGTTTTCTCATCACAAGTGCAAACCTCAGGCCTTGTTAGGGTTCTTGAAGTGCCTCTTCAATGGCCGCCAGCTATGCTCGTTGTACTCTTCCTGTACCTTCTGGCACGTCTTGAGACCCCATTCGGATACACCGACCATGAGAGAACTAAAGACATTAGTAATTGAACAATACAAGCATGTCATAGCGAATACGAACCTTTCAAACATGAATGCCATGCTTCCATCACCGACCTTCTGCGGCTTCAGTTCAGCATTGCTGGCCCCCTCGAAAGCATCGGTGTCGGGACCGTGCGCGCTCATGACATTATGCAGACTGGCTCCGGCTGGCTGGAAGCCGCCGCCGGTTTTCGCATCATAGTTGCCCGAGATCAAGCCCATGAACTCGGACATGGTGTTACGGTGGTACCATGGCGGACGGAAGGTGTTTTCTTGCACCAACCATCGCGGAGGGAAGATGACGAAGTCAGCAATGGCGGTTCCGACATGGTCAGATGGGCCGGTGAGGACAGTGAAAATGGAAGGGTCGGGGTGATCAAAGGAAATAGAGCCAATGGTGTTAAAGCGACCTAGGTCATACTTGTAAGGGTAGTAGTTGCCGTGCCAGGCGACGATATCGAATGGAGTGTGATCCTGGCGAGCGGAGAAAAGGGTGTTGTTGAATTTGCTGTACAGGCGGTATTCGGATGGTTCCTCTTCATCATCGAAAGAAGCTACAGGAGCTTGGAAGTCACGCGCATTGGCGAGGCAGTTCGAACCAATGGGACCAAGTTCTGGGAGTTGATAGTGACCTTGGTAGAGCTCGCAGATGTACCCTCTTACCGGGCCATCTGGCAGAGTTACGCGGTATCTTGTAATTGAAATAGTCAGGTTACTGCTAGACTCATAGCATAGGAGGGCTTACCTGACACCACGAGGAATGACACAAATTTCATTTGGGCGGACGATAAGTCTTCCCAATTCAGTCTGAATGTCTAGCACGCCGTGCTGTGGGACAATCAGGAAATCACCGTCCGCAGAATAAAAGGCCTCCTTTCCCATGTCCTTTCCAGCCGCATACATCAGAATTCCCAGTCCCTGTTTCAGGGTGGGATCTCCGGAGCCTGCGATGAGATGCAGTCCATGCACCCAGTCCACAGTCTCATCCAGATCGAACGGGTTCCAGCGAAGCTGATTGGGAATGTGGTGGAGCTTGGTGGTCTCGGTGGTCATATGAGTGTGATAGGAGTCTCCATTTTCGACCTTGAAGTTCTCGTGGGCGGCCGCAGGAATGATCCTGTAAACCCAAGTTTGTTTGTTCTCATGTCGAGGAGCAGTGAAGGCTGTTCCAGACAGCTTTTCGGCATATAGACCATACGGAGCCTTCTGGGGGGAGTTCTGGCCTACGGGGAGGGCTCCTTCGATGGCTTCCGATCTGCGAGAATGTTAATTCCGCCATCCCTCATTCCGCACCCTTAGAGGCTTACTCATGATAAGAATCGAATCCAGTCTGGTAGGAGTAAGGGTCTGGGTGTGAGAAATTGGTGACTGGCATGATGTCAATGCCTGTTGTCTGTAGTATATGCTTTTTTTTTTGCGTTCAACGAATGAGTAGTAGTACAAGAGGTGGAGTTTAGACTTGATAAAAAATCGCAACCCTAAAGGTGCGGCGTGTGCCTCGTTTTATGAGAGTATTGGCGGTCGCGACCTGCCGGACATGATCGCGGAGATTCAAAATATTGCGCAACCTTTACGATACATCATAGCCAAGTATGAAGTTGCGGGGAGGGACCGCGGAATTGGAGGTAGCAGAGCTGGCGCGCAAACAGCCGGGGATAAGCGGCATTGCGGTTTGGTTCCGCGACCACCCATCGGAAGTCGTCCCTCATATGCCAAACACGAAGCTGTCGCAATCAAGCGATGAGGGGCAGACTAAGTCAAAGCGACTTGTTTTTAATGTCGCTTTCTTCGCGGTCGGAGCTTTTCACATGAACACGTTTCTGTGACTACCTTCTTGACACATTCGAGGTTTCTCATCTCTTCTACTATAACCTGAACAATGGCATCGTGGCTCCAGATCCCTAAGAACTCGCCATTTTCGCTGGCGAATATTCCCTTTGGAATTATCTCCTCAACTAAGAGTACCTCTCGCGTGGCTGCGATTGCGATCGGTGAATATGCGCTGAACCTGAGCGCTTTTGCCTCATCGGGGGGTTTTGCACAACTACCTGACTTCCAACCACACCTCAATGTTTTTAGCCAGCCAACCTTGAACGCATTTGCAGCTCTGGGTCGCCCTGTGCACCGCCAAGTTCGCGAGTATATACAGAATGTCTTCCGTGCAGACACGCCATTTCCTCAGGTTCTCAAGGATAATGCCTCCTTGCAGAAGGAAGCCCTCTTGCCGTTGTCAGAGGTGACCAACCATGTGCCGATGCAAATCGGCGACTACACTGATTTCTACGCTGGCCTTAACCACGCTTACAATGTCGGTGTACTGTTCCGTGGACCAGAGAATGCCTTGCAACCCAACTACAAACATCTGCCCGTCGCATACCACAGCCGTGCCTCGTCTGTCGTGACATCAGGCACGCCTATCCACCGTCCCAACGGCCAGATCCTGGCCAACCCAACCGCTACACCTAAGCTCCCCACCTTCTCCCCATGCAAGAGACTGGACATCGAACTCGAGCTGGCTGCATTCGTTAGCAAGCCCAACGATCTCGGAAAGCCCGTTAACATCAACGAAGCCGAAGATCATATCTTCGGATTGGTGCTCATGAACGACTGGTCGGCCCGTGACATTCAAGCCTGGGAATACATTCCACTTGGGCCATTCAACGCAAAGAACTTTGCCACTACAATTACTCCATGGGTGGTTTTGTTGGACGCATTGGAGCCCTTCCGCGCCACGGGTCTGGAACCTGGCGACCGGGACTCTCTGCTTCCCTACCTGCGTGAAAAGCGCGCAGCCAACGTTTACGATATCCCTCTCGAAGTCGAAATCACCAACGCAGGCGGAAAGCCAACTCTCGTCTCCAACTCAAACGCAAAGAACCTCCTGTACTCGTTCCCACAGATGTTGGCCCACCATACCATCACAGGCTGCAACATGAACCCCGGTGACCTTCTCGGAAGCGGAACGATCTCTGGCACAGAACCCCAAACCCAGGGCAGTCTCCTTGAGCAGACAAATGGAAAGAACCCGCTCAAGCTGGCTGATGGATCTGAACGTCTGTTCCTGGAGGATGGCGACACTATTGTCCTGCGTGGTAAGGCCGGCACGGAAGGAAACTATGTTGGGTTCGGAGACTGCACGGGAACCATTCTTCCCGCCATCAAGCTGGAATACTAAGTTTCAATCCTTATACTATTTTTCTTTTTGTAACGTTTCAAAATAAGTGAGATTATCTGTGATGAGATAGCTATGAATAAGTATCCAAGAACGTATGGAATCCATATACATTCCGTCGTTATACACCCGTAGAATCCCTCCAGTTCCCCCATTCATAACTAGGACAATACAACCTACGAAGATTCCTTCAGCCGGAACTCTTCGGGTGTATCACTTTGCGTCCTCCAATGCGCCTTCTTCACTGCATCCTCCAACTCCAACCGTTCAGAAATCCGCTGTACAGTAGGATACTCGGCCAAGTTCACACCAGAGCGCTGCGCCCCCCACACAGCAGGAAGCAAACACACATCAGCCATAGTAACAGCATCACCGACACTGAATACTCCCGCCGTCCGCGAAATAATGGTCTCATAAGCGCGGAACCCGTCCTCAATAAGCTCCTTCGACCACGTTTCCCGATCGAATCCCAACGGGCCAACCCGCTTCAGGATCTTCAGGTTCGTGACTGGCTGCACATCACAGCTAATAATCTCGCAGAGGGTGCGGACGACCGCACGGGACTCTGGGTCCGAGATCGGTGGGAGGAGAGCATGGGATGATGCCGGGGTGATTTCTTCTAAGTATTCGAGCGCGGAAAGCGATTGCGTGATGGTCACCGTTGCGCCCTGGGGTGCTGGGCGCTCGACTACGAGGGTCGGGACGGTGCCAGACGGGTTGAGGGCGCGGTTGGCGGGGGATGACTGCTCGCCTTTCAGGAGGTTTACGGGGATAGAGGTGTAGGGGATTGATTTGAGGTTGAGAGCGATTCGCAGACGAGCTGCGGAAGAGGAGCGGAAGTATGTGTATAAGGTGATTTTGGGGGTTTGATCGGTCATTCTGGGTGTAGGGTTATATGTAACTTATTGGGGTTGTAAAGAAGGTTGGTTTCTTAAGAGGGGTATGTTATGGCAATATGGGAGAGATGGGCTACCCAAGTACTAGTAGAGCTTCTACGCTACAGCAATTTAATACTCTTTGGGGAATATACATAAATGAAACAAATTAATACTGGTTTAGCCTTCCATTACTGCGTCTCATCCATGACCACGGTTGTTTTTATTACTATACTCGATGGTCTGGTCCAGAGCAGGCGGAACAGTTCCGCCGGTGTGATACCCGATTCTGAGCGCAAAAGTTTCCGCTATTTTCCGAGGTCAATGATCGTCTTTTGTTGAACAAACTTGGGGAGACGGCACTTCTATATCGCTGTGGGGCAGTGCAGTGCCTGGCCATCTGGAGAATCTTTGAGCATAATGTTCTGGATTGTTGCGGCAGTAGTATGCAATGACATCATGGGCTGTCAACTGCGGATAACTATACAGTCATGATTAACATTGAGCACACATAATCCGGGGGAAATATTGTGAAAATTTAAGACCTCTGCCTTATTTTATCTATTTGTTCCACTTTACTTCTAGCCAGGGATGCATCTTTCAAGCTTCAATACATTTAAAGTTCCCTGAGTACTAGTAAAAATATATATTCAAAGCCCTGTGACCGCATCTTGTTAGTTACACTTCGACTAGTTAGTAGTTACATCGTGGTATCAAAGTGCCTGGCCCTAATGCAAATAGATTACGCTTGATTCATCAATCCTACAGAAGTTTATGCTCTCTACACGACATTCTAGATCTAAAAGGGGAACGATGCTACTGTTGAGGTGAAGCTAAAGTAGGGGCGGGTATTTCCACCTTTTCCTCGGCAACCGACGGCTATTTTGCTAACTACATGCCAACATCCGCAATATCTCGAAAAACCAAAAACCCGGACCACTCAGCCATTTGCCTTTGGCTCCTGTGTCCGGCCCATTGTTACGTACCTCATATCCAGAATCAATGACTATCATGTGATTGGTTGATTTGCTCCCTGTGAGAATGGAGGTCAGGAGACAGTCCCGCAACGGACATTCCACATTTCAACGTACCTACAAGGCATGTCTTGCTTGCCGGCAGCGAAAGGCGAAATGTGAGTTAGGGACAGGGCCGGATGGTCTTCCATTAGGGCCGCCGTGCGCGAAGTGCAGAAGGGAACAAAGGGAATGCGTCTTCAGTGAGAAAAAGGCATGGGAAAGACAGAAGAAACGAGGTGAATTACCCGTCCTCCTTCTCTAGGCTAGACCATGTCTTAACAACGCATAAGGACAATCGGAAGAATATACACCGCTGTCTGCAAGGACACGCCCCAGACTATCCAGCAATCCCGGAATCAGTAGGGACGAGTCACACCACGTTTTAGGCCACGGTCCGAGTCCACTTAGCTATGCGGAGCAAGACCAGGATAATGGTGATAGTACACTTCAGTCGTCCCCAGCAGAGGGTAGCCAAAGACGGCGGCAATCCACCTCTACCTTGGCAAATTCTATGATGCGCACTGTGGTGTCTAGTGGAAATGATGCTCTCAATATCCTTTTTGAGGCCGCGGCGCCCATAGTAAGGAGCATGGTAATGGTTTAAGCGAGTCGAGTACGCCGTCGCGAAATGCGCGAAGCTCTACTGGTCGCTCTAATAACTATGAAAACTCATTAAACCAATCCATTGTCCCTCCAGAAGTCCTAGCGAAAGCAGCGCGGCCCGTAGAAATCTCCCAAGCGTCCAAAGAAGTCCTTAGTGTCTGGGGAGCATGTCGCTTTGTCCGGATGGGATGGTTCACTGCGAGAGAGGCTGTCACATTTATTGACCTGTTCGTATAATCAGTTGTTCTAATGCTAAGGTGCCAGAGCTGACTGACGGCCCAGTTTCTTCAAGAATATGTCTGACCTGTCTCCCATATTAACTGATTTCTATGCAGACCATAAGAATCATCGCTGGCTTGTCTCGCACGATCCAGTTTTATGTTGTACTATCTTGATGATATCCTCTCGTTATCACCTGTTACCTGGTGCAGGTGGTGGGTCGAGGAACTTTTTCATTCACCATCGGCTTTGGCAGCATTGTCAGCAACTGGTAATGCGACTTATGTTTGGACAGGAGAAATCTTCGCAGTCTAAAGTTCGAAACATAGGGACAATCGAGGCTCTCATGCTAATGTCAGAATGGCACCCTCGATCCCTCCACTTCCCTCCAGAAAGCGATGGCTGGGACTTTGATCTCACGTCGGTTCCCCCGGAGCCGCAAGAGCTAGAGGATTCTTCTTCTACAAATCGATGGCTGGAGGATATGATCGAGCCAGCACGAAGATCAGACCAGATGTCATGGATGCTACTGGGTTCAGCTTTGTCTCTCGCGCACGAACTGGGTATTTTCGAGCTTGATGAGAAGAAGCTGGGTTATGCGTCTGGTTACGAGGGATTTATATCTGGTGAACAAATCAAACTCCGCAGGCAACGGGTGCAGCGTTTGTTATACGTATACATCAACCAACTCGCATGGCGAATAGGTTGTGTATCGCTTATGCCACAAAGCCTAAACCATGCTATTCTAGGACGGCGGGCGACAAAAGAGCTAAACCAAACCGGCGATGAATGGCTGATATTTATGGATTCCTGGATGGATCTGACGAAATTGGCAAAATCGGTCACTGATATGTTCTTTCCGACCGTCTCTTTTGCTAGGCAGCAACTGCATAGTGGGAGGTACATTGAATTGCTGGATCATTTTCGTCCAATACTGGACAAATGGAAGGAAGAACATCTCCAAGTACGATGTAGGTGAATCTGGTCAAACCTAGAATCTAACCCATGACTGTAATATTTCTTGCGCCTACGAAACTAACATAGCATACAGCACTCAAGAAACAGTACTTTGATATTCTCTTCATTGAATATCATTTTGTTCGAGTCTATACGCATTCCGTCGGAATGCAAGCAGTGGTAGAACGGGTGCTCGCAGACAGCGATCCTCACGCGGAAGAGGTCCGCGCACTGAATATTGACCCAATTGACTACGAATACATTCAGGAAGTCATTGATGGATGCTGCCAGATACTACAGAAAGTAATTCAACTGGCTGAGAACGGGGTATTACGATTCTGCCCTGTCCGGATATTCCTTCGCATCACGAGCTCGTCCATCTTTCTCATGAAGGCTCTTAGTTTGGGAACACGCCAATCGACGCTGCGAGAGTCACTGGATGTTCTCGAGCGAAGTATACAAGCGCTAAGGTCGAACGCCTTGGATGATATTCATTTGAGCACTCGCTATGCTGCGCTGTTGGACATGCATGTCGCGCGTTTGCGGAGGAACCTACTGGCATCATCAAAGACTGTCAAGTGTAACCAGGGAACAACCTCGAGACCCTCCATGGGTGTCCCATCGAGCACAGATCAGGGTAACAACACCCCTATGATGGATATTCCAATATCACAAAATATGTCTGATATGGGGTACATCCCGTCCCTCAATGACATCGCAGCTGACGATTGGCTTTCTTTACCATTTGACCCATCAATGGCACCATTTGGCATCAGTAGTGCAGGACAATTTCCTGCATATGAAGGAGGAGCTCTGAACTTTATTTGGAATTTGCCGTCTTGAGATTCTCTCAAGATACGTTTGCCACATGACGTGGAACGTTATGTACATAGGTGTAGACATCTTTCTGTGAGTTTTGAATACATTTTTAAACCATGGGCTCTTCTAGCATAAGGCCCAATCAAGAACAAAGACAATAAGGTTTTCATTTCCCATTTGCTTTGCCACAGACTATCGAGGCTACGGGAAAAGTCGTAGTTCTTCCATGTACCACAAGAAAAGTTTGTTTTGATACGAGCGGAAATCGGGGTGTTATCTGCACGTGACCCCGTTCCCCGGCCCGAAGTCACGTTTCACGGGCGAAAAAACGCCATCTAAAAAGATTGCTGAGATCCGCCAACTTTGCTCCATCGCCGACCTCATTGCCCCCACAACAGACATCTCCTCCCGCGGTTTGACGATTAGAAGACATTACTTGACGAGTTTTATCATCGCCAATATATACGCCTTCGATCCCATCCTCCCTCGAACGAGTCACAACCTACCCGGGTCATCAGCAACCGCTCGATCGATTGACACATCGCATCTCACAGACCGTGTAGCCTGTCAGGACAGTAGCTACTCGTGCTTACGGATATACCGCCCGCTTAACATCATCTACTCGTCCCTTTATCTCTCTTCACATTCGCCATGGATCACTCTAGAGATCCCTGCCCCTGGGTTGCCCTGAGCGACTTCGGTGGTGCTTTCTGTATGGGTGTATGTATTCGAGTCGAAGTCTAATCGCGCTCATTTGCAGGACTATTGGGCTAATTAGATGAAAACTGTAGGCAATTGGTGGTGCAGTATGGCACGGTGTCAAGGGTTTCAGAAACAGCCCCTACGGAGAGCGTCGGATAGGAGCCCTCACAGCCATCAAGGCTCGCGCGCCCGTCCTTGGTGGTAACTTCGGTGTGTGGGGTGGTATGTTCTCGACATTCGACTGTGCGATCAAGGGAATCCGGAAGAAGGAGGACCCTTACAATGCTAGTATGTGTACCCGATCTCGCAATTTACTGGACACTTGGGGTGCCCAATTCGTAGAGAGCGTCTGACTAATTGATGCTCTTTGTTATAGTTATCGCTGGTTTCTTCACTGGTGGTGCTTTGGCTGTCCGTGGTGGTGTTAAGGCTGCCAGAAACTCTGCCATTATGTGCGCTGTTTTCCTGGCTGTCATTGAAGGTGTTGGTATTGGTTTCCAGAGAATGATGGCAGACAACACAAAACTAGAGGTGAGCTTGATCTAGCGTCTTCTTTCGGGAGCAGCTTGGACTCCCGACTGACTGACCGCTTGCATGAGTTTTAAGCTAACTTGGTGTGTTTTAGCTTCCTCCTGCTCCCCCATCTGGCGACAAGGTCGCTGCATAAATCAGCACCCAGCTACGATCCCTCCTTCCCGAATCCGATCTATATGCTATATTATTATCACGTATCTCTCTTCTCAGGTGTTGGGTGTGGTCATCATTTCTGGGGGCATACTATAGAGGTTGCTATTTCTATTGTGCTTCTATCCCTGCTCTTAATCCTCTTGTATTGTTTTAGCCTGGTTTGTTGGAGTGCACAGCATTGCATTCGCATGTTCATTACGTTGATGGAGGGAAAAGAATCTTCGACGCCGGCCTTGGGGTTTCCAAGGCTGGACTTTCTTGTATATTAACTTCCGATAAATGGTATAATGTGATATCAGTCTCCTACACACTGCAGTCTACCAATGGCGATGCTCGGGTGATTTTCTTCAGAGTCAGATGAAGGCATCACCACAAATGAGGAATAACACGAAGAAGGAAATAGATACAAAAAGACCAGTGCCATGCTTATCTCTGGTTATCGGTGGGTAAGTCATGCCTTCCAACCCCAGATTATTCCGAGATAAGAAGCAAGAAACAATTAAGACTCCATCTCTAAATCACCTCCGAAGAATCAATTACTGATTATCTGACAGTACAGCTAACATCCATCCCTATCCCTCAAAGCCAAAAGGACCAACCAAACTCTAACCCCAAACCCTGTCTCCAAGCGCCCAAAACCTGCATATAAGAACCCGCTTCCCCGCAGCCAACTAACAGTTCTCCGTAACACACACAACGCACCAACATCAACACAATGGATAAATCCAAACCCAACCCCCAACAAGGAAGACCACTCTTCAAACCAACCCTAATAATCCACGGCGGCGCGGGTGCCCTAAAACGATCCACCCTCCCTCCATCCCTCTACACCCAGTACCAAACCTCCCTGCTCACTTACCTCCGCTCCACGCACTCCCTTCTCAAGTCCGGCTCCACAGCCCTCGATGCCGCAGTCCATGCCGTAACCCTCCTCGAAGACGATGAGCTCTTTAACTGCGGCCGCGGAAGCGTCTTCACCTCCGCCGGGACCATTGAAATGGAAGCCTCTCTCATGGTGACATCCCTCGTCTCCGATGGTGCTTCTGATTACCCAGGGTCGATCAAGAGAGGCGCAGGTGTTATGGGATTGAGGAATGTTCGACACCCAATTCTGGCGGCTAAGGAGTCACTTTTACGGACCGGATATGGAGGTCAGGATGGGGGCAGCATGCATTCGCAGCTTGTGGCGCCGTATGTTGAGAAGAAGGCCAGGGAGTGGGGACTGGAGTTCATGCGTGACGAGTGGTTCTGGACGCAACGGCGGTGGGACGAGCATCTACGGGGTCTCCGGGGGGATCCTGAGCCGGTCAGTTTTAGCCAGGGGACGGTTGGGTGTGTTTGTCTTGATATATGGGGTGGGATGGCTGTTGCGACTAGTACTGGGGGGTTGACGAATAAGTGGCCTGGGCGGATTGGGGATACGCCGACTTTGGGGGGTGGGTTTTGGGCGGAGGGTTGGGATGTTCAGTCTAATACTACAGTAGTCGATGGCGAGGAGTGTGAAGGGGGTGGAGGGTTTTTGGATGGGATGCTGGGGGATTGCTTATCGTTCTTTAATAGCAGGGGAGGGGGTGAGGGTTATGTGTCTTTGCCCATGGAGGTCCCTCTGGAGAGGGGGCTAGGGGAAAAGATGGTAATGTGTTCTAGTCCGGAGAATAGAGTCATGAAACGGGCTGTTGCTGTTTCGGGTACTGGGAATGGGGACTCCTTTCTGAGGGTTGCAGCGGCGAGGACGGCTTGTGCTATGGTTCGTTTTTCGGAGCGGACGCCCACACTGGCTGACGCCGTTGCTGCGGTTTCTGGGCCAGGTGGTGAGTTGCAGCGTTCGGCTGGGAGGCGCTGGGGGGTTACCGGGGAGGGTGAAGGGGGTATTATTGGGATTGAGGCGGAAGTGGAAGTGGATGAGGATACGGGAGTGCCTGTGTCTGGGATGGAGCTGGGACGGGGGAAGGTGGTGTTTGATTTCAATTGCGGAGGGATGTGGAGGGCGTGGGTGGAAGAGGATGGCCATGGGAACGATCTGGAGAATGTGATGGTTTTTAGAGAACCGTATTAGAGAGGACTTGTAGACCAGCCTTTTATTGTGGATTTGTGGTGTTATTTTGTATCATTCTTGTTCGATACCGAGGCCCGTAGCCCAATAGAGTCGACTTCAAGACAGATTGAATGACGAGAAAGATAGGAAGTGATATCATGATAGAACAAATGTTGGAACCACCAAACGAATACGAACCACTATCATAGCCAGGCCAGTTGCCACGGCTAGATCCCTGATTCGTAGATATCCAAGTAGGAAGTAGATCGACATTAATATACAAATATGAATTCAACCAGGTCGTTTCTTCACCACCCCTCTATTGTAGTAAATTTAGCAAGCACCCCGTCCTTAGGGCAAACGGTCGCTTGTTGTCGTACTTCGAGTGGAGCATTTGGATCCTTCAGCTCCATTTGGTACTTTCCTACAACCACTGCTACCATGCAGGCCAGCTCTGCTTTGGCGAATCCCTGGCCGATGCAACTCCGTGGTCCGTGTAGGAACGTAAGGTTGGCATAATTACTGTCGGCACCACCATTGTTAGCCCGACCAGGGCCTAGCCAGCGTTCTGGGTCGAACTTGTCGGCGTCGGGGCCCCAAAGCTCTTTGCTCTTATTGATGATTTCGGGGGCAATCAGAAACAATGTGCCCTTCGGAATGGGCTCGCCAATGATCGTTGTGTCTCGACTAGCACTGCGAATAGTAGCAGGTACAGACGGGTGAAAGCGAAGGACTTCATTACAGAATGCGTTGAGATATGGGAGATTATCGATATCGGCAGCAGCAGGCTGCTCGGGGTTCTCCGTCGAGATAGGCGGGAGGTTTGCACGGATCTCTTCCCGGAGTCGGGTCTGTATATCCGGGTGTTTGCATAAGACGTACACACACCACTGTAAGGCAGTTGATGTGGTTTCATGTCCGGCTCCTAAGAAGGTCATCATTTGGTCTACCAGCTCCTCCTCGGTGAATTTCCCGCTCCGCAGGGCAACCGAGACAATATCAATATCCTCTGAGGTGGAGGATCCACTTTCCCATTTCGCTCTCTTCTGCCGGATCATCTGCCGTGCCACATCTCGGATGGTTTCAGAACTTCGCTCAATACTCCTGTTCCTCTCGAGTGGCAGGTCATGGACGAAGGCAGGGTCACCCAGAAGTAGCGTCAGGAGGAAAATAATCTTCATGTACAATGGCGGTTCACTCATAAGGTTCTGATACGTTCTCACGAGTTTGTTGTTAGGGTCACGAAGAGATTGAAAGTCATGATCCATTCCAGCAACGCCAACGATATCAAGCGCCGCCCTACTGGCGTATGCTCCCATCCGGAGGACATTATCCGTTGGATCAGCCTTTTTCCGCAGGTCTTCGTCCATTACTCTCACCATTTCGATACTCTTTGACCAGAAAATCGGATACATCTCTTTAACATGGCGATAAGCAAATGCTGGAAGAAGGTTCTTTTTTGATTTCTATTGCAAGTTAGCCACAACAGGAGAGATAGTAAGTGATGGTCTGTGCCCGGACCTTATGATCGTCCCCTTCCACAAGGAGCAAGCCGTGTTCCCCGGCTAAACGTTTGAGGCTTGCTCTGATAAATTCAGGTTTCGGAAAGTCGTACGACTTGGTGACCAGAATCTCTTTCAAAGCTTGTGGGCCCACTGGTAAGATGCGCTCTAGGTTAATCGAGACGTAGTAGCGGATCAACCCGTTGTTTGGCACATTTTCCAGCCATCTATGCATATGCTCAAAAGGCGCCTCCAAAAAGACTGTGTCGGAGTTGCCCGTGAGCCATGATCGACCCTGCGCCACTGCTCATTAGAAATCTCACGGCCACAGGCGTCGGTGATCGAAATAGATGACTTACGGCAGGTGATGGAATTTTCTTGATAGGCGTGAAAAAGTCTGGGTACAGCACCCAATTATAGAAAACTTTGAGCAGAGAGACCAGGACTGATAGAAAGATGAAATTGCCGAAGGTTGACTTGGCGATTGCATATCCAGCAATGGCGATATAGACCGTCGCCCAGGGAAGTCCCGTCATCGTGAGCAGAGGCTGCGGTCACTCGAGAGCCAGAATCAGATCAAAGAGAGATTTAGATTGTCGGAGAGTGAGAGGTCACGGGGCGACTTCATGGGGCTTTAAATAGTTCGGGATAGAACAATGGGTTACAGCCGTTAAGGAGAGAGTTCGGTCACCTATTGAAATCGATATTCACGATGTCTTTGTTGCCGACAGACGATCTGCAGCCCGACCACTGGTCAGTGCGGTTGGCTGGAAGTTACCTAGGTACAGAGTACGCGACAATGAAAAGCCAACCTGGTCTCCACCGTGGTGCCGAACCAAATCAATCGATATGTTGCGGATCTGTTTTAACCTCCTTTATTTAGGGGAGACAGACCCATTGCGGCTCCTTCAAAAATTTCAACTCAAATCTGAGATGTTTTATGATTTATCGACGTGACCTTTCCGCTGATTGTGGCCTGGATGATGGGACTGGGAAACTAAATCTAAAGCGAATACCGCCATTGGTTCTTCAGGCAGGGATCATCTTTATCTAAGTGCAACGGTAGGCCAATAATATCTGTCCTTGCCGGGTCCACCTCCATGGAAAAGGTATCGAAAAGAGTAGGCGGAAAGGCTCAAAATTAGTTCAAAACTCCTATTATATAGAATGGACCTCAATGCTCGCTATGTTTCACTGCTGCTGAACATGGCCGGTGGCGATTATGAGATTCTTACAGAATCCGAAATAGTGCCGAATAACGGAATCTGCGGGATCTCGAGTTTCCCTCAGATCCCAATGGCTTTCCCTTTGACACTCATGTTGATTTCATCAACTTTGAAGGCGACTACGGGGCAGCTGTCTTCGAGTCATACATGAGTAGCGGGTTCCAAATTGGAAGCATTGCCGAATGAACGGAGCTCTCAGCTTTGGGCTTTCCAGTTCGGTCTGAGGTCCTACAGCTACACGCATACAGTCCCAGCTTTCGCGTGAAAAGCTTCCTGTATATTCTGGTACACCTCGATATGTCGATACGGGAGTGATTTGAAATGCCCACAGGGAGATATTACTTAAATTTCCTTTCCCTTTTAAGATGTGTATTTTTATTCCCTCCTCCCTCTTCCCGTTCTCATTGTTCAACATGAGCCTCGGATACCCCCAAGTATACGCAATCCGCCAAGCATTGAACAATAGGTTAAACGTCCAATGACCATTCCGGGTCTTTCTATTGTACAGATCATGCCGCCCTAAACCCCGGACGGTAGCAAGAGATGCCGTTTTCAGAAACCGTATCACCTTTACATTGAGTGTTGAATGTCTCATGGGTTACTAGCTGAATCTACCCTTGATTTGCGACACCCAATGGAAGCACCCCTTTCAACGCGCGTGAATACACATTCCATCACGATTAAAGTGCGGTGATCAGTCATCTAGTGCTGTTTGGGCAAATGATACTACGAGCGAAGCACTATGCAACCACGCGTGTCGCTAGTGCCACCAGGAGCGTGCGTCTTCCAAATCACCGCTTCTCCGCCTAAATGACTGAACCACGGGGAATGTCTACGTTCAGTGCAGAGACCATCGCAAGGACTCACGATATTGGTTATGGCGTCTTGGCGATAGTATGAGCGTCGATCTTCACCAGCAATTGTCGTCTCATATCTTGGCGGTTTATTTCGTGATTTGAAATATGGTCGGACCTTTTTTATTCCATGCCGAGGTGAAGATGAGTGGTATAATCATTATACGCGGGGGATCAGAATCGGTCGATCCTGTCAGGTGACATCATCATTTCATCGCAACTCATCTGGATGCATTATTAATGCAGAGACCCAATTAGACTTTATTAACTCGAAGGTAGAGTCGAGATGCCATCTCGACCACTTTTCCATTTTCGATCGTAACGGTACCCTCATCCATCGAACTCGTCTTCGTTGAGTCGAATATCATGGCTTCGCGAGAACTTCCTGATATTGTAAACAAAGCTGCGCCTGGCATATCCTACTTCACACCCGCCCAAGAACCTCCCGCGGGAACAGCAGCCGACCCGCAGTCAGATGGAACGGCCCCTCCGAAGCTGTTTCAATCCCTTTCTGTGCGGGGTCTGACCTTTCATAATCGCATCGGAGTAAAGCACCATCGTCCCCCAGTTACCAAACAATAATGCTGACATTGTTTAAAAATGCAAAGCTTTCGCCGTTGTGTCAGTACTCTGGTGACGATGGCCATATGACAGACTGGCATATGGCCCATCTCGGGGGAATTGCCCAGCGTGGACCGGGGTTCCTCATGGTTGAGGCAACTGCGGTTGAGCCCGAAGGTCGTATCACCCCCGAAGATCTGGGTTTATGGAAAGATTCGCAGATCGAACCTTTGAGTCGCATCATTGAGTTCGTTCACAGCCAAAACCAGCTGATCGGGGTCCAAATCGCCCACGCCGGCCGCAAGGCCAGCACAGTTGCCCCATGGTTATCCATGAATGACACTGCCTCTAAAAAAGTAGGCGGCTGGCCAGATAATGTTAAAGGCCCTTCTGATGTTCCTTTCAATGATCGAAACCCTATACCCAAGGAGATGACAAAGCAGGATATTGAAGACTTGAAGGTCGCATGGGTGAGCGCAGTCAAACGAGCTGTTAAGGCGGGCGCAGACTTTGTCGAAATCCATAACGCCCATGGGTATCTGCTCATGTCATTCCTTTCCCCTGCCGTGAATAAGAGAACGGATGAGTATGGTGGAAGTTTTGAAAATCGCATTCGCCTCAGTATGGAGATTGCTAAGCTGACCAGAGAGGCGGTTCCCGAGGATAAGCCTGTGTTTCTCCGCGTATCCGCAACCGACTGGTTAGAAGAATTGAGGCCGCCAGTGCCCAGCTGGAAAGTAGAGGACACCGCCAAGTTTGCTCAAGCACTCGCCGAGAGTGGTTATATTGATTTGATTGACATCAGCAGCGGTGGCACTCATCAGGCGCAACATATACATGCGAAACCAGGCTTCCAAGCCCCTTTCGCCATCGCTGTCAAACGGGCAGTTGGGGATAAGTTGAAGGTAGGGTCAGTGGGTATGATTGACTCGGCCCAGCTGGCCAACTCCTTGTTGGAGAAGGAGGGTCTGGATTTTGTCATGGTTGGACGTGGTTTCCAAAAGAATCCAGGATTAGTTTGGACTTGGGCTGATGATCTGAATGTGGAGATCTCAATGGCTAACCAGATTCGTTGGGGATTCTCTCGCCGCGGCGCTGGACCATTCCTGAGGAAGAGACAGGAAAAGATCTAGAGTTAGATAGTATATGGTTCGTGAAGTTTATGCATATATATATATGTTGACCATAGAAAGGATATATCATGAACAGGGCACGAAGCACAAACTAGAGCCATCAACCAGGGTATAACTGCTTTAGCTCTCGTCCAAATGTTGTGTTTCTCGTTGATAGTACTAAATGATTTTAATCTATAACCGTAAAATCAACCAAATCCCGACCATATTTACATAGATCCGGTCCCCAAAGTAGGAATAGCAAAAGAAATCTCGGTATATACATAATACGAGCGCTATGCAGACATGAAATCAATCGCTTGATACGTGTGGATGTAGACTCCTGTTCACTTAGAATACGATGTTGTACGGCGCACGTGCGCCCAACTATCCGACCACTGGGTTGAAAGAACCCCCACTACAGATGATGACGCGGTTCAAGCACATTCTCATCGCGTATTTCTGCAGAGGATATAATTTAGTTTTGTCAATGACAAAGGAAGAGAATGAATCGAACGACTTCGGGAATCTTACCATTCCAGGCCTCCAGGGCCGCTTTTTCGGCATCCCATCCCCATAAGAAAGTCTGCGTCTCACGATCTGTCCACCGATCGGGATTAGACCCGCCGGTCATCGATAGACGGAACTGTTCATCTCGAGCCTGCTGTTCGGGACCGTCAGGAAGATGCAGCGTGATACGGTTTGCCGAACCGGACTGCTGAACTGTCTCCGCGCGTTGCTTCCGGGAATTTTCGTACGCCCGTAGGGCCACGGGGATTTCATGCTTGGATGAAATTGTTGATAGGAGAATGCCTAGGGCGGCAGCGTCTTCGACAGCCTGCGCAGCGCCTTGAGCGACGTATGGCCTAAATGAGAGGTTAATTTGATACACCTCTCGCATAGAAGGTAAGGGGGAACTGACAGCATAGGATGACAAGCGTCACCGATTAACGCCACACTATCTTTAATCCAAGTCTTCAAGGGAGAATGCAGGCAGAGCTTCCACTCAAGAACTTCATCTTCCGCAACCAATTCAATGAGCTTCTGCACCCTTCGATCCCACCCGCGATAGTTGTCAACCATCTCCTGCTTCGATCCTTTGGTAGTCCACGATTCCTCTACGCCATGTCCATCCGGATGAAGCAGTACCACGTTGAAGAGCTCGTGCTTGCGAACGGGATAGGCAATGATGTGACGACCAGGACCGATCCAACGAGTTGCTTGTGGCTCGTCCACTAGCTCTTTTAATTCGGGATCATTTTCCATCGCGCTCCGTGGTAGCATGATCCGATAGGCTGCATCGCCTGTTGGAATGGCTTTCGAGGGAGAGTATTCTCCAAGCAGGTGATCACGGATGGTGGATTTGATGCCGTCGGCCGCTATCACAACATCCCCTCGGACAACAGTGTCATCGGCTAACGTCACAGATGCCGGGTTAAATTGAACATCGGTGACGGTCGAGTTTACTCGAAGTTCCACATTTGGTAGCGCCAGCGCTTGCTCAATTAAGGCGTTATGGAGATCTGCACGATGAATAACTACCTGTTGGCCGTATGTCTTGTTTACAGGCATTGTCCCTAAAAGACTACCGTCTTGCCACCGGCGGACATGGATATGCTCCAGGGCAACGTCTTTTGAGTGAATCAATGGGGACACCCCCCAGCCTTGTTTTGAATCAGCATCATCTTCAATTCGAGAGTAACAGCAAAAGCTCACGGTCAAAAATCCGTAACATATTCGGGGAAACTTGAATACCGGCACCGACCTCCAGGAGCTATGCATGGATCTGATTAGCAGATATTCCGACAGCAGATGCACCCTTGGCTGCGTACCTTTGGGGCAGATTCCAAAATCGTGACATGGTGTCCTTTTGACCCCAAAGTCAGGGCTGCTGCCATGCCACCAATTCCTATACTCGTTAGTGTCAAAACCATCCCCCCATACCCAGAGAAAGCGGAAGCATACCTGCCCTATATGAAGATTAGCATGATCATTTCGAGTGGCCCACACCAATTATGTCAGATACTCAACCTACCCAACAATAATCACCTGAAGAGGTGTCTTCGCCTGTACTACCATGATGACAAGAAGCCCGTGGAACGTCAAGCTACCAATCTAAAGGATCAACTCTGGAGAGTGGGCAGAGAAGCCAGGCTCTCGACGAATGACCTACACAGAGAAAGCCGGCTTAAATGTTGCGTGAAGATATAGATCACACTATGGATTTGCCACTCCAACTTGAGCAACATCGACAATGGACAATGGACAATGGACAATGGACTAAATAAGAATGATGGATGATGGGGACAAATATACTATTTAGTCCCACGGACACCCCGGTCTGTTCTACCGGAACTAACGGGAGGCTACTAAAACTAGAACTATCTCCACCATGGGGAGCAGGGAAAGAAAGCGGCTGCTAGCTATTGATACCCTGCCAGGGGTTTAAGTGTACAGTACGTATTGCCATCCCTGCCTCGTGCCAACAATGCAGGGCGAAGGCGCCACCTCCCGCCTTCCTACATTTCTTGTTTCCTTCTGCAACGAAGAGTAGCTGGCCGACAGATAAACGCCAATTCTAAACCAGAAGGCTATAGTCCGGACTGTAGTACAGAGGGGAAAAAATGATTATGAGCCGATGGGTGGCGCCGCTCGGTAAAGGGCGGTGGATAACGAGTCAGCGGCGACGGGGAAGAACTTCCCTCTCGAAAGCTTCTACTGTGCCGGCTTTCCAGCGGCCCTCCATCTGCCGAGGCTTCGTCCACTCCCCCAGGGCATGCGCAAGAGGACGTTGTCTCTAACCCCAAAATCAGTCTGTCTCCGACCCACATCGCTGCACTGTTGACGCAGACGTCAAAATCTGGTGTTTAGCGCAATCGCATCTCCGGCAAAAAGCTGGAGAGCACATTGCCGATACCGCTGTATACCCACAATTTTTGCGAATCACTTCTGTTACATTTCCAGGTTAATGGCTACAATGCCTTGCAGGAGATTTGTCGGCCCAACCCGACCACTGCTTTTAGTTATTTAAGATAGATTATTTAAGCCACTTCTCGTCATTCGAGTCGCTGTATAATTTCTTTTCCGTTTTTGCTTTTCCTTCAGTTAAATCTGTATTTGTTATCAATGCCTTCAGCTTACAATGCGGCAGTGTTGTTTTCATACTACTAGTACTAGTAGTAGTCCTGTCATGGTAATGGACCAAGGGCACAATATGCAAGGAGTTGAAAAGCTCCTAAAAATGCCAACCAATGGGGGTTTTGCTGATCTGCTGAAGACTGCTATGGTTGGCTCATTGCAGATCCTTAACCCTAGAATCAATCCCCTTCCGCTGTACGGTCTCCACATCAATACGGCCTCGATCCCACACCATCGGCCCGGGGCTTCTCTCACTGCTTCCCTTCTGGGAAGGTAGTATTAATTAAGTACCTTCATGCTGCCTCCTTGTCTGACCACCACCCAGCCAACAGCACTCTAGGCCTTTGTTATACGGTTCGAAAGACCACCTGTTCATCATACCGTTCATCATGGGACCTTGCATCCTCGTTTTCACTTGCATAACAGCCATTGATGTCACCCATGCCTATTAATCGAGGATCCCCGTCCTGCGATCTACAGCATTAGAACCGTCCTTTGTTGCGATAATGACTGTAATTTTGCCATTTTGGCTCCAAAGAAATAAGGATAAGGCGCACATTGTGCAAGCACGCTTTTCTGGCCACCTATACCACAATTCCACCAAAGGAATTCTCGACTCAATGGCAACGCTACGAAGGCTCATTGAAATGATTTCCACATACTGAACTTGTATTAGGCGAATGATACGACTAGAATGGGCAGTATTGATGCTTACAATCTAAACAGAAAAGTGCGACAGGGATCTATTAATCATCAGTAGATATATTGGCAACGATTGTCCGTGTTCAATGGGAAGAAACGTCACCGTGTATCTTATAGGCAGCAGGACCTTTATACATAATACTATGAAATATACAATTACGGCAAGGCATCCCTGTCGTCAGCATGGAGGATATTGTTTGACCGGTTTCCCGGTTTTGGTGGGCGGTTATCGCGTGAGTGTAGATTTCTCAGTACCCTTGGGTTATCGGGTGAGGATGTCTTGTTTTCTGGGCTCGTCCAGGTGGGGGCTTAGGCACTTGCAGTATGTTGCCATTTGGTGAGCATGTGCGGCTTACTACGGTCGATTAAGGTTGTGTACAGGGGTCTTATCTTCGATATCAAACGAGCCACGAATTCGCCTGGGACCGGCCGTCCCAAATCTAGCCAGATAAGGAAACCCCACTGATGAGGCCAGAATATGAGTAGTAATTGATTGTGGCTCTCTATCCAGCAGTGGGCTATTAGAAGAAGGACCCAAGGGCATGACACGAGGGTAATCCATTGTTGGTGACCTGAGCCAACCATTATCTACTGTCTACACGAGTCTTAATGAAGCCTGTGCTTTCGTCCTTTTATATAGCAGAAAACCCATGATCCGTCAGGCCCAATCTAAAATTAATGGGCAGCAGGAAGCTCAACGCTCCCTATCCATAGATCCCGCATCCATCGACGGGTCACTGTTCGTCTGTTCACTACGTTAACAGCTCAAATAACTATAACGGACAGTGGACGTACGTGGCAGTGCATGGTTTTTCGGAATCACCGCATAATTCCGGTAAAGCTCTTATTCATCTGAAACGCTTTCAAGATCCTCTGGACGTAAGAAACCACGGCGATGCGAGGACATGTTGGAATGTTATTCGGTTTAATTGGATTGTCCGGATAACCCTCGATGATTTTACAGGTATGATGATATACAGAATACCTTGATATATCGAGCAGTGATCTCATATGACTAAACACTCTCTCAGTATGGTTTCACTGAGGGTGGATTAGCGTGAGGCGCTCAGGCTCCCAACCAGGGTCGCCGAAGTATAAACCCCCCCTCCCCTCCTTTCCTCTTCCTTTCGTTCCTCACAGCTGCGTGAAAGTGTCGCTGAAAGAGCTCAGCATTCGATTGTGGATTTCCCCCAGTCTTCTGGAATGTGAGCGGCTCGTGTTGTATCTTGGCTCTTTTTGTCATTAAAGCCGTCTTTAGATGATGGCCCATGGTGGGAGGAGATGATTATTCTACCTGTCTTGTCCGGCAGATTCGATCAACGATTAACATGTGACATTCCTGGTACTACATTGGTCGTACGATGACTGATACCTACTGTACCATTGCAGCGCAGTGCTCAATTTGATGGCACACGGAGAATGAGACTTATTGTAATCTACAATCCGGATATATTCTTGGATCAAATCATGCCGCTTCGCTCCCTGTTGAAAAAGACTAGCCTTTTGTGAGTCTCTCCTGCCAACAGGTATGGCGTGGGTGAGAGCTTGGCGTGACATTATCATCAACCTCGTGTGCCTTCTGGCCCTCCATGGGACAGGTATGCCGGTATATACTAATCTGGCAAACAGCTTCTGTGTGGTTCTACTCTTGTTATCCTGGCCTCAGAGGAAGATTGGGTCTAACTGCCTTCTTGGGGAAGTCTGCATTTCATAACGTCCTTAACAGTATAATGATACGTTACCATCCCAACCACCTAACCCAGACATCAACTATCTTTGTAGAATCGGGGTCACTGCTCGAGTCAACCACCAAGTACCACCCGTACATCGCACCCGTTATGCACGCATGGTTGGGATAAATCTTGACAGTCTGACCAACACCCAGTGGGATCTTCTTTGCAACATCCTCCGACTCCCACCTCAGAATACTGTGCTCCTGACTGATTCGATCAATGAACAAACGATCCCTCTGCTGGGTGGCTGGCAAGCCCCAAGGCCCAACAACCCCCCATCCTTTATAACTCGGACAGGCTCCCGCCCCATCCCCAAAGTGCCCACAGCAACCAAGGCCTCCGGATACTCACGCTCCCCATCATTATACACACTGCAAGTCTCGGCCACCACACAAACACCTACCTCATCAAAGAACTTTTCCCGTACACCCCCCGCATTCGTACTCATCTGCTGCATATCCAGCAACGGGTAATTGCCCGCATGCAACTCAACTCTAACCCGTCCCTTAAACGCCCCCGTGTCCGGCTCCTTCAAAAACTTCTTCAGCTCCTCAAACTCAGCATCATCCCCCTCAGCCACAGACTCTGCAGCAACAACCTGCGGTGTTGCACCCACACTAACAATCAACTCCCTATCCACGGGCAAAACCCCCGCATAGGAATCCAACGCAAGTAAACAAGCCTCAACCTCCCCCCTCAAATGCCTGAGTGCATCCCCCTTACTCCGTCCCCCATAACTCAAACTACTATGCGAGTAAATCCCGACCAATCTCCCCGCTCCCGTCTTCTCCATTTCCCCAAGTTTCGAAAATAAACCCCCCTTGTCCATCGCCCTCGGCGGCAACCCAGCCCGATGATACCCACAATCAACCTTGAGAAACACCCCCGCTGCGAACCCCGTAATCCGGGCAAAGGTATCCAGAAACTTGATTTGGTCGGGGTGATCAATCATCACCGAGACGCTGTCCGGCCCAAGCTCTGCCGCTGCAAGGGCCAACCGGGAAACCTGGGATGGGACGAGTGGGATTCCATACAGGATGTTCACTTTGTGGCCTTTAGACTGAACTCTTTCAACAAGGGAAGCAGGTTCTCGAGTTCCAGGGGTGTGGAGGTCACAAAATTGATTTCCGGTGATGAGGTCCCGACTTGGAGACGGGATAGTTCGGTTGTCTTATTTTTGTTATCATTGTCATTCGTTGGTCGGGGGTTGCTATGGTGGATTTTTTTTATTTTCTTTTTTTTGGGGGGGGGGGCAGGGGTGAGATAGTGGGTGGACTGGTTACGGGGAGTTCGGTCTATGATTATTGAACTTACTTTGTGACTTTTGACGTGGGCTCGAAAGCCTACGCCCAGGGTTTGGATTGTTTGGAGCATTGAGTTACAGTGGCGTTTGATGATGGCTAGGTCTAGGACGGCGGCGGGCTTAGGGATTTCAGCGAGGGTTTTATGCAGGTAGAATTGTTTGAGGGCATCTTTTGATGGGAGGGGGCGTTGTGGGATCATGGTGTCCATTTTTGTGGTTAATAATTGATTGTATGATATGTAAGGAAACAAGGAAGGGGTCGATATGCGGCGAGATGGGGTTTTATAGACATATATTGTGGAGGGGTGGTTGTTTAAGTATATGGATGGTGTGGGGATACATTTTGTTTGTTCTGTTTGGCTACTTGTATAGGGATTGGCGGATGATAGTTTTACCTGATCTTTGTGCCTGGTTTATTTGAATAATGTTTGGTTGTCTTCTGTTGAATATTGATATACGGAGTAATGAGGTACACCAATTTTGCATTATTTATTTGAACTATCTCAAAACACTTTTGGTGATGTATTGACATGCAATCTGCGTATGTCTAGATAGGGGAAAACCTATCACAGATAAACAAATGACCCTCCGATCTAGAGTACGTTTGAACTTGTGTAATAGTTACCATTCCAACGCCGTATTATGCAATCACTAGATAACAGGTAGTTCCAGAATTGGTCCGGGATAAGAGAGGTAGGAGAAATAGAAAAGAAATGATGAGAAAGAAAAGGTCGATCGTGAAACAACTTCGTACTGGTATCCGTCGGTCATGCACTGGTCATTGCTAGTGACGTGTCATAGGGGCATCAAAAAAATATGTACAGTAGCGTATACAATAGCGGTCATAGACTGTCGTTGGGAGATAAGGATTGAGAGATTTCAAGATCAAGCTGTAAACATAAGTCGTAATCTGCTGGATCGCTTCTTTTTCTCTTTGGGTTGCGCGTCCCGATCTGAGTGATGAGAGTGGTGAGAGTGATGTGAATGGTGGGAGTCCGCCTTCGACGGAGCTCTGGAAGGAGCCCTAGATGGAGCTCGGGAGGGCGCCTTCGATGGAGCCTTGCTTGGGGCTCTCGACGGCGCTTTAGATGGCGCTTTAGATGGAATACCGAAGAAGGACTTAGTCGGTGCCTTGGAAGCCGCGTATGACTCCGGCCGTTCGTTCACACGGGTAGGCGCGCGAGATCTTGGGGGGCGCGAACGATGAGACCGGTGGGATGATGCCCTCGATTCCTCGTCATCAAACTTGAAACGAGGATCCCGCATCATGCGTGCAGTGGTCACATCGATGCCGGACATCATAGCAGCAGTTGGGGTGATGAATTCACCATCAACAGAGGTGCCGATGCTTTCACCAGCTGCATCGGCGACACCTCGTCGCCACATTTCAACACCGCTGAGACATTCGGTGTTGATCTCTACCATGTCATCCATACCGACAGACTCAGCCGGTCCAGGCCCGGGGCCGCGGTCTGGTCCTCGACTGACTTCGTTACCATTACCGGACATCTGCTTGATGATTTTGTAGCCGCCAAACATGACAATTGTCGCAGTGAGACCAACACCTGCGGCGATGAGAAACTGAGGGCTGGCAAGCAGTGCGAAAACGGCAGGGGCAGCCGATTTCAGTGATGATAGTGCGGCCGGGGCCATCTTCGAGGCAATGTTACTGATCTCAGCCAAGGTGAGCGCAACTGCGGCCATGGCATCTGGATTCTTTTGAAGATGCGCAATCGTGGTGGTGGCACTGTGGTGCACACAGTTGGCTTCCTCCATAAGCCACTGCGCGCGGTTTACTAGGCCACTCAGTTCCGGGTCCTCGATCTTCTGTAGTTGGTTTTGTTGTGGCGGAGCCTTGGTCAACGTGTGAGGATTGTAGTCGCCGTACGCCAGGTCCATGTCGATGTGCGCATCAGACTTTGAGCGACTGGTTGTCGGCCGAAGCTCGGGCCCCCGCGTGGCGATATCATGATGGGTGTGTCGACGGACCATGTCCTGCGGACGGTCATAGTAAGAGTCCGGGCGTGACGCAACGGAGCCGCGGTCCTGCTCATATTCATAGTCGTCGTCGTAGTAGTGCCGGGCATAGTGACTGCGGCCCGAATGGTGTCGCGAACGACTTCTCCGCGAAGAGGCGACGGAGGGCGCATCGTCAATCGTATAATTTTGTAATGCCTTCAGCGCTTCTCTTTCGGCGATGATAGCATTCCGCTCGGATTGGAACTGGGCCTTGCGGGCGCTATATGCATTCTTGGCATGGCTGAAAACACCAAACAATTGCTTACTCTGCCAAACAAAGCTGTTAGCAAATGTCGCGTGAACTGCGGGGGGCATGACACCTACCGTACTCACTACCTTGCCGGATTTATCAATCACGGCAATGGTTTCGCCGAACGGGGCCATTATAATCGATTAGCAGTACAGTACTGCTTAGTTCTTGGAATAATGATCAATGTCGAGGTCACGACTGACTTCCTAGTCAATCGTGATGTTGATCAGTCCACATTAAAGTCCACAAGGGTGCCGATAAGCATTCGCTTATAAAGTGATAAGCGAATAGCCCCGAGACGAGCGGTGTAAGGTAATCGAGTATATAAATATCGAAACTAAGCCCACTGGGTGGAGAATCGACCCGATCTTCCAAACTTTGAGAAAGAAAATAATCGTTCTAGGCCCTGGAAGGAAACAAAAGAAAAGCAGCAGGGCTGAATGGGCTCATATAATAAAGAATGCGATGGCGAATTTGTATGCACGAAAAGCTGGTGCCTGATGGAAACAGTTTCCGCTCAGCTGTGTCAGGGATATATACAATCAGACGGCGATTTCCGGAGGGTTATGAAGTATGTTGGAAAGTCAAACGACCACACGACACGAAACCGCTTTGCATCGGAGAAAAAGGCCACGAAGGAGGTACTCTGACAAGTCATATAATTGGAAGGGGAAAAAACTGTAGAGGGGGAAAATGAGGGGGCTGGGTGGGTTGAAAAAGGACGAGATCCGGCGACTCAGGCGCCTAAAATGGGCACGAAGCAACGAACAGGATTAAACACCGCCAAAAGCGTTTACGGTTGGGTGTCGATGACGCTCAGTAACAAGGCAGCCGATTTTGGTGAAAAAATGCCTTGGGAAAAAGACTATGAATGGCTGTTCGTATAGACTATGCCGCGACCAATCGGTGGGGTCAGTGTTTGCTGTCACCGCACACCCTGACAGCCCTATTGGTGTCCCTGTGGGGTGCCAATCGCCTCATCAAAGATCCGTTGGGTAGAAGGAGGGGGAATAAAATGTTTTCGTTGTCTGTACCTGATAATGAGGCAAATAGTCCGGTGTCCGAGTGTTTTCTCGGCGATGACGCATCCTATTTCTCCATCGGAAAGAATCCAGGTATCCATTTCATTCTGCTAGAATAGAAAAGAGCCTAGTCAGGGGAAGAGAAAAAACCCCATGACATGGAAGGCACATGTTCAAAGGAATGGCGGTGATGCTGGTCGGTATGATTGGTCAAGGCCATCACCGCCACTGTGGCTGGTGAAGTACCGCCACACCCGCAAGGAGATACCATACCATACCTCCCGTCAGTACCATACGCAGGTCTACAATTCTAGGCTGTCCCGGAGTGACGCATGATGAGTTTTATATAGAGCACCAAATAGGATTCAAGGGAAAGGGCTGTACGATATGACTCCAGTAATATCGCTCATGCTACCGATTAAAATACCATAGATAGGTCGTACGGAGTACAGGCAACCCGCAATATGCAGCGTAACCCGATCAGTGCTGCGCAATGATGATCAGGGGCTCGAATCAGACTCATTCTTAGTCGAATTCTGTGGACCACACTGACGGATCGATTCTATGGCGTTGAGGATTAATCTGCAGCTTCCCACTGATCGCAACCGTGCCCGGTTTCAAAGGGACTCCGTTATCTCACATATAGGGCCAGTATGCCACCTTTCCAACTTCCTTAACCATTAATTTTCTTCGTACCCTGTACCACACAACTCACTGATGTTTTCGAACCATGCCTCCAAGCAAGAATGATGCGCTAATAGCTCGTTTACTTTGGGAGCCCAGGTCAGTTATTTTCTCGTATAAACCCATGCATTTGTTAGGATGAATGTAGGGTTTGGAGGTAAAAATAGAGAGGAATTATGGGTCAGAGAATTAAAAAAGATTTTCAACGTGTTGACCGACCGCAGGCAGGAGTGTTGTGGCAGATATCCATTCCACGAGAGAATAGGTAGGTAATAGGCTGTTGACGGTGTTGTTGTTCCCCGTGCACCGCCACACTTCTGCATTTGCCATACATCACCGCCATTGAAATCACGACATTTGGTCCAGTCGCAAGACCTTACCGTTTTGGGATAATTGACTCAACTTCCACCTTTTGCCTGCTCATGCAATAATCTTTTCCACTTTGATGTACTAAAAATCTTCAATTTTTGTATATCTGTTTTTCTCTTTGACGTATATCCTCCAATAGTACTGGCTTATACAAAGGAAGAGTGGTTGCAAGGGTGTCACGTGGAGCCACACCATTGATCAATTGATATCCGAATAGAATATATTGGCTGAGACTTCTTCGGCCATTGCGTGCCAGTGATGGACCACACAGTACTACATGAATCGGATGGCACATCTGATATTGATGAACAGACCAAGACCTGGGAATCTGATCCGCGTTCTATAACTACGCACTTCGCCGACGATGACGCGAATGACTCCAATGCGATGATCGAATGTGGCATCGGCCACCGTGTTCAGGCCAGTCGGTCTGTCCTAGCGCTAGTCTTAGACGATGACTGCGTGTTTGCTGGTCTTCAGGGCGGAGACATTGTAGTATGTTACGGAGTGATGTTTCTGAGTCCATTGCAACTCTAATTGGTTTACCTCCGATAGGCATGGTCCCTCCAGACATACGAGCTCGTACTCTCGGTGCATGCTCATCAGGAAAGCGTTCTAGATCTTCATCTCTCCGAAGACAAAGAGTTGCTCTTTTCTAGCGGCGGAGATTCAGTCGTCAATGTAATCCTACCCTCTAACGTGATTCATGGAGAGCGAGGTTTAACATGTATAGGTTTGGTCGACGAGGACCTTCGATCGCCTATACTCTATTCACTCCCACCATGATGTAGGCGATATTTTCGCAGTCGCCTACTCGTCAACTCTGAAGACTATCTATTGTGCTGGTCAAAATACTAGCATCCAGGTAAGTTTTCCTCTGGCTTCGCTTGAATGGGCCTTCTGACGTGGCACAGTGGTGTGATATCTCACAAGCTGATGCGGCTGCCACACAATTGTCAGCGGCTCACCTGTCGAGGAGGACCCATAGGTTCTTTGATTCTCGGGGTCCTGATGGTACTCGTGCTCCGAGACCGGATGCGGGAGCGGACGGAAGCCATTTGGTCACACAGGGTGGTCAAGTTCTCACCTTCAAACGTGATCACCATAGGATATTTTCCCACCATGGCTATGTATACACGATGCTTCTTGTCCGAGGGCTGGTTGAGTCGGTACCCTCCGAGGAAGTACTCATCACCGGTGCTGGGGATGGCGTCGTCAAACTTTGGCGTCTGAACCAGGACAATTCCAACGCGGCGCCGACCCAGATGGCAAAGCTGCAAAATGGCGACCCAGTACTCTCCATCGCGGTTGATGGGTCATTTCTCTACTGTGGCCTCGCAGGTGGCGCATTAAACATCTGGAACCTAGATTCTCATCAGCTTGTTAAACGCATCACTAGGCACACCGGCGATCTATGGGCGGTAGATATTATCCATGGGGTAGCTGTGTGTGGTGACTCAAATGGAATTGTCAAGGTAGTACTGCTCTATCCAATAATCCAGAAGACCTATCTAATCTGTTATGGAATTAGAAATTCAATTCTCGATTTGAAGAGGTTGGCAGCTGGACCGCTCATGAGGGAACAATGCTCGCGTCGGCCGCTGGTCGGCATAGAGACCGATTTATTTACGCTTCAGGAGGAAATGACAATACTGTTGGTATCTGGGATTTGACAGACGTATCCCTAAAGCAGAACGAACTACCTCCTATCAACAATGGTAAGGGATGATGCGGTCCTGAATAAGCATTGTTGCTAACGGCACACAGATGAAATGGTTAACTGCCTTGCTAAGTTTGTCGCTTTCAAGACAGTTTCAGCTAGCCCCAAATTCGCGGGCGAATGCAATCAAGGTGCAGCATTTTTGCGAAGACACTGCGTTTACCTGGGAGCTAAAACGAAGCTTCTGACCACCGGGAAAGACACGAACCCAATTGTTTACGCACGGTTCAACGCAACATCCTCGGAGAAGATTGACAAAACTATTCTGTTCTACGGGCACTACGATGTCGTTGGGGCTGATGCCAACATTGCCAAGTGGAAAACGGATCCCTACCAGCTTACTTCGATGGATGGTTTCCTATACGGCCGCGGTGTATCCGATAACAAGGGCCCCATCCTAGCTGCTTTATATGCGGCTGCGGATCTTGCACGCCAAAAAGCGCTCCGATGCAACGTTGCTTTCCTCATCGAAGGTGAGGAAGAATCGGGCTCCCAGGGCTTCCATGAAACTGTTCGACAACACAAGGAGCAGATTGGTTCGGTCGACTACATCCTGCTTGCCAACAGTTACTGGTTGGATGACTACAACCCCTGCTTGACCTATGGACAACGTGGTGTCGTCCATGCGAACCTGATTGTGACTAGCGACCACCCCGACCTTCATAGCGGTATTGATGGAAGCGCATTGCTAGATGAACCGCTCAAGGACCTTACCTTGCTGATCGGCACTCTGGTGGGGCCTAAGGGCCGCATTAATCTCCCTGACTTCCGAGACCGAGTCTTGCCTCTCCCCGAGGCCGAGAAGCAGCGATACGCGGATATTGCGCAGATTCTTCTGCAACAACACCCTGAGATTACCGATCGCGATGCTTTGATTGACTCACTTATGCATCGTTGGAGGGAGCCAGCCCTTACCATCCACTCCATCGAGGTACCGGGCAATAGCAAGAGCACGACGACAACCATTTCACGCCGGGCGAAAGCCAGTGTATCCATCCGTCTGGTGCCAAACCAGGAAGCAGACGATGTTGCAGCAAGTCTGACGATGTATGCGCAGGAACAATTTGATCTCCTAGAATCGCAAAACGACCTAACTGTTGAGATCACGGGTAAATCCGATCCCTGGTTAGGTGACCCAGACAACGAGATGTTCGAGACTCTTGCGGAGGCTATCACAGCAGCATGGACGCCAGACACACAGGGCCAGAAACATCAATATCCTCCAGCCCAGCGGAACCTACAAGACCGAACGGTCAGCAAGCTATCCAAGGAGCCAGGTTCTCGACTTACTCGGAAAGATTCTTCAGACAGTCTTGCTTCCCATATCGATCGTATTATCATGTCGTCGACCACATCTTCAGCAAGGAAGGCCGAGACACGTCAACGCAGCTCACTCAGCACGGGTGTACCCACTTCCTCGACACTGACTAGCAAATCAAGCCCCGCAGTTGTGTCGGGTGATTCCACCAGAGAAACATCTCCAGCACCTCAGGGAGAAACGCCTCCCCGTCCCGAACCGGTACCCGGGCCGTCCGGCGTCCGTCCTATATATATCCGCGAAGGAGGATCTATTCCAACAATCCGTTTCCTGGAGAAGGAATTCTCGGCGCCGGCAGCCAACCTTCCTTGCGGGCAGGCGAGTGATAATGCGCACTTGTACAATGAGAGGCTGCGCGTGCAGAACTTGTACAAGAGCCGGGAGATCTTTAGCTATGTATTTTCGCGCCTGCCGGAGAGGGAGCGCAAGTGATCTACGAAGAGGTGTTTAGGTTGGTTGAGCACAGTTAGAGCATAATGTTAACGGAGAGAAATCGGCTTCACTGTTATCTGCGGGTTCGCGAAATGATCTTTATATTCCTCAATTCACTTTCAAGGTCGGCGAAAATCTAATAGATTGAATATTCATTTAATAGGAAAGAATCAAGAGGTCTCGAGTTATTTTGTTGGATTGGCTATATAAAGAATAATCTGAAGTGAAGCGCCCCGCAGTATAGTTGGGAGAACAGAGGTGGTAGACTAATAGAGGATACCGCGAGAAAAGTCCACGCCATTTCATGTTGATTCAAGAACTAAGCACCTGACTCAGGAGGTTAGCCGCTTTGCTCAAGTTGTCAGACATTGTTTTAGGCTATATTCCATGTCTTTGAAAGAGTCGTGAACATTGGATATCCACCTAGATAGATGTAATGCTGCTTGTTAGTGGTGATAGGGGTGTAGAGGGTGTAGAAGGAGAGCATATATACTAGAATCTTCAAGTGGTAGAGATGGTTGAAAACAAGATGCGTAGTTGGTATAGCGGATCCGGGGGTGGTGAGACATATTAGCAATGGTGTAGCGGGATCTGCCATGAAAATATAGAATATCATGATGTCTTGTAAAGCATCAGCATCATGTGAATCAACTATATATACATCACTCAGATACAGTATTAACCGCTACATGTATTATTAACACAGGATGGCACGAACAACCAAGGAAAGCAACCATATCAGACCCAGTATGAAACTCGTATCGTCGTCGGTACAATGTTGTAGAATGTTCCAAATCATCCCGCTAAAGGCTTCCTTCCAATAACAACATGCAGATTCACCACCGGCAAAACATTCTGGCAGCGACTCTCCAGCTCCCCGACCAACCGCTCGGTCCGTTCTAAGGCATCCTTCTCTTCTGTTACCTCTCCAGTCCCTAGCATCGACTTCGGCAGCAATGACCGCAAGACCTGGACCAGCCATGCCCGTGCGGAATCATGCAAATATGGTTTATCAACGGTATTATACGACTGCCGGGATATATCCTCAAAGCCGACCATATTGGCTAGCTTCTCGATCAGTACTGGCGCCGTCGGACACAGCCCCAGGTTCACCGCTGCTGACGCGACAGTCTCCTGCATGCGGAGAATGAACGGATCAGGCGATGATTCCGCGGTAGAGAATGCGGTCGTGTCGCAGTCGTCCCATTGAAGGTAGCCTCCTGGTTCTGCATACTCCCATTAACATAATTAGGATATAGAAAAGGGAAGAAACGTACTCAGTAGCTCATATACGTTACGCATTGATTGAGAATAATCTTCTTCTTTGAGGGCACCGACGAGGAGCCGGAGGTGTACTAAATCATATCGGCCTCTATGCTCTGGGGGAAACCGGTTGCGCATGTCATGAGTGGAGAGGTGTAGTTCATGTGTGGGTGCAATATCCTTATAGAATGGGTATTGGGCTGAGGAGATATCGAAGCCGTGGAGATAGAGACGATCGGTAGGATGTGTTTTGAGGGCCGTAATGAGGGACGAGAGCCATATACTTGGGTCTGTTAGCACGTCCTTGTACTTTGCTGAAAGCCAAAGAAAGGAAAAAAAAGAGAGAACTGGACACACTCACCCGGTCCCCGTTGCAACGTCTGCTATAGTTGTGATATTCTCTATAGGGATGGCAGGATGGATAGATCTACCCCCAATCAAGTCGACAAGGAAGTTATGTTGGGCATTGAGTCTGTGCTATCAGCTTTGATAGATCAGGATGAGGCAGGCAACTGAGCAAAGAACTACCTACCTGGCAGATTCCTTGGGGCTGCGATTCAGCAGGTAAACCTCGTCATTTGGGGAGACCGAGCGTGTACGGGCTACGATCTTCTTAACTCGACGCCAAAGCCTTAACAACAAAGTGTGTACGAAGCCCACCATCATGATTTACGGGCTAGAAATCCGAGGGAAAGGAACGACTGTCCGCACACCCAAGCTACCGGGGCCAATTCCAACATATAACGTCATGACCATTCCCTGCATTCTCCACATGTCAAGCCATGGGTAGGCCAGCGACAGACGTCAATGGCCATGCACAACCCTCAACAGGGTAAACGAGGGAAAAAACCCCCTGACTCTCTTGACGAAGCCTAGACCAAGATGGTCCTTACCAAGTGGACTAACACCACTCCAACCGTTGACCCAAGGTCTCGGAATGAGCACTAAGGGAAACACTATTTGGCACGATGGATCCACTGACAGTAGCGTCGTTTTCCGGCTCGTGGGTTGAGTATCCACACCAACGCTAAAAAGAGCGAGTGGGGAGGCCATGCTTGCTGCCAAGGTACTGTCCCGTCTTTTCTTCGGGCTTCGGGGATTGAACATGATTCAGACTAGGACTGCAATCAGGCAATGCTGCATGGGGTTGCCTTGTGCTCCGATGGGTTCCATGTCTTTTTTCTCATCCTAGCTTAGCGCTTCCATAAGCAAGACAAGGAGAAAGGGGAGAGAAAAGAGGAAGGAGTATATACTCTCTCATACAGTCCTTTCTGAGAAAAGGCAAGTGCTGCACTGTGAAGAACAGAGAGAAAACACAGGTTCGCTAGTCCCAAAGATGGAGCGAGCCACTAGTGGAGTCAACACGGCAGTACACAGTAAAAATGAAAAAATGCGGCAGTAGAAAATTCCCGAAGTTCAGGTTTAAGTGTGAAAAGTCTCCACTTCGCCTCGAAGTTTGACTGACCATTTCCTTTTTCATGCTCTCGTTCCGGCCCAACGGACTGGGGCCACGTTCACTTGCAGACACACATATGCATCCTCCATTACATACTCGCAGTCCAACAACAACAACACATCCACTTATTCTACACTATGATTAGGTATCTACACGTAATCTAAGGTACAAAGTACAAGGTCATCATCGAATCACCAGATCCTCTTGGCCACCATCTCATACCGTCGAACGTGGTCCATGTTCAGCTCCTCCTTGGAATTCTTCTCCTTTTCTTCTTTGGCCTTCAGCCGTCGTAGTCCCTCGGGATCATCCGTGTAGATCCACCGTCGGTGGTCGTCATTGACTTCCACCACTCCCCACCCGCCAAACCGACGACTGCCCTCTACCGCATATTCTCGTGCGCGGGGCGGGCCACCGTTCTCATGAGACGATTGCTCCGCCTCGCGCTGTTTCACCGCTCGGTAGCGGGAGCGGGCATAGGCTAATAATACCATTCCTAGGAGCAGTTTCACGATCAGTAATACCACATATCCCGTCAGAATGAGAACGACGGTGAAGATGTACACGGACTGCGCTGGGGATGGCATGGTATTCGCTAGAAGCTGCCGGAAGAAAGCGTTCATATGTGCCGCAGATGCTGGCACGATCGTCCGCAGCGTCAGCGGCGGCGGAGACGGGATCGGAGCGGGGACATAGTGGCCGTAGATAGAAGATAACGATGTTGACTCTACAGCCGTAGACGAGGGGTGTTGCGGCAGCAAAGCGGCCAGGAACATCTGATACGTCTGGACAGTAACCCGAAAGAAGAGGCATGACAACGGGATGACCGGCAGTCCCAACCGACGGGTCAGATTCTGATCTCCAAAGGCATTCGTGTAGTAGTCTTTCGTCAGAACGTCCAAGAAACGCTTGTAGATGGCGGGGCGGGTGTTATTGAATTTGCCGATGTATGCATGTTTGAGCCAGTCAACAAGCATCTCGGACCCCAACACAACCAGAAAAGGCCCGAGGACCTGGGCGAGAGTGGGGAGAAACGAATTCACATGACTGAAGGACGCAATGATGGATGAAGGCACAATCGTGAACGATTGCGGTAAGATCGACGACATGGTTCGCGGTGGCGTTGACAACGGTGTGCTATTGGTGCTCGTCGACTGACTGCTGAAACTGGAGCCCAGGTTGCCAATGAAGTTGAATGCGCCCGTCTCGACGATATTGCGCGAAGCAATGATGGTGAGCATAAGCCAAAGCTGAAAGCGCTCCACCACATCTGCGCAAGTTAACTGGAACAAGTTTTCTTTCTCGAATTTCTTAAAGACAGTAGACTTAATCTCGACAAACTGATTCGATAGCAGCAAGGAGAGCAAAGCATTTGAGTATGAATTGACAGCCACATTCAGCGTCATGACCTGATAAAAAAGTGCCGTAGCATGTACCACTGTGTAGGCCAACGCCAACAGGAAAAGCCCAAAAGGCCGGAAGACTTTGCTTCGTCCATTCGGCCGACGTTCCAAAGCCTCCCGCGAGAAAAGACACTCCAACACATCCTGCCCAATGGCTGCAAATAGCCGGTCGCTGACTTCCAACACGTTGTAGATCACGTAAAGTTTGATGGCGGCCTGCCCTCGGATCCAGTGATACATCCGGCTTGCATCAAAGTACATGAGAACAGCACATGTGGCAATCATTAGTAGACCCTTGAGAATATCTGCCTTATCGTCAGGAAGCAGTGCGGACGGAATGGACTTTTGTCGGCGGTGTTGATGCTTGTGATGTGTATCGGAGCGGCACCGTCTGCGCGCCTCCGCTGCCTTCGTTTTCACATCGCGCTCAGTCCCAGCCGATTCCTGTCGCGACCGGCCTTCAGCTTCTGAAACCAGGCGTGGCTCATGCGTTCCGTCTCCAGACACCTTGTTGCGCCTTCGCCATACTCTTCCCACGCCTTTAATGATAAAGCCGGAGATGAACCGAAACTCGAAGCCCAGATTAACCATCCAAGATTCTAGCAAGATATACAAAGCTTTCACAAAGCGAAGAGGAAGTATGGTAAAGGAATAGAGCCACGAGTCTAAGCAAGCCAGTATTCCAAACCAAAATACCTGCTCTAGCACTGGTGGAAGCATAAAAAAGTTCATCAGCCGCTCAAGCTTCACGCGAGAGGACTCATATGGGAAGTCGCTGGCGGCTGAGGGATGTATGTACAAGGGGGAGGGTCGGCCCGATGCAAGTTCTAATTGTAGATAAGTCGGAACAGACAAAGGAGGGAGGGGAATCGACGGTGGCATGGGTGATGGCAGTGCAGAATCGGCCATTTGTGGTGCAGAATTCAGGTTCTTGGAGTCTGATTCCCGACCTATGCTGGGACGATCCTGCTTCGACCGGGATGCCCACGTCTGTGCAAGGCGCTCGTTGCTAGGTAGCGTTTGTCGCCGAGCGGAGGTTGGGGTAGAAACAGCCCGTGAGCTTTGTGAGCGATGTCGAGTAGACGATGTGGGTGGTCTTGCCAAGCCTCCATCAAAAGTGAATTCTTTCTTTGTTCGGGATTTCGTGGCATGATCGGGTAGGAACTTTATATCGTTTGTTAGAGGCGAGGCGCCGTCCATCAAGTTCGTTTGCGAGTTTGAAGTATGCGTTTGGTCAGAAACAACCCTGCGACTTTGTTCGCTATCTGCCGCGCGATAAGGAATCGACTGAGGCGACGACGTGAGTTCTTGTATTTTGGCGGGGGATAGTTTCGGAACTCGCTCTCGATCCTTGTCCTGGTTCCTGGTTGGAGAGACCTCTCTAGACCACTGGTTTAGAACAGTCGCAACTTCGGATCCATCAATAACATCCACCAAAGAAGTCCTATGTGACGTGCTGCCGTTGGCATTGTCAGGTGCCTGAGAATGCTCAAAGACCATGCCAAAAGCCTGATCGGGTGGCAAGGAGTACTGTATGTTTTTCTGGTCGCCGTTCGTAGTTCGCTGACTTGGGGACCGGTGATGGCTAGCGCTGTGTCCATTGACCTGAGGACCATTTCGGTGTGGTTCTACACCTAAAGGTCTTCTCTTTGTAGCATCTGGGGCTTCGGAGACCACCGAAGCTTCAAAACCTTCATCTAGCAGATTCAAAGGTGACGGTTGGAGCTGTCGGGATCTTCGGGATATTTTCTCCTGATTTCTGGTTTCCGCTATTGCCTCCGTTTGCCTCTGTCGGGGACTTGGTGATACGCTCTCTGAACGGGAGGACCCCGCAAAAATGTCCGTGTCCTGCTGCTTCCCGGACTCGTTGTGTAACCCGTCCATCATTCGGGCGATTGCAGAACTTTCCAGTCCAGTTGTCCGAAAGTTGGGGGACTTGCGATCATCATCCGAGGCGACCGAAGCTCGAGGAAACTCGTCTGGTTTGGGGGCGAGAGGTGAGAGAAGGGGAGACACCATTGAAGGGAGCGATCAGAGTAGACATGGGATGATTGGCGAGCAGCTGAGCAACGACGCGGTATCTCGTTTCGAGATTCAGGCGGGGTTTGAAGCCATAATGGTAATCAAGCCCCAGGTTTACCGTCAGAGTCGAAAATTGAGACGGAGAGAGGAAGAAGAAGCGCTGTTAGCTATGTCCTCCGTAATCGCTCCCCGTGATAGTCGCTAGCCGGTGAGGGTCGAGCCAAAAGGCGGTCAGACGGAAGTGGATTCCACTCCATTTATTCTGGGTAGTTGGGGTAAACCCCTCCCTATACATGTTGTTTGTTCATAGCGAGTTTTCACACATAAATGCTTCAATTCATGATTAAAGTTTCGTTGTCAGAAATCTTCAGATAATTCTTCTTGACTTGGTATGTCTAATTGTTAAACATGCAAGTGTATTTACCCCTTCTTCGTTATGATCCGGGTCTCGCTGTGACATGAGAAAGACTGCCCTTCCTCGGGTTATAGTTCCGGTTTACTACCTTGAAGACGTATTTGTGATCATAGCAGTAGGGGGAAATGTACAGGATATTAGGGGAAACGAAATTGATAAATGTTGATCTCTCAGCTTTGATTCTACCGTCCCCTGGGTTCGTCCATTAACAAACTGCTTTCAGCTCAAAGGGGGCAAAGAGCAAATATATATTATCAAAGCTGCGAGGATATTTTATGGGTGTCCTAAGTCTAACTCCTCTGCTCTCTTCTCCAACATGGCTTCAGGTACAGAATATCGGTGCAAGAGGCCACCCAGTGATGTCCTTCAGTTCTATTTGAGAGACGACAATTACAAACCGTACAAAGCTCTACCAAATAAACCATTAAAACCCAGTGCAAGGCCTACACCTTTCGTCTATCGGCTTCCAGTCAAAATACTCCACTCGATACTTCTCAATCTTGACTTACACAGCATAGGGATGCTGTATCGAGTGGACACGCTAGGGAGATAGTTAGTGGAATCACTACCTGCATACACCTTATTCAAGACTCATACTTCGCACACGCTCTATATGATCGACGCTACCAGATGTTCTTCACATTTCCCTATACAATGGCTTTTTGCAGAGTTCATTCATCCATGGTGCCGAACATGTTCCGATGTTGGTCCCTTTCTTTACTTGCCCACTTTCACGCGCTCATGCCAGAAATGTCGTTACCTTCGACAAGAATATAAATTGGCACAAGTAGCTGATATTTGCTTGCACTTTGGACTGAGACAGAAAGATATCAAATAACCCCCAATCATTTACAATATTGAACCGCCCCGATACCGCTTAGCCGATATTACTCAAGCAAAAGCCCCGGGGATGTAGATTCGTTGAAGTCGTAAGGAGATGAGACGGGCGTGCAAGGCTGGCTTAAAGAGACGCGAAGAAAGTTACCAATGTTGGGTTCAACAATGGAAGAGGAAACCGCGTCAAGGGATCCATGCCGGACGTCCTAGACGGTGGCCTGCTCCTACATCCCTAGTTGTGGACGAGAGAGTCTAATGGAGGATGCAGGCAACAGTTGCATTTCCATACTGGCATTACCAGGCACAGACATTGGAGCTAGGTACCTACTGCCGAGTTTGTATTTATCACTGAGAGAAGGGTAAGGCGGATGATTGGAGACGTATGGAGACAATTTGGGATCTACACCCCCCACCAGCAGAGAAACCTATTATCGAGCATTCTTGGAGGCTGATATACCTCAGCATTTCTTAAATTGTCCAGCGGTGAGGGCAGACTACGATTTTGGAAATAAAGAAGCAGTTCTAGGGCATTATAAGAGGGATGGAACTGATTTCATTGTTCATCCTAAGAAAAGGTTCCGGTCCCGATACCAACTTTGGGTATTTTCCGGCATTCCATGGCACTCAGATAGATCTTCAACTGAGGGTATAGCCAAGGTAAGATCTTAATGAACAAACTTGAACGGAGAGTTTGAGGATATAATATAATGAAACGGTGTGGACAGGGAGTGAGCGCAACATGTAGCACACCTTGTATCAGTGCAATCTCAGGATTGTTTTTCCATATTTGCTTTCGCAGGGTTTGAAATAGATAACTCTCAACTTATCTTACTTCCTCCTCCACACTGTAGTATTATTTAGTGCTCTGTTGTTCGGCTAGCCAAGGCATATCCACGATGTCTTGTGGAACTGGTGTTATACCAGTGGATCGAGTACACGCGAAGCTCAATAGTTAGTACGCAGTTGCAATAAGGGTATCGAAAATCGGTTATTTGACCAAAATATTCAATTGTAAGTCATCAATATGTATCTGCACGAAGGAAAGGATGGAATTCGCGATAGGCTTCAATCTCTATCATTATCTCAGGATGGATAAATTCCACTCCCCTGGGTTAGCCACAGTACAGGGTTAGATCCCGATATCAGTGACAATATTCACCCTCGCCCTTGCCATACCTTATATGAGAGGTTAGCAACATAATTCAATGCGCTGGCTGACTGGCTTCGCAGCAAGGACGATAGAGCAAAGGTGCATAGTGATGATTTGTTAAAGAGTAGCTATGTCCTTGGGTGTTTGACAGATAAGGCTTCTTGGATTTCCCATTTCAAGAAGCAAGCCAAGGTGAAATTCAGTTTGCGTGAGGTCCTCATTTACAGAAGAAATAAGTCCTCTGGATTCTGAGCTTGGGGTTTCTTTGTGCATCCAAGGGCACGAAGGTTTAAAGCTGTTGACGTGGAACAGAAACACCAATATGGCAGGGAGATGAAGAAAAGTGACCACATATGAAATTTATAATGTCAATCAATGAATAATGCTCCATATCAACAACGGTGCTGCACAAGTTAATATTCGTTATGAACCTATTGGCACTCCATTAATATATTACATCGCGCCCTTCTTGTATAAGCGCAACTTCTCAATTCAGGTTATGACATGTTACCCCGTAGGCCATTATATAGTACAGGCTATATTACAAGGTAAGCAGGCATATGCTTTGGAGTCTCTGGCCCTCACAATTATGACTAAATGATAACGAGGGGTACTGGCATTATAGAAAATAATCAATACTCAATAATGCGTTGTTAGATCCACAATACATTACTAGATAATCTGAAGTCATGCTCAGTCCGATACTTATCAAAAGAATAAGACTATTTCTAATAAATACATTCATCGTAGCTAAATATAACCCTGTCCATAATTCTGTGGCTGAGGCGGATACGCTCGTGGAGGTGCAGACCTGTTATCGTATTCAGCCGACGGCGCGAATGCACTTGGTCCTGTCTGTTGATACACGGGAGAATTTGAGGCGAATTCTCTCGCAAAAGGTGCTGGGGAATTTCTGGAAGGCTGATCGAATGGTGCATAACCATCTGGTCCTGAGGGCCGCGGTGCTCCGCGAGGTGCGACATGCGAAAAGTTTCTCGTCGTTTCTTCATAAACGGGGCTAAAACTGGGCTGGGGTCTGGCCGGCGGTTGACCTGCCTCACCAAAGGACCGCACAGGAAAGCCAGCCAGCGAAGGCAGGGTAGGAGTGCCGCTAGGACCAGGAGGTGAAAAAGTTCGAAGGGGCCCGTTTTCCTCTGGTGACATACTCCTTCCTGGTGTCAGAGTTCGTGCCGCACTCTCTGTTGGGCTATATGAGTGGTATGGCGCATTTGATGCGAGATCGTGAGACGGATATGTCTCATAGGGACTGCGAGTGTCGCCGATGTCTCCAAAAGCATGCGCTGAAGCCATACTACTCACTCCACCAACTGAGGCCGCAGGTGCGGGTCCTGGCATGTTATTGAGCCTTGACATCGGCGTTTGAATCCGAGAAGCAGGTGTAGGCATCTGAGTTGGGAGAGGAGGTACAGGTGGCGCTGGAGAGCTTTGGCGATCAAGAGGACTATATCCCGAGACTGCCGTACTTCCCGAGAGTGAAGTGGACGCGGAGTAGGCCGATGATTGAGTCATTGTTCGGCTGAGCGGGGGTTTGTCTTCGAACGCTGCCACGTTCGGAAGGGTCGGAGCCCGGTCCGGTGCAGCTTTGCCTGAGCGTGATAAGTGCGACGGCAATGTGGTTTGCGTTGTGCTGCGCGAGAGAGTTGTGACAGTCGGCGCCTTGTCATGACCACCGACGGTGGGCAAAGTGGGATTCGTATCCAGACCCATGTTGGGTTGGGTTGGTTTTCGCTCCTGTAACACCATACCCTTAGCCAAAGCTTTGTTCACCTTCCGGCGCACAATGCGAGTGAGTCGGGTTTTGATCTTTCGTCGACAGTAGGCTTTCAGGGAGCCATCTTGGGAAGGGATATGATGGAACAAAAAAATGAGGTACAAGATAATGGCGAGCGCCAGCTTCAGGATGGATAAAACCCAAATGACCAAGGTGAAAAGCATGCCAAAGAGGACCAGGGCGCGTAGGTTGTTATTTTCAGCCAAGATCTTCACATTGTCAAAGAATTGTATGACCGGAGATGAATCATCTGAGTCGGGTGCATTCTCCCCACCGGGAAGCAGGTCCATGCGCATAACCGAATACAACGTGATCGCATTGACGACTTGACGCGGCCCATCGGCGATAAGGACATTCATCCAAGCTAACCATCGAATTAGTATTCATCGGATTGAGAACTGAAAATGGCCAGACTCACTCTCAAAGGAGAAATATGCAAACAGAGCAACGTACTCGGCCCCTTTTTTGCTTTTGGTGAGCTCGGCAAAGACGAGGAACCGTTTCCATCCATGACCACTGGCCCATAGGCGAATACTTTGAATGCGCACCGCGAGGGAGTCCAAGTAACTCTGCGAGATACTCCCGGACCGAATGGCGCGGATAGCACGGATCCATCGCAGAACCAAGAGAACGAACGAGATGATAATACAGACGGCAAAAATCCATCGAGAGACGGTAAAGGGAATGGCAGGCTCGATTTGTCCGGCCCATTTCGAGAATGCCAGTAGATTAACGGCAGTGAAGGTGTCGACCGCATACACCGCTATTGAAATCACGAGGAAGACCCAAAGAAAGAAGTAAGAGAATGGCGATAGACAGGACTCTGATGTGAAGTCATTCAGATTCTACGGAGTATATCGATGTTAGCCAAGGAACATCGACCAGGGGGTTTTCTCTACCCGAGGGAACGCACGATGTAGTCCCATTGTTCCTCCAGGGCTACCGGGCCTTTTTCACGATCGCCGCAACAAGGCATTCTGTGCGTCCTCGGTCCTGCCGAGAAGCAAAATGACCGACTCTGTGAATGAGTTTAAGGAGGGGCAGCCAGTCGCAGACAGGCAGGATGAACTTCGGCGGGCCAGCCGGGCGAAGTGAGAAATTGCAGCAGGCGCAATAACAGCGATTGAGGAAGTTGGGTTTCTTTTGTAGGGAGAGCCGATCCCAATAGCGAGTGACAAACAAGAACTTTCAAGTGGATCGTGTTCGATCGGCGGTTGCGAGAATCAGTGGCGCATCGCCGTTGGACAGTCGCAGGGCTGGAGATCGCAGAGACACGCGTATAACAGCCCCGGCCCGTCATACAGGGGCCATTGGGCTTGTTCAAAAGCGAAAGTAAAGCTCTGAAACGAACGAGAGTGGTTTGTGCGACTCTTTGTCCTCTCTCAGAGAAGATGATGGGACTAGCGCCAAGATCAGGGCTTTGGGGCGCGTTTGGAGACCGTCGCAACCGAGATGGAGAATTGCGGGGACTCGGGCAAACATAGAGTGGGATTCTGGATGGTTGACTGGGTCGCAAGGAACGAACAACTGGATTGACAGCGGTTAAAGAGGGTCGATTGAATCGACAGCCACCAACGGAAGAGAACAATATGAGAAGAATGGAAGCGCAGGTATGCAGGAGCCCCTGTGATGAAACACGAGGAGAATGCACAAGGGAACCCAATCACGTTCGAGGGGCAATCTGACATTGCGCGGTTAAGGTTCAGGAACCATTTCATTTCGGAGGTCTTTTCCTTTCAGAAACACTATCTCCGTTCGATCAGCAGAAGAAAGACGCTCACCGCGACAAAAAAGGAACAGAAAAATTGACAACCGGAACACACAAAGATAGTAACACTTCTTTTCTCTGTCAAGATTCAATAAGCTTTTTTTTGTTTTCTCTGGAGTTCTTATTTTTCCAAGTTTTTTTCTTGAATGTGGTTGTCTTCCACAAGCTTCTCCACTTCTGACTTGGCATCATTTCCAAATGGGCTGACGAGGGTCATTGCGGAAGGAAGTGGGCGCGAAGCGTGTGTCTGTCCCACGGAAGGGGACCCCATAAAATGCCCTACCCACCGACATACGCACGGGCCAACTTCCATTGACAAGAAATCTCCCGAGGTAAAAAAAGGGACGATGTATATCAATGCGGTGTGTGCTTGTCCCACAACAAGGGACCCCAAGCCCACCACCACAACACACAGAAGTATCACACGATAGCTAATGGTCGACGCAGTGTGTACTTGTCCCGCAGAAGGGGACCCCAGGCCCGCCACCACAGCACACGGAATGCTACGTCGCCGAGGAGGAATCGATCATTTTATCCAAGCGCACGCCGTGTGTTCCCAAGAATTGAGAACCCCACCACGTCGTCGACCCCACGGGTCGCAAGGAGAGCTATAATGACCAAATCCTCCACCCACTGCGAATAATCGCCGAAACTACCAGGCGCACAGGATGAGCAGTGCCCTACGATCTTAGAAACTTTGCGCAACATCCCCTGGAGGAGAGCTCGCAAGTCCATGTAGGAGATCAGGGGATAGTGGGCAGACGTCTGTTGCCCTGACGGCGCACAGGCGTCGATAATCTCTCCAAACAAAAACATCTGCTCAGCTGGAGAAGTCATGTTGGAAATGATGGTTGCACAGGCCGTACAAATCTTGTCAAAAAAGTGTCGAGAAAGGTTATGAAAAGCCGAACCCCGTATCAGGAGGCCTGGAATGACCAGGTATGGCTATAAGCAGCCAAAGATAGTATGATGATGTAAATATTTTGCTGTCTGCGACAGGCTTCAAGCTCAACGAAAATTTTGATCTCTCAAGCGCTGGCGATCGGCTTGAAAGAGTTGATGATCGTGAGAGGGAAGAGATGAGACAAAGGCTGGGGGGTCGCAAAAAGAAGAAGGAGCAATACAATGAGTCTGTTAGGCAACGACTTCACATCATACAGTGAATTGATGTCCAAGTAGGAAATCAAGGCAATGCAGCCTCCTGGAGCCAGATAATGAAAGTCACCAGGTCCAGATTGATTGTATGGTCGAGGAGCTTCAGCTGGCTAGATGCCTACGGGCAGTGAGTATGATAGAGATAGACGTGCTTCAAAGGACGTGGGGTGAAAACCTGTCAAGTCTACAGACAATGTACATCGAGCTTAACAACCCACAGAGGCATGTGTCATTTGAAGCTCAAGGCAACCTTTAACAGCATGACAACATAGGAGTCGACCTCAATTGTAGTATCAATAACCAGAAACAATGGCCTTTGTTCGATATGGAGAATCGCATCTTATATGCTAGTTCCCTATCTCTGCCTAGGGGACTTGCGAACTAAAATGTACTTGTAGAATTCACTCTTCTAATGTCTACTACAGAAAGACTTTCGTAGATGTATGATGTGCAGTCTTGGTGTCCCACCCGGGCTTGGATTCTTAGTGAATGTATGTGATGAACCTTGAATATTCCTGCTAAAATGGCTAGAGTAAGAAGACAAACAGAAGAAGAAAGATACAAAGAAAGAAAAATTTGACCTGGTTGTTAGAGTCCAGTAAAAAAACAACAACACCAAAGAGCTCCTTAGCATGATAAATTGAAAGTATTCTGTTACATATGTATACTGTTTTTTCAATGCCATAACAATGATGAAGATATGTCATATGTTCAGATTCATATACCTTTACTTGTATATCAAGTTGGTTCAATGAGCTCGTCCGCCAAACGATGCAGGGAAAGCGCTTAGCAAAAGTCTATCCCCGAACTACCCCCGAACTATCCAGTATATGGAAAAGTTCTATACAACAGTACCATCACTGCAACCGCAACCCAAGACCGATGGAGCTCTTAAATCTCCAACGCCTACAAATCAGTCAGCATGCCAATCCCCCCCCGAAAGACCCCAAGACCTAGTAAATAATGAAACTCACCATATCAAACCACCCCCCACCGGCAAACTGACACAGACTCGGCCCCTGGTTCTTAAATCCCGCACGCTCATAGAACCGGACCAGATAATCATGACAGATCAACACAATTCGATCTGCCTCTATGTCCGCATTCCTGATATACTCCACATACTCCTTAACAAGATAATTTCCCACTCCTGTCCCTTGATACTCAGGTAGAACTGCAACAGAATGAACGGCGATATTGGTACCGCGCGGATCATTGCCAATGACCTCTCCGTCTATTATGACAGGGTCGTGGGGGGAGCGAGATTGCCAGTCACTGGGCATCTTCATGGAGCCTTCCGTTATTGTTGTTGAGAGGGATCGGATCCCGATGACGTTAGCGATGAGTTGTTCTGTGTTATCTGCTTTTATGAAGAGGCCGAGGCAGAGTTCTGGGGTTCGTTCGAGGCGGTATAAAAACTGTGGTATGAGTTTAAGTATGTGATTTTGGTGTTGATTGGGGTTGGGAGGTACCTTTCTTCCGAGCATCTTTCCTGCTCTACGAATGCGCTTTCAACTGTTACGCAAGACTTGAGGTCTGTGGCGGTTAGAGGGCGAGTAAAGGTGTTTTGACCAGCTAGGGCCGGTAGGGGGTTGGTTGATGCCATTGTAGGGGTGGTTTTTGAGTTGGGTTCTTTTGGTAGATGTTGTGCTCAACTATCTTTATCTGTTATATACCCCGGACTATGTACAGTATCCACTTGTAAAGGAGTCATACTTCGTATTACTCATATACGTATGGGTACCTGGAGGAGAATTTCTTCTATGAGAAAAGGTCCCGCGAATCAGAGAAGATTGAATAGAAAGACCGCGCCCTACGCCGACGCCTTGCGCCACTAAGTGGGTCATTCTCAAACCACCTTAGGACTAGTATACTTACACCGGGTATGCAGTGGTGCTTATATTGTCGCATTAAGATAGTAAAGAACATAGTATTGGATTCTTTAGGATCGCATGGCATCTATTGGTCTAGGCACAGGGCCTTTTGTAGGGAGTGGAGTCAACGTGCATGTTCAACCTATCGTCTATGATGTGTATAATATGTGTTTCGCGTTGTATATTTGTGTATGGTTCTCCGTTGATCTCAAGATTTTTGGGTTGAAGTTTCCAATTGCTTCAGCTGCACATCCCCATGGCAAAGCTTTACCTGGTGGTCTCGTACTCAACTCGATTCTTTCCTCGTTCTATACCCGTTGTACTGCGCGTCCAAGTTACGTCTGTATTGAAGTATTGCTCACCCCCAGCCATGGAGTGCAATATCATTACTGAATCATGTTCAAGGAATGACGTAGAATATCCATTGAAATCAGTGGCCAGAATGAGAGCTCTATCAGGTCGTATTCAGAGATGAGAAGGAACTGCAATGAATCACTGCTGCCCGGAACAGTGAATATGATCACATCAAAGCCACACCTGTCATTATACCTCGACATTATGAGAAGCTTTCTCATCAATATGATTCTGGTAGATATACTAATGGTATCATCCTTCATTGCCTGTCTCTGAAGGAGGGTGGTATTGGGTGGCTTTGAACTAATTAATGCTCTATTGCAATGGCAGAACTTTGGTTTTCTCTTGACGAAGTAGTCTGTACACTCATTCAACCACACTCAGTTTCTATACTTGCCACTAGCATCAACAAGAGCACTTCCACGCATTCCATGGTCATCTGGTGGTAGAACGAGACTGCATTATATGAACTGTTTAACATTGGAAAAAACTAGATATTTCGAAGCGAAAGTAACCAATCTTTTGTTTTTAAATATATAGAGACCCGAAACCGAAATATAAGGATTGGTGAAAATAAGGGATTTCTCATCGCCCAAAATGACGATTGGCTGGCACAGTGCGTTGAACCGTGTTCATGCGATCACGAGGTGCTGGAATTGCAGGTAGATCATCGGGAAGTAAGAGATTTTGGTGGGAAAGGATACAATCATATTGATTTCCAAGTATCTCCTTCAGGCAGCCCTTTTGAGACAGCTGGTCCAGCATGAAGTTCGCAATTTGTGCTCGTGTGACCCAGGCTTTAAAGTTGGAAACAAGCAGAGCCTGTGTTTTTTCAACTCGCAGCTTGGGCGGGTTGGCTCTAACGATAGTGTGGTGAAAAATGCCTTATCAAGTTGCTGGTCCAAATGTTGCCTGCGCTTTTCTCCCAGCTCGAAATCCTTCGTTGTGCTGGACGTGTCATCAATGAACATGCGCAGAGAGGCACAGTTGGAGCAGATGCATCGTATGGTCGTCCTCTTTTTCCAGTCTGGTGGTGGTGACGGAGGGGCCTCTTTGACGTAGTCACGCACATATTTGGCCAACATATGTTTGATGAATCGCCGTTCACTGGCTGTGGAGGAACGGTTTGCCGTATCTATGTGTGCGCAAATGCCGTTCGCTACTGGGAATAGAAAGTCATCAAAAGCACTCTCCTCTGTCCCTTCCTTGACATCCAAGGCATGTTCAGTAAGGGCGTTGATTACTCCCATGCTGTCATTGCCTGTAGCATCAGCAAATTGAATCAACTTTAACTACCCGACTCGGGGAGATCCGCGAAGTAGTGCTTGGTAAATCGTAGTTGGAAACTCTCCGTATGAGCTTTGCTTAGGATGTGAACTTATCGCACTTTCAATCTTGAAAGATCCCACAATCTTGGAGAACAGCATTTTAAGTACTGCATCTGCGTCGCCCTTGTGAAACTTACCAGCAAGTGAGTAGTCATGAGCCGATGTAATGAATGCCACAATAAAAACCGTGTTATCCAATTTAGTTTTCAAGAAGGGTATGGCCCTGATGCAGTCAGCTCTGTAATCCTTACTCCAAATAAGCACACCTTTACCTTGAGAGCACCCTTCTTGTGGGGAAATCACTTAATTCTTTTGCCAGATCATGCCCGTCTGATTCTGAGCCTCCACTATGAGCATCGAATGCCTTAGCGAGATCGCCATCATGATATTCTTCAATCAACCTATAAAGCATATTCATGCTTCGAGAAAACGATTTTTTGTATTGCGTGCCACTAGACCTCCCCTTCTGGAGGATCTTGTCCAAGCTGCAGGAGTAGGTCAGGGCTTGAACGGTATACAGTGGTATGTCTTTGACTTACGAGGAGCAAATAGTGTCCATGCCATTTTGTGAGATAATCTTGCTATTTGGTCGACTCGGGCGGCTTGAGAGCGAAAAGACTTACTGTCAAGCCACTTCATAGCCCGACAGAATAATTCCACGTCAGAAAGCTCAAGAGCGATCTGCAAAACCTTGTCTTGCCCTTCTTGTGGCCTGGCATACAGCTCGTACAAGCTCTCCACTGGAGTAATCACCCTACACACTTGTAAGAGCTTTTGCTTGGCCCGCATGTCATTGGGTTGTTCTAGTACGGCACGGTGACAGTCTTCCAGGACCTTTAAAACATCACCCTGGCCATGTTTCAACCGCTGGATTGTGAACAAAAAGCGAAACCTTCTTGGGATTTTCAGTGCGCCCTGGAAACCTGTCATTAGAAGCAAGAATATACAAGAGAATAGCAGAGTGCGCATCAGTCATTATGATTAGCCTGAAACCTTACCGTCTGGTGGTAAAAGTGGGTTGCCGAAGCCCCCTCATTGCCCGTGAAGCCTTAAAAGTTTTCTTTATCTGGATCACGGTCAAAAACACCATTTTGAATGATTAGCAGGTCGGGGAACGGTAGATTCTTTCCAATAATAACACCTTCCGAGTCCACCACATGCGACAGCTTAAGGCTGGTCTCAATTAAATCTCTAATACGGTGAGTTCTATTACGTCTCCGGCCATAGAAGTCACCGTAGGAGTCCCCATCATCATCATCAACTTCACCCATGTCCTCTTTCTCGATATTAGCTAGGAAGATATCGAAGCCGGCCCTTTGACATGCATCCCGGAGTCCTGCAAAACGACACTGGTCAATCCCTTTCAGCCGAGAAAAGCCAAGCTCCGCACTGGTATACTGGTGCTCAAGAACATAGATGAGTGCTGGTGGGCAATAATTATAGATGCAATTACTCCAACCATTTGGGTATTGCATGCTGTCGACTTCAGCGGCACAGGCCCAAGATTGAAGCAGGCGAGTAATATTCTCTGTACTGCCGCCATGAGATTCCAGTAGAGCGGCTGATGGGCGATGTATCAAGTTGTAAATCAGGACAATCCTATATCCGGATGTAACTGGTTTCACCTCGTGAGTGACATCTGCATACCAAGCAGCCCATGACATCCCAAATTCAGAGACTGGCGCTGTTTGAAATTTGAGGCAATCATCCCTATGAGACGATCACATCCCCTCCTTCGTGCTTCGATGGGAGACATACAGCGAGCGTGCCAAACATGCCATCGGCCTTTTCAGATTCTCGGTGTGGCAGAAAGAACGCACCCTCCTGGTAGATAAGTAATTTGTATAACTCCGCCTTAACCTCCGGCCAATTTGCTGCAAGGCCAAGACCAGTTACAGCTTTGTCCATGAACATTTCAACCTGGTGCTGCCATATTGGGTTCTGAAGAGTAAACTGGCTTGCGTCTGGTTGCCAACTTTTCCGTACTGATTCGTCTACCAGGGTCTCAGTACCCTTTCCGTAGGGGCTCGGATGGCAGGACTGGATTATTGCCTTCGCATGTTCAGCTGATATAGGAAGCCCAATATTCCCCACATCTGGAATATGGAGGCCAGGATTGACGGCAGTATGAATATTCGCACCCGCCATAAACGATCCTGGGGACCGAATGTCATCTAGAGCGAGGTTGAGGCCCTTTTTAATGTCGATAGGGTCACCTTCATTATCCGATGGGGCCATTTTCTTTCTTTGAGTATATATGTGCGTGTACCAGGGGTAAACTGCATGGCAAAAAGTAATACTGTTGTTGACTGTCCATTGTCACTGTGTGCGCGCAGAATCGCGTCGCGTTCTACCCTAGAACTCTTTGTTTGTCCGCAAGCTCAATTTAGGCCGAACCAGCAGACTAAATCGAGCTTCCGGACAATGTAAAATATTACTACCTTTACCAATACGAGTACCAAAAGACTATTGTGTTACCCAATTAGATCCATTTAGAGGGTTCCACTATGCTTATTAACCAATTATATTTATTCTATATAGTTACAATAAAGCTCTACTAGTAGGTTAGTACCTAGTAGGTATCAATTACCAGTAGCCCGGTTCTAAGATCTTTACCACCTTTTTTACTATCTTAAAAAGCCTTTTCGAGACTGCCAGTTCTATATTTTTAGGAGATACCACTATTATTATATATCTATGTGGCGGTGGTTTGGAATCTTGCAGCGCGTTGTACATATATTCTAGTACCTAAATGTAGTGTGTTTGTAGAGATTGCGTGATCGAGAGGCTATCGAATTGCGATAAAGCTTGCTCCTTGTCCGGATTGTTTGACTGCTCAATATGTTCACGGCGAAACGCAGCAAGCCACTCTGGGTTGTCGAAGATGGTCTGGTCCCATGGATCTTCGGAATCATAGACTAGTCTCCTTGACTCTTGTTGGAGCATCTCATCCGTAGGGATGATTCCTTGCGCTAATTTCTGTCGTGTGTAGCGACCTAAGTGTGACGCCAGTACTTCCAGTAATGAGTTCAGGGGATTATTAGAAGTGCGAGCTGAAGATGAAGTATATGCCAGAATATTTGGAGTATTGCTTTCGATTGCAGTATTCCGATCCAGTCGGGATGTGATCTGATCTAACTGATCTTTCGCATGAGCGTTGGTTGCTGAAAAAGGAACGAGGCAACGAGAATCATGACGGATATAGTACGGAGGCAGGCTATTGGTCACATGCTTAGTGATCTCTGGCGGAAAGCCATGTTCACCTCTCCAGCAATCCATAGTTGAACCATTGCGAAAATGATGAGCTAGATGATCAACGCGCTCTTCCCAAGACAACAGCCTCATATCACAGAACCCACAGCGTGATGTTACTGTCGGGGCCGGTGTTTTCCAATCATCAATCAAAGGTATGACATCGAGGTTGTGCGTGAGGCGCAGATGTTGCACTAGGTGATCTTTGCGGCGAAAGGTACGGGTACCACTCAAGCATGCCTGGTAATTGTGCTCGTCTAGATGTTCTGTCCCTGGTTCCAGCATATTGCAGTATGCGCACTGTTGCTGCCCCGTGATTGGCGAGGTCACAGAGGCGCCATGAGGTGTGCACATCCAACTCTCAAGGTTAAGATGAAGAGTTTTCTCATGTCGCGCCCAGTCATATTTGGTTCGGAACTGGTCACAACAAAAGGTGCAACAAAACTTACGAGTTGACTTGGCGCTTTTACTTTTGAGAACTCGTCCAGTAGACTGCCTGTGCAATGTTTTCAATGAGTCGTGTGATCTTCTCGAGGTCCCAGATTTGACCGATGCGGTAGACGGAAGTGAAGAGACACTTGGGGCGCTACTCTGGGAGCTGACTGTTGATACTGGCCGACGAAAGCCGCTGAATGGATCATTTTCTCTAACTGGAGCCGGGTTTCCAAGCGCGGAGCCTCCTAGTTGTGTACCTGCGGCCGGGAGGTTCTTCAAAGAGTTCATGATTGCAGACATGGAGGCTGGCTCATCTTCAGGAGGTGATTCTTGCCATCGCTGCATAGGATCAGGAGCGTACAAAGGGTTTGGAATGAATTGGGGCATGGTCCTTGATTCTGTTCTTTGAAGGGAATACCGGCTTCTCCTTCTTGGAAGACCACGACTGCCATTTGAGCCGAGTGAATAAGTAGACTGCGGTCCTGATTGCTGAAGCCAGCTATTTCTGTTGTCAAGATATCCATCGTTTCTTTCGTCTGGCAGAAGTAGAGGCGCCTGTGGGGCAAAGAAAGCCTCATTTAACCAGTGAGACGGGGAGTCATTTGAAGTAGAGCCTGTACACCACTCATTATTTTGAAGCCACGGCACGTCTTGATGACTTGCTGTAGGCCAGGAAATCACTTGCCCTTCTGGTAAGGCGTTGTTATATAAATGAGCCCTCTCAGAGTTGTTAGGATTCAATATACGATTGTTCCCTAGTTCATCTAACGTATGAGGTTCAGGAGTTAAGGTGGTAAGATGTCCAGTGGTCTGTGGGTCAGTATAATCGAGGCCATAAAGCGAGCCCGGATCGATGATAAGGGAATTGTGATCCACTGGATGACCAAGCAGGCCCGCTAGTGAAGTTATCAGCGATCTGCTCAAGCATGGCTAGAGAAGCCCTGATATTAAAGGCTGGATCACCTTCATCTACTAATAGTGAATTGTTTACCATGGCGTCGGTTGAAGTTCGCTAGTATTGTGGAGCCTGAGTATTGCGCTGCTGCTCCATCCTACCCAAGACGTTAGGTACTGGTAGTAGTGTACCGTAATAGAAAATATCGCTCAGCACAACACCAGGATTGTCAACCAGCGCAATGAGTCAAGTGATCGACCTAACACTAGAGTCACGTGTCGATAGCGTACTTATGAGAGTTGTGTCTCAGAGGACTTGCAGCAAGAGAAGATTGATTGGATTAAACGGCCCGGAGTAGTAGAGTTATACGGCACCTTTAGCCTATGCTGCCGGTCCCACTGAGTTTCAACCAGTCCTTACCGAAAGGAGTACCTCGTGGAGCTGGTCGACAAGATAGGTTCCGTAGTTTAATACGCAGTACTACTAGTAGTATAGACATCTTCAATGCTTGACAGCGTGAGTTAAGGTGGCCCAATGACGCTGACTCATGCAGTTGCCACACAAACCAATCAACGGTCGACTGTAGACCTTTTTCGCAGTTGCTGCCGTCCCAAAGAGGATTAGGTTGTTCATTCGGAAAAATGTCCATCCCTTTGCAGTTTCCTCAATCAGCAAAACATTTTGGCTCAAGAACAAGTCTCGTTGAGTGGGAAGTGATCATCCATCGCGTCTTCACTCTGTATCATCATCATATCCATTCAATTGCTCTACCGATTCTTCATCCACTAACCAGCCCTTCAGTTGATACGTAGCTACCTAGCTTCTACCCACTCAAGGTTCCCCACTCGAACGTCAGTCTCCAATCGGTGGTCGGGACCGTCCCGATCGTGAGTCGGCCTAGTCTCGTCGACTAACGCATGGTCCAATTACCCGAACTGCGCCATCGAAATATGTCCCTCCAGTAGTTCTCCTTCGTTTCTCTTTTTTCTCTTCCTTTTGCCCCTCATACTTCACCCACAGGTGATGGCTACACCTTCTGCAGTTCGTCTTTTGGCCATCCGGCCGGTGATATTCGGTTTTGCAAAATTGTTGATGCTTGCTTTGGGCGGCCTTCCCCTAGTCGCTGCCGCTCCCGCGACCTATATTGCTTACTCCGAGGAGAGTCCGAAACCTCCTAGTGATCCGAACTTATGGCTGTATCTCGGGGTTGCCGCCATCCTCGTTGTGAGCGGCGGTGCATTCGCTGGTTTAACCATTGCGTTGATGGGTCAGGTAAGCCGTTTTCTCACTACTGAATTGGAAAAAGTTCAGCGTAAACCACTAACCTAGCATGTGCAATTTATAGGATGAGGTGTATCTACAGGTCATCAAAACTTCCGGTGAAGACTCTGAACGAAAAAATGCAGAAAGTGTGCTCAGGCTATTAAAGCGAGGGAAGCATTGGGTATTGGTAACTCTTCTGCTCAGTAATGTCATCACAAATGAAACCCTTCCCATTGTCCTAGACCGTTCGCTAGGAGGGGGTTGGCCGGCTGTTCTTGGCAGTACAGTCTTGATTGGTACGAAAATCCCTCTTGGTCTGGGCTTATTGAGCTAATCATTTATGATGTCCAGTCATTTTCGGTGAAGTCGTCCCCCAGTCGATATGCGTTCGCTACGGTCTTCCTATCGGTGCTTGGATGGCTCCTTGCGTCCTGGCCCTCATGTACATTATGGCTCCAGTCGCATGGCCTATAGCGAAACTTCTTGATAGGTTGTTGGGCGAGGATCATGGAACGATCTATAAAAAGGCTGGATTAAAAACACTAGTGACCCTGCACAAAACCTTGGGTGAAGCGGGCGAACAACTCAACTCCGATGAGGTCACAATCATTAGTGCCGTTCTGGATTTGAAAGATAAGCCGGTTGGCAGCATTATGACTCCAATGGACGACGTTTTCACTATGTCTGCGGACACTGTTCTGGACGAAGACACGATGGATTTGATACTCTCCCAAGGATATTCCCGCATTCCGATTCATGAGCCAGATAATCCTACAAATTTTGTGGGCATGCTTCTGGTTAAGATGCTGATCACATACGACCCCGAGGACTGCAGGCGAGTACGGGAATTTGCACTGGCAACACTTCCCGAGACTCGCCCCGAAACAAGCTGCTTGGATATCGTCAACTTTTTCCAGGAAGGAAAGTCCCATATGGTCCTGGTGTCTGAATATCCTGGTGAAGACCGCGGTGCCTTGGGTGTTGTTACTCTGGAAGACGTCATTGAGGAGCTCATTGGCGAGTACGTTACCGATCTTCTTGGCATGGTCTTCTGAAACAGGATTCTGAACTGACTCTGATGACAGGGAAATCGTTGACGAATCGGATGTCTTTATTGATGTTCATAAGGCGATAAGACGCATGACGCCTGCACCCATTAAATCCCGGGTTCCTAAGGGCAAGATTGTGGAAGAACCTCCTTCTTTGCCCCCTCACAAGACTGGTACTTTAGTGGATGTAGATGGCGAACCTCAAGCCTCCAGACCCCCTGGGAACGTTCGCCGTCGAAGCTCAGTAGAACCGCCACTGCCGCGTTTCCAACTTCGGATGCCACAGTCAGATAGGAACTCAGACTCTACAGATGGCCTAGTGACCAAACGAGGAACCACGGACGAAATTCGTGAACACTTGAAGCATCTCGGGCCTCGAATTTAGCCAGCCGACCACGTCAAACCCGGTACCAGAATGTTAAGATAAAGCGGGCTAGCGCCTCGCCAACTCGGTCTGCGCAAACTGACATGGACTCCGGCCATAGTACATCTGGCTCCCAAGCCTTACGCCCCATGTCGACCGCCTTACCCGGTGGGATTGGCGAGGGACTAGTCCAGCCAGGGCTGGATGCAAGAGATGGCGCATACGCTGTTCGTGTAGGTTACGGTACCATGACCGGACCTAATCCCGCCGATGCCGGGACCCAAACAACAGGGAGGGATGTCTCAATCCCGGAAGCGGTTCACGAAGAACAAGACGAACCACCTCGTCCATCCGGTAGTGCTGCAATCAGTGTTAGATCCGAAAGCTCGAACTCGCAGAAGTTTAAACCGACCAGCTACCAGCATCAAGGCCCTGCGCGTAGTGGTAGTATCACGGAGCATGTGGTTGATGTCAATGGAATCCGCAAAGTGGTTCTCCACACAACCAGCACCAGTTCATCTGATCATGAGGGACGTGCATCACCTAAAAGCAAATTTCCAGGTCAACAGGATGGGGAGGTTGTCGATCTGAATGGTAAAAAGTCCGACGGCACTCAAGGTGATGTGACTAAAAAACGTCGTCGTCGGCGCAAGCGTGGGCAAGTGTCAAAGCACTCGGACAACCATGTAGGCGAAGCATCGCCACTTCTGCCACAATGACAACGCTTTCGTGCCTCCTCTGCCGGGCAGAGACGTTCAAACTGACCTTTTGTTTTGAAAGAAGCGTTGCACAGTGTATATTGAACTGCCTGTTACTTTTTCTGTATGGTTGCTGGAGAAATAGTAATTTCTTTCGCGGTGTATCGTTTTACCCATCGTGCCTGTCGTACAAAACCGTCTGTGTCACCACAACTTACAGTTCATCTATCCTTATTTCATTTGTGTAAACATCAAAAGAATGACTGTTGTATTCAATATGACTACTATCACTATGAACCACTATTTCCCACTCGCGATCATCAAAGTACAGGGAAAACGGAGCGAGCGTAAGTCTCTCGAGTTGATCACCATATACAGTCACATAGGCTTTTCTAAGAACTTCATCAGCTGAGCCAAGGCTCCTGTCCCGCTGATTAAATGCCGACAGCCAGGAGCTCGCTCCGCATGCTGGCACAGTGCAGAAAGAGAACCAGACTTTTTAGCACAAGTCGGGCAAAGATACTTCTCAAATGCGTGACCGAACATTTTGTATCCCTGTCTGGTGGAGAATTCCAATGAGATGGCTTTGATCATATTTCCAGTAATGCCGCAAGCACAAGACCCCGATTCCAGGTGGGCAATCATACTGGAGTAGCTCCTGAACGTTGTAGAGCACCCGAAACACCGTAAAGCCCGCTCCTGGTGGCTATATTTATGCTGTCGTCATTATTAGCTATATATCCTCAACAACACAACCAAGGCTCACCAAGACAACATAAACAAGAAAAGCTGATAGAATACAAACTTTCAAAAGGAACGGAAAACTAAACGTAGAAAGAGAGCAGGAGACAAAAAAAAAGAAAAAAAAAGAAGCATACCATCTCCAAACTATTACCATCCCCGAAGACCTGACCACAAATATCACAAGATAGATGTGCGCTGCGCACATGGACATCAAGGGTCTCCGTGCCTGCAAATGTGCGTCTACAAGTTAGGCACTCATGATGATCATTATGCAAATGAGCTTTCAATTCTTTTTCTGTTATGAAGTCCTTGTGTATGCATCTTTGGCATATGTTGTGGGCGGCAGAACGATCTATGTGTGCTGCTTTTGCTGTTTGGGAGGGGAAGGCGCGCGAGCAGCGTGTGCACCAGTGGGCATGATTGATGTTGATGGAGGCGTGGAGTTTTAGGGCTTCTCTAGACGAGAAGGCGCGGTCGCAGTGGGAGCAATATGAATTCATCTTCTTGGGTTCGTATATATGTAGTCGGGGAGGTAGGGCTTAGAATGGTAGTGGGTTTGCTGGGAGGGGTGGGAAGAGCGTTGCTTTCTTTTAAGGGAAGCCTTTTTTTTAATAGTGGTGGTATAATAGTAGGTTATTAACTATTGGTACTGGTCTGTTGTGATGGTGCTGGGTTGTTGGAAGTTTGCTATCAGTTTTGTGAGATGTGGTGACTTAAGGTTTGGTTGGAGGAGTAGATGAAGGACTTGGTTCACCTTCAGTCTGGTAGACTTTCAATTTATCCATCTCAAGATACAATACAGCCTGGTTTTCTAAAGATAGCAGGAATCAGGAGTAAGATGATTTATCTTAATATTCACTTTTTATCTTGCCATGAGTATCTACATGTCATTCAGCCGTAACTCCATGATTTTACGAAACAATACCAACATGCACACAAAAAAACCACATGTCGGAATCTACTGTAGGAGAGGATCCTAGAAAGTGTGTTAGCTTGTTCTAAGGTCAATAAAGAGTTGAAACATACCCTGAAATGCTTCTGGTTATTGGCAGCCCGGTTGACCCGAGCTGTGTACCGCTTCTCTTGTCTCTGGGCACGAGTCCGGTCTTTGCGTTCAAGCTCAGCAGCAAATTGCTTCTGGCTGTCAGTGGTACCAATCATGCCCATACCACCATTGCCGCGGCTAACGACGGCCCGGTTAAGGTTGCGACCCCTGGGTTTTGGTTCCTCTTCTTCGATCTCGCCATTCTCAATAGCCAGCTGACGAGCCGCCCGTTCTTCCGCAGTAGGGTAGTTGCGCAAGTTCTGGCGGTAGTATTTGGCGAGCGATCGGTGACCTGCGGTGCGGCCCGATGGCAAATGCAGCTCAAACTCTGTCGCATAGACCTGTCCCTTCGTGTCGTCCATCTCATCCTCATCTTCATCCATAGAAGATGCAGAAGTTTCAGTTTCCCATCCCTCGTCATCTTCACCATCCACCTTGACGCCACCATCCTCCACAATCGAGTCATCCTCATCCTCACCATCTGAGTAAGTGCTGCGGAAGTCATAGTACTGTCCGATTTCAACTTGCTCATCCTGACTTTCGAAAGCGATCATGCAGTGACCCTTGTCGCGCATGTGGGTACGTGCACCCTCGGGATTGTTTCGGACGGCGTGGCAGTATAAACATTCACTGTTCTCGTTGATTTTCCGATAAAGGTAGTGGACAAGTCCTTCCATATCAACAAGATAGTCCTTCTCTGGTATGAACATGCCGTGGGTCTTGAACATGTGTTCGGTGTTTTGTTGAATATCTGAAGATCTCTCATTACAGAAAAGACAACGAGCGGCTGAGAATCCCTGCTCTTCCATTTCCTCATCTTCGTCATCCTCTTCGATGGTAGCGTTCTTGAGACTCTCCGTAACTTTCGACACTTCCGACCGCTCACGAGGCTTGTTGACTGGCTCACCCAGAGAGAAGGTAGAACTCATGACAGATGATGCGTCATCTGCACTGTCTTTAAGCATCTGCGCCTCACGGGCCTTGTGCTTAGAGCTCTTCACATGGTTCTGATACGAGTTCTCGCTGAAGAATGTCTTCTGGCAGGCGGTACATGTCTTTTCAAAGGAAGCTTTGGCGGCAGCGGCACTGGTTGTGGCTTTAGCAGCGAGGACCTTGTCGTTGAAAACTTCCTGGGATACTGGGGGCAGAGATGCGATGCGGCGCTTCATGTTATAGAGACTTGAGCCGACCGAACATTAGTAATGAATTCTAGGTTGCATGTTTTCCAACAAACTTACTGCCAGTCTCTGCGCATATGATCCCGCTGAGCATCGCTGCCGCGAAAAGCAACGAGACAGGTGTTGCAGGTGTATGGCAACGTAGTCGTTGGTACATTTGGATCGATGGAGGCCATGACTTCCGACAGTTCCTAATATGGAACAAAAAAAAGGTGGGTATCACAAGAATAAATTTGTTGAAAAGGCGGTCGGTTGTGCGAATATATACTGCGCGGGGGTATTCGTTCTTGCAAAAGTAACGAAAAGGCAAAACCAGGCGAAGTCGTAACAGAATGTTTTCGACTTGATTAGAAATAAAAGCTGGTAGGAAGTATCTAGCGAGAAAGTTGAAGCGGCGCAATATTGCCCCTCGACAGAAAAGATCGGGCTAATCGATGTCGCCGATAACCCGGACCACACATTGAAAATCATTGCCCATGCCGCTTTTAGAGAGCATGACGTTAATTGCACGTGCCCCTCCGCTAAACCTGCCTGGGAGGGCGCTATCTAGATCAGGCCTAGTGCATGGTCAATCGGACCGTAGTTCTTCCACTTAATATTAGTCAGCCGACTTAACATGCTTGGCGCCTGAGGCTGTTGTGCCAGTCCGTATGATATCAGCGTGGAAAGGGCAGGCTACCATCACCGCATTCCCTGGATTTCGAAAGATAAAGCCAGGCGAAGACGCGAATATCCCGATAGACTTTCCTGACCGGGATTTCAGGCATGCTCCCCAGTCTACGAAGATGACTAGGCTCCGCGGAGCTTCCGTCAGCTCGTATGAGGTTTCGCACTGTGGCACCGATAGACCCCAGTTTCATCGGTCGAAGGTTCCGCCAAACGCGCCGGAAGTTATCACGCAGAATACCGTTGATGTGTCGGACCCCGCACAGGTCTTGCTTTGGTATAGGGATGAGCGACGACGACAATTCAACCTTCTGGTTCGCAGGTTAGTATCCGCGGGGAATGTTTGGCTTGGATGGACGGCTGACGTAGCTGGCTCCCAAGGTACAAAAATCAACTTCTCTATGGATGTCAGGACCCAAGCTGTTCCACCCCCACCTGCGCGAGCTATCGAAGGAGGGTGACTGAGGAGCCGTTCCGTCGATATACGGAGTTGAGTGCCCGGACACTCGCATGTTACCTGGCTAGCGTGGATAACGCAGAGAGTGGCCTTTGTCGCAACACCCCTCGGGTTCCATCGGATTTATCGTCGCAAGATTATCACCGTCGATCCAAACGTCGAACCCGCGCTTCTACAAACGATTCGAGGAAGGAATCTAGTGGACTATCGGTAGTGGGCCAAGGCGCTACGGATGGATATCTAGCGACTCAAACTTCGTCGGACAAGCAGGTCGATCTCTGGGATAATGCGGGACAGTCTTCCTCCCCAGGATATACGTTGCAGGCAAGGGCGGAACGTATACCGGCCAACGACGACCAATCAGCCCAACCGTTAAAGGATCCAAAGTCGTTCACTCAAAATTTGTTCGATACTTTGTCTTTGAGGATGATTGAATGGTTGCCTTTGAGGCGTTCCCCGGGTACATTCAGCACAGACTCTGACCATTCATACTACCGATCTAGTTCTAGATCCCCAAAGCCGAGCACCGGGAACGCCAAATCTCATTCCGGGGCAGAGAAGCACCTCCAAGAGCGGGAACGTACATCTCGACACGGTGCATCTACTAGGGGCAATCCACACACGCCTTCGTCACGGAATATCGCCAATACAACAGCTGCTGTTGAATTGAAAATACCGAATCAGCAAATAAAACGGCTATCGCTCGCTGATGTAGATCAACGGCGGCAAAGCCCTCGATCGAGTATTGACGAGAAGGTTTATCCGGAGCTAAAGCCCGCTAGGAAGCTCTCCATCAACACTCATGCGAATGAAGATGGGCTCGTCAACATACCTTCCCCACCCGCTTTGAGACATCGTCCACAGAAACATCGGGGCAGGACTGGAGACGGTGCTTGCCTGCATGAGCAACCGAAAAAAGAAAGACGTGTTTCTTGGGACGGTGCGAAGCTCCTAAATGGGGTTCATGTTCCTGACGATCAAAATCCCCTTTCCGCTGGCGATAGCGAACTTGCCTCAGAGCCCCGATCTCCAAGTGTGCCTAGCTTGAAACAAAACGATATACATCATAGCGAGGATATGCCCACTATACAATCTGTTACTCACCTGACTTCTGAGATCATCGACGAATTAGGAAAAATGATAGTCCTGTCTGACGATGAGGCTCAACGATGGAAAGACGAACTGGCCTATATAGAGTCCATGGGCACATTCGACGACTCGGAGTGGAGGTTTGCAACCTCTCGTCAACGTGAAGCGTTTACCTTCGTTTCGCAGAGCGTTTTCTATGCATTGGGCAGCACGAGGCAAATTCTGCGATCTTTTCGACACAACACGGCTGGCCCGAACGACATGGAGCAGAGTAGTTCTAATTCAAAGCTGAACCTCCAGCAGCTTCAGCCATCATTGCGCAAGCTATTTACGATTTGTCCTAGGGAGCTCATCTTTCATAGTCTCTGGGGTGCTCTTGAATCGTTGTTCGTTCCGCCAAGGGAATTATCGAACCCCAGACAATCCCGCCGTTCATCATACAATTCAACAACAGGAGTGCCTGTCTCTGCACCTATAATTATTCGTCGGGCATCTGATGCACTAGGCAATGAACATGTTTCTGATTCATGTGCGGCAGACGTCGCCACTGTCGCCCTTTTTGCATTGGCTAGTTCTCTTCCGGACATAGATGCATCCACCTGGCGCAGAATTCTTCAAATGCGCGCTACTGGGGCTGTAGCGTCGAGCACGGATATGCAAAAACTCCCGTTACGGAATACACGAGCGGTTGTGGACGTAACCGACGCACTGGAACATGACCTTGCCTTGCGCTTAGTAGACCGCTTGGTACGCGCTCTTACGGCGCGAATGGCCTTCTATGAGATTTCGAAAGTCCGACATCCTTATAGTCACGCTTCACGTAAATCAAAGAACAGTGTTCTGGACTTTCTTATCAACAACCTTAGCGACAACCACCGCCTTGTAACTGCCGATATCGAAGACCAAAATCAGATGAGGCCACCGGGTGCTGCTGCTGTCATCGCGGAATGGCTACGTACTTTATTGCTTAAAGAATGGGATGGGAGTGCTGAATTGTCCAAAGGTAGCGCGACCGGAGGCGCAGTACAGCTATTATCCCTAATGTACAAGGAACGGGATCGCTTGGGCCTTGTCCCAGAAGACTTCCACACCCCGTTCCTTTCAGAGAGGTTGGAGCCCCTAGAGATGCCGGTTGAGTGGATAGGTCGATCGCCGAATAACAAAACTCTGCACTTGCTTTCATACCCCTTCCTCTTCCCTCCCTCTGCTCTGGTTATTTACTTCCGCGCTTTGAATTATGCCGCCATGTCAAGATTCTACGAGGCTGCAATGACTACTACCAGACACGTAACACAGACAGCATTTGGAGCCATACAAATTCAGGATGATGTCGGGATGCTCGCACGGCTGAAGACTTCGATGACTACGTATTTGGTTCTTGTGGTCCGACGAGATAATCTCCTCGCCGATGCCCTCAATCAGTTGTGGCGGCGTGAGAGGCGAGAGCTAATGAGGCCGTTAAAAGTCCAGATGGGAATGGATGAGGGTGAAGAAGGCCTTGATCATGGCGGTGTTCAGCAGGAGTTCTTCCGAGTACTCATGGCGGAAGCCCTAGACCAGTCGTACGGTATGTTTGCGACGGATAGCCGCACTCGAGTTTCCTGGTTTCAGCCGTGCTCGTTGGAGCCGCTTTACAAATATGAGCTTCTCGGGTTATTGATGTCCCTGGCGGTTTACAATGGCCTCACTCTGCCCATCAATTTCCCAACTGCCTTCTATCGCAAACTTCTGGGGCTGAAGGTGAAGCATCTCGACCATATCCGTGACGGCTGGCCAGAGCTTACTAAGGGTCTTGAACAACTTTTAACTTGGGAGGATGGCGATGTGGAAGACGTATTCATGCGCACTTATGAATTTAGCTTCGAAGCCTTCGGCACCATTGAGACCGTGGACATGCAAAAAGTCGACAAAGATGCTCCATGGCCTCTTCCTTCAGCATTGACGCGATCAGGGGGTGGAAACCGGTCCCTCGGTTCCCCACCTTGGTCGGAAGTTCGCCGTTACACTGACTGCGTGAACCTGAGCCCGCCGTCCTCAATGGGTGCAGAGGCAACAGAATCGTTTGCGGACATGGCGAAATCCCTGGATGGCTCGGTAGTGATGCAATCGCCTACGCCCCCAGCTGAGGAAGCGTCTTTCGTCACAAATCAAAATCGCTCTCAATTTGTTAAAGATTATACTTTTTGGCTGACAGATAAGTCAATTCGGCCCCAGTTCGAGGCTTTTGCACAAGGTTTCTACACCTGTTTGGATCGCTCGGCCTTGTCCATATTTACACCAGAGGCACTGAAGACAGTGGTAGAAGGAATTCAAGAGATTGATATGAATGAGCTGGAACATCATGCACGCTACGAAGGAGGGTTTGGCCCAAGCCATCGCTCAATCCGGGATTTCTGGAGTATCGTACGGCGGTTCCCTGCGGAGAAAAAGGCGCAGCTGTTGGAGTTTGTGACTGCTAGTGACCGGGTTCCGGTTAACGGGATTGCGAGCATTATGTTTGTTATCCAAAAAAACGGAGTGGGTGATGCTGTAGGTGTACCATTTCCCCTCAACACTTTAATCGGCTGCCATGCTAATCGCTTCTAGCGCCTTCCCACCAGTTTAACCTGTTTTGGCCGGCTTCTTTTGCCAGAATATTCATCGAAAAATGTCTTGGAAGACAAGCTCAATAAAGCTTTGGAGAACGCTCGGGGATTTGGCGTTGCATAATGCGGGACTAATTTTGGGATTGACATGGTACATTGTCCGACATATAAGTGCACAATACCCCTACGTTATATTTTCTGTATAGTATATATTCAGTCACTATATCTATAACTGAATACACCGCCAGTGCTGGCATTGTATGAAGATCTATTCTCTTCCCTACTTATCGCATTGGCTTGAAGCGTTTATCGAAACACGAGACAGGTCTCTAGATGTCACTTAGAAGTGGCCTGCGGAGTATAAAACCCATAGCCCTAAAGCCTCATTCGTTCTGGCCTGTGGTTAACTCAACATTTAATATTAATGAGGGTTGGTAGTGTCCAAAAGGTTGAGAGTTTAGCTGTAAAGGTGTCTGTCGTTTGTCCAGTCGATTTAAACAATTGTGTGCTTCACCTGATTGCAGCATATCGTGGTTATTATGTGACGTTTGTTTCTTCAAGTTACCATGTAGATTTTACAATTATAGTCCTCACATAGCCATAGTATCATTACTAAAAGCTCCAGCAGCTAATTGTTACGTTGAGCGAAAGGCCTGAAGCATCGAAAATAACCCTACACTGGGTACGGAGTGCTACATATCGAAAAACAAGAGTATATTGGATGACCATGGTATTGCCAATCCCATTGCTCAGTGACAGGAACAAGCTCTATGAGTTGTTTGGCCTTAGGTTGGCCACCACCTCCCTTGGGTTCAACATCAGCACCAACGCTACGAAGGCCGGCGGCAGGTTAAAATTGATCTGAAGAGGACGGTATCCTGAAGATGAATAAGCCGTACATGGGTTTCACGTAATATACAGCTAGAAAGCGAGGTATGCTTGCGATATTACGATGCTATTCTTCTTAGTCTCTAGTTAGCGTATTGAGTAAAAGGTCCATCAGGCTGCATATCCATTTATGTGGATCCCTCCTTACCTTGTCGGCATAAATTCAATATAAAGTGCATTCTGTTCCTGTACAAACCATGGGTACTTTGAAGGGATTCGGGTTTAGCAGTTCAACTGCGTTAATCACCTGCAATCTATACGATGCCCTTCGCGGGTGCAGGTACTAATGCGTAGATCCCTGCGTGTCTCCCCTCACGACGAGAACATAATAGTAGCCTGGGTTGGTGAATTCATGGGATTGGCTCTATCTCCCTACAGTTAATGTTCGTTCTGTTGGATTTGGTGGTATATCAGAGCTGAGGGCTATCAAATTCAATTACTTTCATATCGTCCGAGCGACAGAAAATCTACGTCTGGTTCCTTGTATCTTACACCGTAAATAGCTTCTTTTACAAGTCAAGCGTCATGTCTATTGAATAACCTTGTAAACCATTTTATCAACATAACCCCCGCGTGCCAAGATCATTTGAATTTTCTTCTGATTGAAGAAGAATGAGCCCATACGGCAGCCATCCATTGTGCTGTTATGCAGTAGTGTTAAGCGGATATTTATAGCGCAGCTTCTGGACAGTCTCGCAGATGATATTGGGGTCGCAGCGCTTTCCCAGGCCAGAGGCATCCAGAAAGTCTTTCGGCCTGATATACTTTCCTACCGCATAGCTGAGGGGTTTGTCAATGAACCCCGAGAGTATGGAGTGTCTGTTGAAAAACTCTTCTATCGCTTTATCCTTCATAGTGAAGGGGTTGAGGGCTTTCAGGAGCTCTTCACGCAGTACATCCTTGGGGATACCGGCGATGTTTATCAGGTTCTTGGGTGGTGGCCTCTTGGTTTGATTTGGGCTAGACTTTCTGGAAAGAGAGGTCAGTGCCATATCCTTCGAATATGGGTAATTGAGGTGTCAACGAGTCGCAGCAGGTTGAGACTGGATGCTTATAGTGCGAATGATAAGAAAAGACACAGTTGATATCCCAGGGAGAGAACGGAATTGGTCAGCATATAAATCCTTCGGCATGTTATGTTCACGTTTGTTTTACTCGAATGAACCGGCTACTGGTGTTGAACAAAGGCAAAACGAGGGTTGCACGTAAAATGAAACCCGCTGAGATGAATGATGACAAGGAAGTTCTTTCAAGACTGAAAGGGAAAGGGGCAGGGCCACTGGTCAAAGAAGTAAAGGGGAGATGCGATGTTCCATCTTTTTCATGGATATTTTCCACCACAGCCAAGTAATATACCGGCAGAGCATCGGATATCGCGATGTGGAGGAAGCTTCTGCTGCCCTAGATATGATGTACATGATCGGCTCGATATTCAAGTCATGTTTGTCGGCCGCTGGGGGAAAGCTCGTGGGCAAGGGAAGGTTGTCCTGGTTAAAACCGATTCAGAAATACATACCGGATGTTATCCCCAAGGGGGATCCCGATATTGGTCCTAAAACAAACTTTATCGACGCTCTAAGGAATTCTACAGGGCTTGCAGCTCCAACACTACTTTCCCTGGGCCGAAGGCAACAGTTTTCAGCGATGAGAAGACTTTCATCTGCTTGTTGTATTGTCTTCCTACACCCAATCACGAAGGACAGCGGTTCAACTCTTAGTAGATGTATAACAACTATACGTATGGTCTGGTTGCAAAGGTAGTTGAAGCAGTTAGCGGACAGAGCATTGCAGCCTTCATCACGCCAGAGCCACAGTGGTATCTACAGTGGGTGACACGATAGCCCCCGTGAGCCGGCTTATATGTGCCACTCTTGCAATCACACATCACAGTATCAAGCAACTGCTGAAGACACACTCCCCTGAGCATACGTATAGTGAATCTATCTTGCTTGATGAGAGCATAGGAATCGTCAAAATCTAAGAGCTTCTTCTAGGTAAAGCAGAACACGTAAAATGCATGGTTGATATTCTGTGCTGCGTGAGTCAACTGCCTAATCGCTGCATACCACGTCTGCAAAGTATGAGTTTAACTTGTCATGAAATGGCCTCGTGCATGGTTGGGGCCTAGGTCTACTAGTAGTGACCTTGTCAAGTGGCCTGCCTCATGCATATATTACCCGATAGATCCCTGTTCCACCATTCTCCCGGGAAGAAAGAGTAAAGTTTGAGTGTTTTGGGGTAGTTTATATCAACCTCGTTAGCTTTCTTAGAATATAATGCTCGACTAGCTTTGTGCTAGTTTAATTCATCAAGCATATATGTCACGGTTAGATGCCAATTAAAAGGTACTGGCGAGGCGATGAGAGAATGTGTAAGGGCTAGAAGGACACCAGGAAAAATCCCTCACGTGTGTCACCATTCGGAAGAAAAACATTGAAACTATGATGAGAGCCCTGCTACCACCGGACGTTCCTGTGAAACCATGAAATTCGGTGCTAACATCGTCCTTCCATCTCCTAGTAAGGTGGGATCGACGAGAGGGCGTATATCTTACAGTAACAATACTGCCCACAAGGGCTTTGGCTGATTCGATGTTGAGACTCTGTGAACTACTACTCATAGTTTGAACCAAACTACATTCATTTCCTCAGACTGCATCACCTGCCTGTCGTTGATAATTTACAAAGTGTATTTTCTGCTTTGCAGTTTCATCAAAAGCGACGATGGTATCTAGAGACATTCTATGGTCTTCAAGTTTATTTCTCTATCCACGCGTATAGCGGGCCAGTTGGCTTGGTCATCGAGCTTGAGTATATGATCCGATGAGGATGGATTTGACGATTGCATTGTCTCTTTATATCGAGCACTGTATTTCACTAGAATGACCAGACTCATCGTACATTAGTATTGAGCAAGACAATTTGCGGCATGGGGTTACTGTAAGCTCATATCAGACATCAATGGTAGACATTCTCCCATGGGCTTTCGTGCGTCCGGAATGATAGCTTTGAATGATGGATGGACTGAGGGCCAGTGCCAACATTTATTCATATCTTAGAAGACACGTAGCTATTATATATTCCTGCCATCGACTGGCTAGGGGTAACCCCTGCTCTACCAGTTTTAGTAATGGTAACGTTTCTTACAGTGGCTCTACCAAGTTTGCCGTTGTGGGGGAATCCCGCGGCGTGATTGTGAACACCGACTGTCCAATTTATATAGAGAGCATAGCGCCTTGCCTTTGTGGCATAACGTCAACTACCGATTGCTTTGACAGGTATAAATTACTAGCTTAGCATGGACACGCCAGTTTGGGCATACCAGCGCAAGATTTTATGTGGTGTTACGCTAAGATGGCCCAATAAAGTAATTGTATCACTAATCTACCTCGGATGAATTTATTGATTATATGTCTATGTCCGCCAACGTATAATAATAATAGTGGGTCTTCAGAAATGCAGCTGTTGTTTATTCCTATCGCTCTGTGGATCACGGTTTACTTGATGAGCTGAACATGCCGTCTAGGCTAAGAAATCTTTCAGTTCTGGAATCCATCGAGAATCGGGGCATGGTCCAAAAACCCAATCAGAGAGCCGTAAGCAATAGGCGAAAGGAGAGAAGAAGAGAATTATAGATATGAGAGAGATACTAGGAGGGGAAAGTATTTACCCTCCTTGTATTGTATAATACAAGACAAAAATTTCACATCTCGTTCTTGTCTCCTGTCTATATTTTCCCCTGAGGGCGAAACCAAGCAGGCATTGTGATCGACTACACTGCTGAGGAGAAGCGCCCGAGTCAATGATCCTAAGAGCGAATTGACCCATCTATCCAGGCTGTACTGGATACTCTGATGCAACACCCTTCTCCATTCGCTGCTAAGGCTCTTATTCGATCTCCTACTCAAATCGCAAAATGAGTGTACAGTACGTCGACTTTGATGGTCCCGATGATCGTTCCATACCCTTCAACTGGCCAATGCGAAAACGGTAAGCCATACACAGCATGATTTGCAGACCCTGGAGCTGTTTGCTGACTTTACTGCAGAGTATATATCTCGGTTTTGCTGGGACTCCTTACAATGGTTGTGGCAATGGCAAGTAGCATCTTTACTTCAGCCATACCCACCGTGATCATGATGTACAATATCGACAGGGAGGTAGCAACTCTAGGTGTTTCTCTCTACGTCCTTGGATTCGCCACTGGTCCCTTATGTTGGGCTCCTTTCTCCGAACTAAAAGGAAGAAAGCTTCCATTGGTTACATCTGCCTTTGGATTTACCGTGTTCTGTTTTGCGACTGCCGTTTCGAAAGACCTTCAGTCCCTTATGATACTCAGATACTTCACGGGCTTTTTTGGGGCAGGTCCCCTGACTCTTTCGGGAGCAGTCTATGCTGATATTTTCCCGCCACAGCAACGGGGCATTGCGATGGTCGGGTTTTGTCTGATGGTGTTTATCGGCCCTCTTACAGCCCCGTTCATCGGCGGGTTCACTGTAATGAACCATAGTCTCGGTTGGCGCTGGACGGCATATATACCTGGAATTCTAGGCAGCGGCTTTTTCGTTCTTTTACTTACTACAATAAGCGAAACCTATGCCCCGGTACTCCTCTGTTGGAAGGCGGATCGGCTACGTCGCGAGCAGGGTGATTGGTCTATTCATGCGAAACATGAGGAAATAAACCTCGACTTGCGAGCTATCGTTGCCGACTATGTCAGTCTTCCATTGAAAATGTTAGCTCTCGACCCGATCGTGCTATGTATGAGCGTCTTCGCCTCGTTCGTATACGGGCTCTTGTATCTTTTCTTGACTGCCTATCCTATTATATTCCAACAGATTCATGGCATGAGCCCCGGAGTCGGCGGGCTACCCTACATCGGAATCATCGTGGGACAGCTATTTGGCGCGTTCGGAGTATTTGCAATGCAGCCATGGGTCCTACGACAGATGAAGGAGAATGGAGGCATCATAATGCCGGAGTGGCGCCTGCCTATCGCGGTTCCAGGAGCAGTCGCCTTCTCAGGAGGCCTATTCTGGCTGGGCTGGTCGGGCTATCGACGAAGCATATCATGGGTAGCTCCCACAGTATCGGGCTTGCTTACCGGGTTTGGTCTACTGACAATGTTCCTGCCCTCGATCGCGTATGTGGTAGAGGCACGACCAAAAAAGTAAGTTCCCATTGGGATTCAGACTGATGGAAGACAAAAGTGATTGATTGCGAATTAGGGCCGCTTCGGCTGTCGCTGCACACACGTTTCTTCGCTCATTGGCTGGCGCCATATTTCCACTTTTTGCTTTTTATATGGTGAGTGGCATGCTCTGTTCCCATGGGAGGACACCGTGCCCGTCTTCAATGGGATGTTTAACAAATTGTGTGATAGTTCGACGCTCTGGGGGTGGAATGGGCCTGCACGCTGCTTGGATGTGTCGCGGCTCTCCTCATCCCAATACCTTTGCTGCTCTACATCTACGGTGCCCGAATCAGGAATCGCTCCGGGTTGTCGGATGAGTCTTAGGACATGGGTTGGAAGGTATGAACTTTACACTAGACTAATTCTTTCAGTAGTTTATCGATTTACTGGGGAAACCATACATACGCGGTCGACTGTAATGTCGTGGAGTTGAAATCTGACACAAGCAGCGGTTGCTTCGAACTATGCAGGATTCAGGGGAGTAAGGGCAGCTGAAGGACGCTTTTATATAGAACATGTTCTGTAATGCTAATTACACTGTGGGCCAACCCACGCAAGGAATGGTGTATTGGAAACGCTACATAGGGCTTTTAATAATAGTCTACCATTGTTGAAAATGTCGATTTCTACGAGTCGCAGAAACCCCAGATCAAGGGATACTGGTAGAGAAGGTAGGTGACTGCCTCGATGTACTGCTTCATTTCTGAGTTACTTTATATACTATTCTGCGGACAAGATGGCTCTCGGCCATTCCAACCAGCATGACAGTTTAGATGGTAAACAAACCGATATACCTTCCAGTAATGTTTGGGGCAGTCTCCTCAAGAACCAGAAATCACGAAAGAGATGAAGCTGAGCGCAATAGTAAGCGAGAACTAGAAGCGCGTATGGACGCTTCCGCTGTATAGAGTGGAACAGGTCATCTCCAGCAGATATGGGCCATAGGAAGGCCATTCCGCACTCGAGCGGTAATCCTGCGTCACGCATACGGGTCAATGATGACTCCAATTCAGAGAGGCCATGGTTGTACACGTCGCGTTCTGTTGCATTAATATCTTCTAGAGCGAAGAACTGCTTAAGGCGATGGATTTGATGAAGGAACTCCCGATAGAATCCATCCAGCGATTGGCTACAGGTCGTTAGCCAAACCAAACTACCCACTTTAGAGCACCAGAGGATGGCTTACGAATCTAGGTAATAAGGCAAGCCATCCCATACAAAAAGTCGAAGGGGGCTTTCTCGAACGAAGTGCATAAAAGGCTCGAGGACAAGAATCCCACGACATAGCTTAAAGACCTCTATTATATTTTCCAGAGGACATAGAGTATTGTCGTCCATCACCGGTGAGGCGTACGCATAGATTATCATCACGCCTGAAAAGGCAAAGAGCGGACAGCAATTCTCCGGCGTTGGCGAATGCAGTAAGGTCCGAAAGGTTCGTAAGCCTAATGTCAAATGGAACGAGGAGCGCGTGAGATAGGAACTGCATCTTTCAGGGGTTTCGAGCGCGATATGAAGTGCTGATAATGCGAGAATGCCATGCATTAAATATTCATGCGAGAATGAGATCTTCGGAATGGTGTCTTGCCATACTTCCTGCACCTCATTTCGCCTACTGAGCGTTTTCGAGGTAAGCATACAGTAATGGTGCATCAGCTCGGGGTCTTGGGCGGTCCAATGCGATGGGAGTGCAACATTTGCTAAAAGGTGATCAAATGCGCTGGCCGATTCCTTCCCTGTCAATCTGCGTTTCGAAGAATGAGAAAGGGAAAGGGCCAGCTCGGTCTGGCTATTGTGTGCCTTGACTGGCCTGCTTGATGAAGTCCCAGGACCTTTGCCGTTCTGCACAGCGTAGTGACAGGGCAAGCCACGCCGTTCGCAGTTGAAACAAGGAACAGATTCATCACACTTAGTCCCGGCTGTTAGTGATTATCTTAGAAATCACAGAAGCAGTGTCTTATTCAATCTCCTGACCTTCACCCTCCTTTCCTTGCACTGGACACAGCCAGTTCGAGACTTTTTGTGGGCCCGTCGGGGTGGCATGCGGGGATCTCTACCTGATCACTTTATGGTGTGGCGCGAGATGAGCACAGTACAATATGTTTGACGGAGAAGTCAGAAATCACAGCGCAGGGAGCAGGGGTAGACGGATTATATACGAGTCCGAGTGCGAGTCCGACAGTGTTTAATAGATAAGCGTGTAATTGGTGGGTGGCCCGAGGATTCTGGGTCCGATCCGTTTAGGCAACCAGGAGGAAATCCCGTCCCAAGGTCTATGGTATTCAAATGCTATTGGAAATTGCCTCTCAAATGGGTCCTGGCCCAGAATAACTTCCCTTTCTTCTTCATAGCCAGTACGCTTCCTTCTTCTTGTTCAAGGGCTATCGTAAAGCATCCAAACACACCCGAAACAATAACAAAGCACTTAAGGACTGTAAGACGGGATGTCCAAATAGTAAAACAATCGTTGGAATAAGCTGATTTAGTGTAAATCTCAGACTGAATGGTGAAGATGCTGCTCTAATAATAGGGTATAAAAGCGTTATGAATAGGCTTAGCCCATGGCTGACGTTCATCAGTTGGTCTAGAACCTGGAGGCTATTGGAGTATCACGCAGCCATTAAGCACGTTAGATGATCTTTGCCATGCGAAAACGATATCGATCTTCCATAGTTGTAATCAAGTACGATCGCGAAAACGAGGACGGTACAAGACTGTATATATTTAGCTCATCTGCACAATGTCCACTTCTTTCTCGGTACCTTTTTCACGACCTCTTGCTCTGTGCCTTTTATAGCTGGCCTCGCCTTTACTCCTACGTCGTTTGGTTCAAACGCCTTCTTTTCACTTCTTAGTATTAGACCCTTCGCAAAAGCCATCCCTCGTTCCTGAACTTCGCAATAATGGGAGATAACAAGAGCAATGATTTCGAATACTATCGTTACAATCCTTCCATCGGAGCAGCCGTCCTATTCGTGATCCTCTTCATTGCTGCAACAGGAATACATACATACCAACTGGTGCGAACACGGACTTGGTATTTCATTCCGTTTGTCATTGGCGGGTATTGTAAGTAGCATTCCAGAAAAGAGGTGGGAGAGCCATAAGCATGCTAATGATACATAGTCCAATGGGTCGGCTATATTGGCGTAAGTCTGGCCTTCCAGCATACTACTACATAGCGAACCTCAATCAATTATCCTCCCTAACCTACAACTATCTAGAGAGCGATATCGGGCCATGAAAGCCCAAACTTCTCCATGGGGCCGTACATCCAACAAACCCTCCTGCTTCTGATTTCACCGACTCTCTTCGCAGCTAGTATATACATGGAGCTCGGACGCATCATCAGGCTTACCGACGGCGAAGAGCATTCTCTAGTGAGGACAAAGTGGCTGACGTTGACATTTGTTCTCGGGGACGTGATCTCGTTCCTAATGCAAGGATGGGGTATGCTATACTACACCTCCAATACTACCCCTGACCTCCTATAAGTATGCTGATGTATCTAGGTGGCGGTGTGATGTCCGACGACAGCGGCGACTCGCTCAAGAAGGGAGAGCACATTATCATTGGCGGACTAACGGTGCAGCTGGTGTTCTTTACCCTCTTCGTCATTACCTCGTTGAAGTTCCACCTCAGCATACGGGAGCACCCAACGCCTCGTTCTCAACAACCGCACATAGAGTGGGAAAAGCACATTTACGCACTTTACGGCAGCAGTTTGCTTATCCTGGTGCGCTCCGTCTTCCGTCTAGTTGAATACGCTCAGGGCAATGCTGGATACCTTGTATCACATGAGGTATTTCTATATATATTTGATGGGTTACTTATGTTGGCCACCATGGTGGTGTTTGTGTGGATTCATCCAAGTCAGGTAAACGCCTTGTTGAAGGGTGGACAGGGCGCGAAGGCTGTCAGGCGTGTGTATTCTGTCTATTCTATGACTTGAATATCGTTATTATAGGGGGCTGGCTAATGTTGGATTTCCGTCTATCACCCTGACCAGATATCCAGTCCAGGGGAGGACTACATAGAGTTGGTGTGGAAGTTATCAATTGTTCTTTGCTACTTGTTGAATGAAGTCTTACATAGAGCTAGTAGTGAGGTGCTCGCCGATAAAAGTACCACACAGAATACATTTCTTGTTGATAAGGCTAGGAGGCCGCTGTTAAATAATCATAATTGACAATTTGACCAAGAGTGATACAAGTAAAACCTATGGCGAAAGACGGTAGTTGGAGTAGGCTAACCTCAACCTTCCTTTGCCGAGGCCGAGCCTGATAAGCTTAATAAATAATCAAAAATATAAGCCTTGGCGAACGAAATCTAGCCTCCTATGACGGATGTAAGGCGTACACATGAGTGCCTGGTAAGGATAAAAACATACTTTCTAGAATGTTGATTTGTTAGTGATATTTAGCATTCTTACAAATCGCATGTTTCCCAAGAAAGCGACCTACGCCTCCCACATTTTTAGATATATTCAACCATCAGCTATATCACTAAAAATAGTTAATATATTTAGGATCTTAGATAGAGTAGAAAGGCAGAGTTCTACTAGTAATTTCTACCTTGAAAGGAAAATAAACTCGTACTATTTGTTTGTAGTTTAAGCATTTAATATACCCTGTACATAAGAGGAGGTGCAGTTTGTACCTCTGTTCGCTGTCGTCGATGAAGAACGGGTCGACTGGATTCCATTTGACATATTCTTGATGCCCAGCGTCGTCAGGCTTCGTCCAGAGCCAGGGCAAGAGGGGATCGCACCCAGTTGTTGAATCAGCGGGGTTATTCCGGTACCATCAAAAGAACTTACCGCTTAAGTTGCCCTTTTTTCGATACAATGGGCTTGCAATATAGAGATCCAGCCCAAGGATGAAGCAATATCTCGATATTCTGGTCTGTGTTCGAGGAACACGATGAACTCGTGTCAGAACCACTCTGTTGTTGTATCACCGAGGATTGATATCAAGAAATCCCAATCGGCTCTCTGAATGATGTCGAGTTCTCAGAAGGGCTTTGGAATTATAGGGCAACTACAACACCATACTTGGTAGTAGTGCAGCAAGCCTGTTCCCAATCGGGCCAAAAGGTCACTGTGGATGATCAGACCCTAGGTCTGATCTTGCTCGGTTCGCAAGGCCGCGACCTGACTAACAGCCTTGTGAAGCCTTTGACTATACATCTCCTTGTCCAGTTCTGGACCAAACTTCGTAACCGGGCTTCAGCTGGGGTTTCTTCGAAGATATGAGGCTGAGCTCACTATATAAGATTTAATATTAGTGTATGCCCTGTGCCGGCCTCTGTATAATATACCCCATTTTAGTAGACTAAGACCTTGGCTTCGAACTCGGTGCGTAAATTTGATTCTTCTGATATGATTTTAAGGGCACCGGATCCTTTTGATACTACCGTAGAGTTGAAGTACGATTGACCTCTCCTAGAGATTCGTGAAAATGCTGCGTATAGATTTCCTTCGGTAGCTCGGTGGCCCAAGTCCGGGGTTGAGAAAACATTTCGCCTGGCGATGAGAAAGTGTGGCCAGCAACGACAAGTGGTTTCGTGGATTTATCAGACAACGTGTATATAGCTAGGTTGTTGTTATGGCCGTTCAAGCTAGCCCTGGTACTTGCTTCCAGCGCACGTACTTGTAACACATAGCTCATTCTAGCGATGAGTAAGATGTAAGAAGAGAGAATCCCCGGCGTTCTATAACATATGGAAGTTGATCTACGTATGAATGGTATGCGGTATTGGTGAAGGTGAGCTCACACGCAAGGGCGCCGGGTGAAGAATAAGATGGACGGTATGTTGAATATTGAAGGGAAGGATGGAAGAAAGACGAGGTGAAGGTTTTAAAAGAAAATGGAGAGTGCCCATAAACGGAGCAAGAGAAACACTTTCAGAAGAGGCGCGAGTTGCGAAATCAAGATCGCCGACGAAACTCTTAATTCGGATTAGAATTGATTTAGAATATGGTACAAGGCTGCCTTGGGGCAATCTCCAGTTGGCATTTGCGAAGTCCAGAGGTCCATATTCCATGAATACCAACGTTGTGAAGAAAGTCTGGCTTTGTGGGTCCTTTCTTTCGCTAGCTTCAATCTAGGTATGAAAGCTGGAAAGACATTCTCATTGTACGACTGTATTCACCAGACACGATCTCTGGCTCTGTCATTGCTATTTCAAACCTATGCCTTCCGTACAGCTCTACTGGATAAAGCCCTGCCTAATGAGGGGAGTTGACATTTTAAAACCGTCTTCAAAACAAAATCCTGGGTCATTGGGGTTTGCTGGTGTCTCGTGCTTCTCCTGATACGGCGTTTGGAATCGACGATAGAGCAAAGCCTCTCATCATATCGGAGGTTGCTACTGTCAAAGTAGCCTCCTGCTTGTTAGGACGCCATCCTGTCTGGCCTGGGCTGCACCGAACGAAACGTGCTTCCCCAAACGATGCCGGTTTAAGGACTGAAATCGTTCGGTGTACGGACAACAAGCGGCCTTGACTCTCTCCTCAGGCGGATTAATAGTGTGTGATAACAGTCTCTAGACCATGCCGTTAGTATGGAATACTACTTGACGTATTGAATTAGAGGTTCAAGATCATGTACTGAAGTCGGTCGGTGGAGTGGGGTCAGAGAGCCTAGACAGTGACGGGTCTGGAGGAGCGTGTTCATCTTGCTGGATTGAATTGAATTATTATAAATTGGTTCAGTGGCACCTAAGAAAGAGCGGCAAATGCGACCATGCTTTGCTTTAGGTGGAGATATCTAAAACCCTGGAATTTCATGTCATCATGAACCCGTAATTTCAGCAAAGCCAAAGAATGCAAAAAGCTAGGTTTAACAAATGCTTATTTGACTAGCCTTTTCCGTCCTAGTGAGTGGAACCTGGTGGGTACGCTGAAGCTTGACAGGTTTAACGAAGTAGATCTGGTTATATAGATCGTTCTCTCCAACAGCGGTCTAGGGATTCAGTCCGTCCTGACAGATAATCTTCACTTAGATCTGTATCATTTTCATCTTCAACTAGAAAATGCTTCCCACCGTTCAGCTCGGAGCGAATGGGCCTCGAGTGTCCGCGCAAGGTGAGAGATGGTTTCTACGATGGTCTACGCACTGGATAACAGCTGATGCGTTCTTGGAGGTCTTGGGCTTATGGGTCTTTCCATGTTCTACGGAGTCCCTATGTCAAATGAGGATCGATTGAAGTTTCTCGACAATGCGCATGCTCGAGGTGTCACATTCTGGGATGCTGCAGACGTTTACGCTGACAATGAGGACATTCTCGCCACGTACGTACCTCGAAACATTTCATCAATCATGAGGAAAATTTCCATCTCTGAACTATCTTTACTAACAACGGCTAGTTGGTTCAAGAAAAGTGGAAAGCGAAAGGACATTTTCCTTGCTACCAAGTTTGGTATTCAGCAGCACCCCGGTCTGCCTTCAACCATTCACAACGACCCTGAGTATGTTCGGGAAGCATGCCTTCGAAGCCGCTCCCGTCTTGGTCTTGTCGATGGCGACGCTATTGACCTCTATTATTGCCATCGCATCGATCCCGAACAACCCATCGAAGTGACTGTAAGAGCTATGCAGCAGCTTGTGGACGATGGTCTGGTCAAGTACCTTGGCCTGAGCGAGTGTTCCGCCGATACTCTGCGTCGTGCTCATCGTATTCACCCCATCTCGGCTGTTCAAGTCGAAGTTTCCCCCTTTGCCGTTGACGCGTTTCGCAATGGGCTTGTCGATGCATGCGGCGAACTCGGTGTCGCTATCGTTCCATACTCTCCTTTCAGTCGCGGATTTCTAACCGGAAAGTTCCGAAGCGTCAACGATTTTGATGCGAATGATCGTCGGCGTATCCTTCCTCGGTTCTCGGAAGTGAATTTCCCAAAGAACTTGGCAATTGTTAACCGCATGGAAGAGCTTGCTTCCAACAAGAATTGCTCAGTCGGCCAGCTAACGTTAGCCTGGCTTCGCTCTACAGGGAAAATGGTCATTCCTATTCCGGGCACAACCAAAATTCCGAATTTGGAAGAGAATTTAGGCAGTCTGGACGTTAAGTTGAGCCCGAAGGATCTTGAAGATATCAATGACGTGATTCAGGCTGCCGATGTGCAAGGCGAGCGACATCCAAAGAGCATGATGCCGTATCTTTATGTGGACACGGCTCCTCTCACAGATTAGACATCGGGCTTTTGTAGGGTCACTTCAAGCCCACAGAAAAGGGAAGCAATAGAGCAGCAATAGCTAACATTAGAAGTTGTTTCATTGCCCATAGTTTGCCCTTTGCGGTAGGAGTCTAGTCGAGCATCTGGCTGTTAGTTTTTAACTGTAACCTTTTGTCGCCACGAAGACTACGCCAATAATTAGTTGACCTCAAGAGCTCTGGACAATCCTGGGTCGCCCAGCCCCATTTTTGAATAAAGCCTTCTGATAACTCCCAGTTCTGCAGTATCCAGGGTTGCCCCCAAACAATTAAACTGGAATCCGGCCTGTTAGTATTCCAGAACCCCATTATATCAACACAAAGCTCGTCATCATCAAGCCCATTCGCTAGAATGAGGCGATCACGCATTTTGGGGTGAGGAAAGAAATCCAACCATGGATGATGAGGCACCTGTGATTGAACTGCAGTTGGTTGCAGGTGAGTTGGAAGAGTCGGGGAAGTCATATCTGGCTTTGACATGCAAAAAGGAGAAATTGCATCCGCCTTCATCCAACCCGCATCCATGCCCAATGCTGCGAGATTTTCAAAAAAGGCACGATAGACGTTGAGTTTGACCAGAGTGAGAAGATGATCGGCTACCGGCAACCTGCTACAATAGCTCTCGTAGGCAATTGTTTCAAACTCATTGAAAAAGGTTCGTGCGCCCTTGGGAGCTATGCTGCAGTTGTAGGTTGGTATCACGTTCACCCTCCTGCGAGGCATACCGAGTGTGGTGAAGTTGCTGCATTCTGTCGGTTGGTCTCCGTCGTCAACCAGTGAGCCGATCTTTTTCCACTTCGAAGGACTCTTCTTCTTTGGATTTTTAATTTGCTGACGTAACCCTATGTAGTCCTTACGTGTGAGTAGATGACCAGCAAATGCATTGGGTCGAGGGCAGCCTACGATACGTTCGCTGATTGAGTCGATTTTGTAGCTTGCGTCGCTCAGCCGGTGTGGCTACTAAGGACCAATCATCCCGAGTGGAGTTTTTCGTTGGTTTGAGCAGCTCAGCGTGGTAGTCCATTTTGCGATACGCAAGAGAATGAAAGCCCTTGGAAAACAGCGTGTTCGTGGATGGAAGTGGAAGAGACAGCCCTGAGGTGGCGACGGCTTGCTGACCGCGCTAACCGTTCTTATGTATTTAGATGGGAGATAAGCCAGTGGAATGTGGAGCAGTATGCTCGCAGACCCACGCTGCGTACTAGTCCAATCGTCGGCCGTGGCAAAATTTCTTAGTCGCCATACTGCATCAATTTAACCTAGGCTTTACAGACTCTAGTGAGATAAACAATTTTCTATCGTGTTGTCAGGTATCCAAAGCTAGCAAGCTAAGATGATGATACGTCTCCTCCACTCATTGCAATGGCAAACCTGGAACGCTGGCGTAGTCGGGAGCCGTATTTAGACAAAAGGAAGGGGGCTGGAAGACAGGCAAGAGACAGAAAGGCCGGAACACTGCTTGCCCAGTGAATCCCCAATCCTTCGTACAAATACGTTGTGAAAAGTGGGAACGCCGCGCCGCAAAATGATCGCATTACTGTCGCAGCGGCCAGAGCCGAGGCAGCATAGGTCACATAGCTATCGACAAGATAGTTGACCAATGCTAATGAGACACAGATATTACCAAACCCAAAAAAGGCGGTACCCACCATGCAAACAGCCCAGTGTATTGAGGGAGAATTGGTCCATGCAAAAAGGAACAGGCCGATAGGAATCATAACAGCCCCAACCTTGCCAGAAGGCAGGCGAGCTTCGGCGGGCAGCTGGCCTGTCTCGGAGGTCTTAGATTTCCTCGCGTATTGGAAGTTGATGAAAACCATAAAAACTGTTGCAAACAGCATACCGACCGCAATCGATATAAATGAAAGACCACCGATCCCAGGGCTCCATCCGCGAACATGTTGGAACACAACGGGTAGTGCTGCTAGTAGTAGATAGGTGGTACCGTAAATGAAAGACATATAGAGTGCGAGAACCACAACGATGGGCTCTCTGGAGAGGAGTCGCAAGGGACGGGCCGTGGCTACTTGAAATCTTTCCGCCAGAGATCCTGGAGGATTCTGATGATCGACGCTCGTAACATATGATTTTCCCGTCCGTATCGACAGCACGGCGGCTCGATGTCGAAGAAGAACGTTATTAAAGGTTTCGGGAACACAAAGAATTCCGAGTATTAGCATAGTTCCTGCGTATATTGCCACTAAGCCCTCAATCCATCTCCACCCTGCTGCCTGGCCGAGAAATCCGCCCACAATGGGACCAAGGACAGGCCCGAGAAAGGTAGCACAAGAGTAGAAAACCGCAGCAAGTCCTCTCGTTTCTGCACTGTAGAGATCGGCCACAATGCCCCCAGAGTTCGTGAGAGGTGCACTGCCAAAAGTTCCGGCCAAAGCTCGGAATATAACCAACGAGGCGAAATTGGCTGAAGCGGCTGCCGCAACGTTAAAAAGCGTGAAAAGGGTGAAGGTACCCAAGAACATGATTCTCCTGCCAAATGCTTCACTCAGTGGTGCCCACAGCAAAGGCCCTACCGCGAAGCCCAGGACATACAGCGACAACCCCAGCGTCGCAGCCTCAACAGAAACCTCAAAATCCTGGCAAATGGAGGATATATCTCCTGAATAAGAACTCGACGCAAAGGCGACAGAGAGAGTTGACAGTCCTGAAAGGGCTATGATGATGACTTTTCTCGCTGTGCCATAATTGCGGGCATTCAACGCATCATTTGGAGTCCAGGATATTATATGTGGATTATCACGAGTACCATTTCCCGGCCAATGATAGTCAACATTTCCCGTGACCTTTCTGAGGTCACTGGTACCTAGCACGAAAAGCAACCAGATGGTATAGGACATGTCAAGGCCCTTATTTTGGGTTTGCATCGCGTTCTGTGGAACACTAAAAATTAAGTGCTATGGCAAAGAGAACGGAAGGTGGTAGATAAGAATGTCGATGTGTACTCTTGCCACCATTTTGTATCCAATTTGATTTTTGTTTTATTCAATTCTGCTGTTTATTTTCTGACGGATGAGTTCACCAAACGTATAATCTGGCGACCAACGCAGAGCACGGCATCAAAGGAGTGCGGAAATGAGCCAACCATCTTTGGCTAGTATAGTAAGCTCCTGCTGTCCGTGACTTATGCTTCAGCTGCATAGCGTTTTGTAAAGGCAATTGCACGGAATTAGGAGCTAACAAAATAAGCAACCATTGGCTTTCGGAAGCTAAGCGTTATCGTCGCCGGACTTGGTTCCTTAGTTTGTGGGTGGCCACTTAAGGTGGGTCGGTGTGCTTTAAGAGGTTCACGAGCCACGCAAACTGGGTCATCCGTGCCATCTCTGGTTAGTTCGGTAAGCGTTGCAAGGTCTAGGAACCCTACATTCTCATCGCATCGTCATTATGGCCTTCCTAGGGAAACTTGCATGTCAGTTGCTGCTTCCAATAAAATAAGAATGACTGGAAGAATTCTGCCTCAAGACTCCAGATTGATATATAACCGATGCTCTCGACTCTGAATCGTGTGAAGCTCACCTTTGGATCAACCTGTCCAGCACCAACTGAAAATCACATCTCGATTTAAAGTAGGCTGTCACCCTAGAATGAATATCTCACCACCAAATGACACCACAATTACTACTCCAATCTTCGGAGCATTGAAGGATTCCTCGCCTATGACACTTCAAGAGTCGAAGGCCATTGGTACCAACCCGCCAAATGGAGGTATTCGGGCATGGCTCCAGGTTGTCGGTTCTTTCTTTCTGTTTTTCAATACCTGGTAGGCACGGTATTTGCTCAGCAGACTATTTGAAGATGCTAATCACCTTCAGGGGCCTTATCAACTCTTATGGGGTTTTCGAGACATTCTACGAGGAAACCTTGCTCCACGGAACTGCTCCATCGACAATTTCATGGGTCGGTTCTTTGCAGTCATTCTTGATTATGTTTCTTGGTGTCTTGACGGGGCCGATCTATGATGCCGGCTTTGTGATGCCATTACTGTATATTGGCTCATTTCTGGTAGTCTTCGGTCATATGATGCTTAGTTTATGCCAAAGCTTTTGGCAGGTTCTCTTAGCACAGTCATTCTGCGTTGGAATCGGAGCCGGCCTCATTTTTGTACCCAGTATTGCGATTCTTTCGACATATTTCACGACAAGATTGCCGCTAGTCATTGGCATAGCCGCTTCAGGCTCCAGCATAGGCGGCGTCATCTACCCGATTTTGATACATGAATTACTCGGCAAAGTCGGATTTGCTTGGACGATTCGCATTGCTGGCTTTGTAGCCCTTTTCGGGCTTTGCATTTCCTGTGCAGTGCTCAGGGTGCGCACTCTTCCTGCTAATCGCCGAAAATTGATTGACTGGTCTGCCTTCCGTGAAGCCCCTTACAGCTTTTTCAACATCGGTCTATTCCTCTGCTTTATGGGTCTGTATACGCCTTTCTACTACATTCAATCTGTGGCGATCCAACATCATATAACATCAGAGACTCTGGCGTTCTATTTGGTGCCGGTTATCAATGCAGCATCGACTTTTGGACGCCTGGCTCCGGGATATGCTTCCCAGTGGATTGGGCCACTGAACATTCTTATTCCATGCGCCTTTATCTCAGGCATTCTTGTTCTATGCATCATAGTTGTTCATGCACAGGGGTCTTTATTGGCTATTTGCGCTCTATATGGTTTCTTTTCGGGGTCACTTGTCTCGCTCATGGGCCCCATCCTCGTCATGCTTTCCCCGCACCGTGGGGTCACTGGGACAAGGATGGGTATGTGTTTCACGCTATTGGGGGTTGCTTTATTGATTGGGACGCCAATCGCCGGCTCAATCTTGAGTTCACATGGTGCCAATATGGTCTGGGTATATAGTGGCGTTTTGACCCTTTCTGGAGGGGCGATAATAGGAGCTGCTCGGTTTAGTTTGGCCAGTGCAATTCTTGCAAGGACCTAAACTACAGTTATGCGTCCTGAATGATGCAGGGTCATTATTTGGGCCGATTATTGTGATACATAAAACGTCTTTTACACCATAGAGCTAGCCACAGGTAATAGAAAGATTAGAGCAATTGTGTTGTAGCTCAAAAAGCAAACTTGGATTTTCGTGTTTGTGATTATAGATAAGACGATATCTATACAAAATGAGGTTCAAGTTAATGTACAATGGATTAGTATTTGTGCAGACTGGAAGGATTTACTCCATGTTGCGGCTTTTGTTCCTGAGCAGCGACAACCTCTTAGCCAAACAACACTGCACGTCGGTATCACTTGGGCAGAACAAGATAAATACCAACGGTATGCCCGACAAATGGCTCGGCCTGGCTGCATCATTAGACCGCCTTGCAATTGAGGAACGGAAAACGGAGATAACATATTTCTCGTCGTGCAGATGCTGACACTTGCCGAGTACTTGCCGTACAAGTTGTTACTACTAATTATCGAACAGGGTCAGGGCTACAGTGGAGTTCGTTCTTACCATTTCGGGCTAGCGTTGTAAGCAAGATCACTGCTACCAGGTCGGTTAAACTTGCCCCTCTCTTCCCCTTCTACTCTGTACCCACTTTCTTCCTAACGTTGCTATGCCCAAGATCAATATGTTACAAAGCGGCGCTTAGCGGACTTATCGTAGGCTCCTTGACTTATTCCCTGGAGAATGTGTTTCATGCCCAATCATATTTAATTATGATTAGGGAATAGACAAAATCTGGAGAGGCATGAGCCCACTCGACCAAAGCGTTGGAAGGTCATCGGGGTTACCAATTCGAGTCGACCATGTACCGCGATTACCCCCAGGATACTTTCTATAGCGAGTGTAGTAGGCATTCGTGACCAGTTGACATGAGAGACAAGTTCCCTTAACCTAGGGCTCTTCGTTATGGACAATCTTCTTATCCTGATTGAGGGAATCGGGAAGAGAATTCGAGGTTCAAGGTGCACGATCGACTTCAAGGACAGTGATAGTCTATGTGAAAATCAATTATTACTCAAGACGGAAACTAACCCACCAAATACCCTTCTAAAAAAAAAGTCAGATACCAATCACTACTTTCATGGCCCATTTTCTTGGCCTAAAACCCCGTAAAGGAGATGCACCACCAATGGTAACATATTTATGAGAGTAAATAACAATTCATTGAGCAATCAGTTCACCAGAACATAGCGATATCGAGCCTCTCCCTGGTCCATGCCAAGTATAACTTGGTTTGCCGCCTTCATCGGTCGTTCCTCAATCCATGGTTGGACATTTTTGGCTGCTGCAAGAGCGAGCATCTCCCGGACTTCGCTGGGACTACCGATCTTTGAACCACAGAACCTCAACCCCATTCCAATCAAAGCCCCAGCGGGGAAAGTAAAAGGACCGTCCTCAGGGTTGCCCACTTGTACAAAAGCACCATTTGACTTCAAAACCTTCAGGTGGTCAGAAATTGGGAGCGTGTTGGATGAGACAGTTGAAATGATGAGATCTAAGGTATTTGCGTGCCGGGCCACCCATTCTGGCTCCTCGCACGTTGCGACGTAAACATTGGCACCTAACTTCAGTGCGTCATCACGTTTCGAAGCCTTTCGTGAAAAGGCCGTGATCCAGTCAGCACCCAGAGCCTTTGCAAACAGGATGCCGAAATGTCCTAAGCCTCCAACGCCGATGATACCGATTTTCTTCCCAGGCCCACATCCATACTGCTTCAGGGGCGCATAAACAGTCGCTCCAGCACACAACATAGGAGCAGCAGCGGCAGAAGGGATAACGTCGGGAATCTTGATTGCAAAGTGGGATGGTACCCGGTTGAAAGAAGCGTAGCCCCCGTACGACTTGCTGCCATCGAGATAGCGACCGGCGTATGTGCCCGTCCACAGCTTGGTACAATATTTCTCATTCCCAGTACTGCACTCTACGCAGTGTCCGTCCACGCGGCCGCGGCATGAATCACTTTGCGGACCAACACCCACGCGGTCGCCGATCTCTAACCCCTTCACCTGCGAACCAACTCGAACAATGATGCCCACAATTTCGTGGCCCACACAACAAGGGTACGGGGTTGGACGCTGTTTGACACAAGTCACTGAATGTTCTACTATAATAAGCTCATGCGTTCATGAATGATAACATACCCATCCACTTCGTAAAACACAGAGGTCAGAAGCGCAGACACCGCAATGAGTAATGCGAATGTCTACGTCCGTTTCCTCCCATGCCTTGGGCTGGAACTCCCGCCACACCATTTGACCTTTGGCTGAATCCTGGTCAAGGCCTATCCACCCTTCAAATTTTGAGGTAGAGTCGGACATCACGAATAATAGGCTAGAAGTAAGTAACGCGATGTGGGTTGGAATGACTGCATTCAAGGGAGAATCGCGGATATGTGCGGGAGATAGATCAATCAATTTATAGTGGATTCGTTACGCTTACAGGAGAAAAGCTTAGACAGATAGATGGAAAGAATCTCCTTGTCATCACGCCTGTTCGCCGATTCCTGTTGCCGGCTCCGTTCATGGCTTCAGTAAGTTCCGTCCCACTGATACCTTTCTAGGCTAGCGCGTCAGCGAGTGATTCAAGTGAGGTGATTCCATAACCAGCCCACTTATGCTTAGAGCAAGGAGTAGTCATTGCCAGTGCTAGCCATTGTGGTTCTTCCCCTATGATTTCTTGGTAGGGCAATGGGGCCGTTCCGGATGGATTTCAAGGCAGCTGTTGCCATGTCTCCGGGCTCAACCGAAAAATTCTTCTTTTGTGGCAAAACAAATGGACACAATATCAGGCTGAAGACTGAACCGTATCTAGTTCGGCCACATGTCGAAAGCGGCGATTATCAGAGTGGTAATCAGATCTTTCAACGCTGGGCAGCTCGATATCACTGAGATCATGCTACACAAATGACATTATAAAATGAAAGATTAAAGCAAGAACTATGATAGTATAAGAGACTTTACGTCATTTACGAACTGTAACATATACGTAAAATAATAAACGGACACATATCGAAACTTATTAGGTAGGTCAAACCTTGAAGAAAAGAGGTCGTGAGTTTTAGGGTGCGCGGGTAAAGGGCTGGCAAGGCTTGCGCATCGCGGGTTATTGCCCATTATAGGACACGTGCAGTACGAAGCTTTGCTGTGTTGATATGGAGAATATTTATGGGAATTTCTCCTTTTACAGCCTGCTATACACGGGTTGTGGCCTTTTTTTAAATAAATTCACGCCTTGCGGCAGCCTGCACAATATATACTAGTTGCAATCTCATGTGTCACAACCTACAGGGGGTGGCCAGTGTTATAAGGAGTGGTTGAAGCGAAGCGGAAATCTATTATTCATAACAGCATAGCCGTAAATATTAGCGGATATCTCTTATATTGGACAAACCCTGGTGAAACTATAGTCCTTTGAGAGACGCTTTACGCCGATATGGACTCGAAGAGTGAGTCTAGGAAACCGCGAGTTGACGGAGTAATCAACCGTTCTATTTAGGGCTTACCATTAAACCATTACTAAACGCTGCCACCCTCCTCTACCTTAGCAATATACAGCAAGCCATCATATGGCCTATCCACCTGATGCCATGGCCGCAACTGACCAAAAGCCCAACAGACCATGTGCGCAATATCTGATCAATCTAATCGATATCTCCCCCGCATTTCTGCAGCAACCAAAAGTCAATTTAATAGTAACACATCAAACTTGAACAAACAAAACCCCCTTACATTAAATGTATTTAGTACAGATATTCCCCTTCTCTCTCCCCTTTAGCAAAATCCCCATCCTCTATCCTCACCTACTCCACCTTACGAAATACCCCAGAGCCAAAAAAGAAAAAAAAAAAAAAAAGAAAAGAAAAGAAAATGCACCTTCCAACAATCCAAGCCGTCCTCCCGACCTTCCTCCTCCTCCTACACCCAACCCCAACCCTCACCACCCAATCCTTACTGAACGCCCCCAAATCTGGCAACCCAGTAATAGAAGGCTGGTACGCGGACCCGGAAGCCCGCATCTTCGACTCCACCTACTGGCTCTACCCGACCTTCAGCGCCGCCTACGAAACCCAAACCTTCTTCGACGCCTTCTCTTCCCCGGATCTGCTCACCTGGACCAAACACCCAACCATCCTCAACCTCACCGCCATCCCCTGGTCCACCAACCGTGCCGCCTGGGCCCCCTCCGTCACCCGCTCCCCGCTGACCGGGGACTACTTCATGTACTTCTCCGCGGGCGACGGGGCGGGCATTGGCGTTGCGAAGTCCGTCTCGGGGATGCCGCAGGGTCCCTACGAGGATGTGCTGGGCAAGCCGTTGGTCGGGGAGACGGTGTTCGGGGCGGAGCCGATCGACGCGCAGGTGTTTGTTGACGAGGACCAAAGGGTTTGGTTGTATTTCGGGGGGTGGAGTCATGCTGTTGTGGTTGAGTTGGGAAGTGATATGGTTAGTCTCAAGGGTGAGTATTTGGAGATTACGCCCAAGGACTATGTCGAGGGGCCTTGGGTTTTGAAAAGGGGTGGGGTTTATTACTTTATGTATAGTGTTGGGGGGTAAGTTTCCTTTTTCTTTCTTCCTTTTGCTTTTGCTTTGATTTGAGATGGGGGAGTTAGGGCTTGGGCTCGGGTTGGAGAGAGGCAGTGCTGATTGTGGATCATTGCAGATGGGGGGATAACTCCTACGGGGTTAGCTATGTTACTGGGCCTTCGCCGACGGGTCCGTTCTCTAGTACGCCGACCAAGATTCTGCAGGGCGATGGCATCGTCGGACAGAGTACGGGCCATAATAGTGTTTTTACCCCAGATGGGAAGGATTACTATATCGTCTACCATCGCCGGCCGGTTAATGATACTGAGCGCGATCATCGGGTGACTTGTATTGATCGCATGGAGTTCGATGAGGAGGGCAATATTTTGCCAGTGAAGATTACGTCGGAAGGTGTCGAGGGGAGGCCGTTGGCTTAGAGTAGGGAACGACTATATATGCATAAGACTTTGTATAAATTCGGTTGGATTGCCTTGGTTTATTTCCAGGTTAGAACTGCTTTGAGTCTATGTACATAGCACGTCTTTTCTTTTTTTTGTTTTCTTCAAACGCCAACGCCATGGGTATCATAACTTCGTTTCTCAATAAGATAAATGATCAGAACATCGAGCTGCGCTTTTTGGCGAGTTTGTTTTCGTCGGAGGATGACCTCCGGAAGCCGAAGAAACTCTTCTTCTGCTGCAATTTTTGTGGTTTTGATCCCGTCGCTGGTTGTGGTTGCGTCGGCAGGAACGCGACTGACTGCCTGTGTGGGTTACCCCCAGGGGCCTGGAGGTACGGCGAATGTCCGATATGCGGCACGGACGGTGAATGGTGGTGAGTATGGTAGTACCGCTGAGCTGGGGCCCCCCGGCCAGCAGCAATTGGCCGCTCTGATGGCGGAGGCGATTGTAACGGTCGCGGCGGAAGCGATGGAGTCGAGAAGCGGACTCTCTGTTCTTCCTCGCCGTAAAGTCTCTGGAGACGAAGGGTTTCCTCGTCGATCTCGGCCTGGCGTTTCTGGCGGGCCTTCTCTTCCTCTTCAAGAAGTTTCTTGGTGCGACGTTCCTCTTCTTTCTCTTGCTCCTGCTTGCGTCGTGGGGGGTTCTCAACGCTGGGTTCCTCTGGAATAGATGGTGTCGTGTTGACGTTGAGCGCCCCAGGTCCAGCTGAGACAGGCTGTTTATCTTTGCTAGCTGCGGGAGCAGTGTTATGACCATTGGGCATGTTCGCAACCGCGGTAGCACTAGGACCCGCGGCAACTGACGTCGCATCCAGTTTGAAAGCATCCCTCATCGCAGTGAAATACACATCGCGAATAGTTACTGCTCCAAGCAAGAGAACAACCTCCAACCCCTTAAAATCCTCCATCTCCACTCGATATAAGTTTGGTTCGTAGAGCGTCAACTCACGCAGCGCCTGGAAGATCGAAATTGTGATGTCCGGCTCCTTGCTCTTTGTTTTAGTCCCCGACAGCGCAGTAGATTTCCCAGACAACAGACATGTCAGGTCCTTTGACAGCTTACTATCCTTCCGCCAGCTGAAGCGAAGTTTGGGCGTGGTATCTGCCGCCGCTGGGTCTGTTTGTGTCCGGTCTAGAGTCGAGCTTGAGGGTTGTCGGAAGGATTGCTGTGGCATTTCGAATGACCATGTCGCTGGACTATTCCATGTCTTCGGTTTGTATTCAACGGTGACCTGCTGGTCGGGGTTGTAGAGGTGGATGGTAAAACGGGTGGGGAGGATAGGCTCAGGCGGTGGGGTGACTCCGCCATTCTGACGGATAGCCTCTGCGGAAAGGCTTGGTTGCGTCCATTCGGGAATGAGTAGAACCTCGCCGTAGACGATATCCGGGACGTAGGGATCAACTAGAGCGGCGGCGTAGCGGTTCTTCGAGGAGGGGGATGCTGGGTCGGGGTGGCGAAGAGTATATGCGGGCTCGGGCTCAGTACCACGGTGAGAATGTAAGATGGTCCAGAGGAACTTCTGTTGGGTTTTCTTGATGAAGAACGCTGAATGGTTGTTAGTATTGCACTTGGCCTGATGGGATATACGTGCTACTTCTGCGATTGACCGGTGGACATACTGGGCAGGTTCTCGTCGAGCATTTTTCATGTCAGTAACAGTTGAAGTGATTTCAGTGGTTGTTGTCGTTAATTTAATGCCCTGGATGCCCTGTCAAGCACCTTGGATTATGCCATGGAGCTTGGTATAAGAGGGGGTTGAAGTGGAGATGGTGCGGACACGCGTTTCTGCCTGAGGCAGTCTGGGGCACTGCGCCACGCGATCGTCGCTAAAAATAGACCCCGTATGCGGGAACCTACAGTAGTTGAAGCCCTGGAACGATAGGCAGCTATATAAACAATGGGGTCTCTACCCTTGTTTATGCGCAGTTTTCAATATTACTCCATGTTATTCGAGGGCGAAGCATGGGGATATGTACCAGGCATCCAAATTCTTGAATCAGTCTATATGATTACAGCATACGGTGAGTGAGTGATGGGTAGTGATGACGAATCATGGGCCGATCAGCATCATATTCAAACACGCTAAGAGTTTTGTCGCTTGCCCTCCGCCGCGACCATGATTGTCGGTCTGAGTCTGCCTTGAGACAGGTCAATTGAGATAATGCGAAAGTCCTGAATACAAACACTTCACCGACAGTGTTGCTGTGGTGACAACACTGCCCTCGGCTTTCAACATGACCAGAGTCCGTACGATATGCTCACAAAGAGAAGGAAACTATGAGCCTTCGCTCGTCAGATCAAAAAGACTTTGTTTAATACGATTGATATAGAGGAAAAAGCGATATGTGCGCAGAGTTCCACATACAAACATGAATGATGGGCACATTTTCATATCTGAGCTGAATGGTACTGAGCATGAGTTGAGCGCCACTCAAAAGCTAATTGCCGAATAATCTGTCTTGGTGCATTCAGCGACTGTATACCATTCCATTTCTTCGTGTCAAATCAGGCTGCGCATGGCCTAATGATCTCATGAGCGGCGGCTCTACACTTTCTCTTCCACAAGGTCCAATTTGTTGATCGACCCTCAATGTGGGGATCACCTAACCCGTAATAGTTTACGGTAACTAGACGAAGGTTAGCATTCGTCATGGCCTGAAAAATCTAGGTTCGCATCTCACGGAGATAAAAGAGAGATAAAATCTGTTGGCCACCTACCCGCCCTTCGGAACGATACTTGATCGTCAATGTATTCTGGCTCTGACTGCTTCAATCAGTATATATCCTGCACTTACAGGCTAGAAGACACTTAGGCGGTAGCTTTGATTTTGTGGTGAACTCTTGACGGGCCAATTGCATGAAGTTTTCTGAGTAACAGCGTCTGCCGGGGTCCTATCTGTGAGACTCGTTACCAGCCGAGGAGATACCTGGAGCCATGTTTAGCCTTGTACGAGCGAAATTGGAAGCGAATGGCCAGACCTATCTGATCTCAATCAGTAAACGCTCTCTCTAGGATATAGGGTGCATGTACAACTTATTGATAATGTCACATCCATGTCCAGGGTTTCTTCGTAGTACCAGCAAGTGCTTTGGGTCGGGTCAGTCACACTTTGTTCTCTCATTGGGGTTGATAGGCGCATGTTCTGAAGGCAAGTCAGATTCATCAGGCTAGGGCTATTTACTTACTGTGAGACCATAGGGTAATGAATTAGCTATTAAAAGTGCTCAACCTGACAGGGCCTTATATGTATTGCATGATCAAGAGCCTAAGGTTTGTTTTCCATTGTTCAAATTCTTCATTGCAATGGCCATTATACTCATTGTTGTATGTAAACCAAACAGATTTGTCCAATTATATATTAGAACTTCCAATTGTCTTCATAAAACCCCAACTACCTCTTGAAGACTTATTTCGTCTCAATGACAAAGACGCAGCCGTTCTATTTCTTTATATGAAACCATGAACAAAGCATCCAACACTATCTACAGAAAGATATCAAACAGGGAGAGGATAATCCCAATAGCTCATACACGGACACCATCAACTTCTTTGCCCTCTGGAACCTTGGCCGCTTCACGTTCAGCCGTGCTCAATTGCAAACCCTGGTCATCCCACCCCTGCGTTCCTTTCTTGTACAGAGTCTTCTGAGATTCCCGGTCAGGTGCCGGGCCTTCTTTGCCACGACGCTCGCGCGAAGGTATAGTCTCAACCAAGGTTGCATCCTCGCCCTCAAGCTCATGGCCTTCCACGTCAGTCTTGTGGACCTCGGACGAGAATTCGTAAGTACGGTATTCGGTGTTAACCCAGGCCGTTCCTTGTTCATGGTTAGCCATTCACTTTCTTTAATTGTCCAAAGAGGCAATAACTCACCTTGGTACTGGCTGCTATCCTCCCAATCCTCGGTGAAGTAATGCAGGAATCCACCATGAGTCACAACAACGATCTCCTTCTCAGGTCTCTCCTTCAACCACCGTCTAGCCTCGCGGGCTCGCTTTCTGATCGCGTCATGCGTCGGGGCATACCGACCAGCCTGGTCTCACATTAACATCTATCCCATTGTCCGGGTAAGACCGAGACCCTCGAAGAAAGGCCAACACACCTTGTTGTTCCATCCCTCATGCACCAATCTTAAGTCAACAGGCAGTCCGTTGTCCTCCATTTCCTTCCGCAACACATCCGGGTCACTACCTGTGTCGCAAGGAACATCGCTGGTTTCTTGCACGTCCGGGAGCAGAATCAACTTCGTATCCTTTCGAGCTTCAAAAACAGGCCCGAAACTCTGCAATGCGGTGTATATAGTACGGCGGAGAGGAGAGGCCGTTACGAGATCAATCTTGTCATGGAAGGGGAATTTCTCGGAGAGTTTGCGGCATTGCTCGTTGCCCAAGTCGGTAAGGAGGGGGTCGCGAATGACATGGTTTTCTGTGCAAAGGTTGTGGAAGCCCTGATCGGTGTGTTAACGTGAGTTCAGAGCATATAAAGACTGTCGCGGAAGTACCTGAGCATGGCGCACGCAATGGATAACGGGAGGCATTTTTGCGTCTATAGTCTATGGCTGCTAAGGTCGAGCCGGTCAGTTGGGAGACCGAGAATTTAAAACGTGGGGTAGCGGGGTAGCGATAAGGCGTCGGGCACAGGTAAAAGGTACCTCTCTAAACGATCGCTTGGAAGGAGAAAGCTGGGTGGAATGCCAATTTATATCCACCAGGCTAAGAATTGGAAAATCAATCAGTCCACTGTTTGAATCCAATCCCAAGCGAAGGACACACACCGTGCAGCCGAAATTGGACAATTCGTCTTTGCTTGGCCGATGGCTGGGTTCTCACGACGGTGGGTCTCTATACTTCTATCGGTATATAATTATGCAGATAGAAATCTATTTGGGGAAAGAGTGACAGTTTTCTAGACAAATCAACGTGAATTGCTTGCGAGATACGAACAGAAATTTCAAGAATAGAGGCCAACGTCTTGCGATTGAGTCACTCCCGGAGGAAAGTTCTCCGATCTGGCGGGATCCTGAGGCAGGAACTGTGATCACGAGGCAACTTTGGCGGGTCAGGTGTTCGGTCAATTACTAACCTCGAGGTCCACAGCCTGCATCTATAGGAATTCTAGCCATAGTACACAATGAGTGCGAATGTTAGAGCGGTCTCGTACGGTGGGCCTATAACATCACAAGCGGTAAATGGAAAACTTCTTGCTAGGAAGCACATCCGGAAACTGTTTAACATAGCAGAATGCCGCTATGGTGGCACCTGCGCGGCCATGTCATGATCTATATTTATATCTCGGATGAATAGCAACTAGCGTATCACCTGGGATGAACCTCCTGTCGGTAATGTTGATCGAATCAGATACTAGAGACCTCCTACATATGTGACTACTGGTCCTCAGTTGTGATAATCGTAGTATTCATCAATTCGTATCTATATCAGCCCCACTCGACCAAAAGACCAGATGGCACTAAGGCCGTGCCTTGCACCCCTCTATCCCTAACATATAAGCCTATTGCATTCATTGGCGTAAGGATAGATACCCCATGCATTCATGGTTCACCCAGCAAGTGTAGTCCCTAAAAGTCCCATTGAACAACCCAAATGGTCCAGCCAACGGGCGTCTTGCACGATATAATTGCGATTAATAAGCTGCGCCAGCCCGGAATAAACACGTACGGGTGGGATGGGGACCTTTATAAGTCTTTGGGCTAGAGCATCCAAGAGATGAACGGCATTCTCTACCCCATCCAGTAAGAGTTTTGGTGCGCTTGGAATGTCCTCCGGCTGATAGATGCTGATGAGATCTCCTAGTTGAGTTGCAAGCAACCCCAGCCTGATCTGTGCACCGACGACCTCAGAGCACAATACCTGCACTTGCTCATAATTCTGGTTGCTCTGGTATAATCGTGCTTCAGATACGTATCTCGGACACTTGACGAGCTCCATGAAGATGCGCTCCGTGACATCCACAAACATTCTACGTATACCGAGCTTCTGTGAGTCCTCAACCCTGAGCCTCTCTGCTAGCTGCTGCCACTGATCTCCTTCGAGAAAACACGGCTGCTCTTGGTGAAAGGCGTAGGCAATCAGGAACCCGCGAAAGAAGATATAGCAAGAGCGCGCAAACCCATGCGTAAAGCTCTCTGCTCCCAGCTCCTTCATCAACTCTGTAACGCCGTGGCAATGGGTTGGCCATTTATCGTCAGGCTCGGACGGCACACGCATCTCATATATCGATAGCAAGATGATAGCACCAATCATATCGGACTTATTCGAGGTCTGTTCTCGATTTAAAGCCTGCTGGAGTGCTCCGAGAGCGTGTATGTACGCGATACGGCCTTTGTTTAGCAATGAGACCTCCACGTCTGTCCGGTTTCGGAACACGAGGCACACACTGTAGGCGGATGTGTCAAGACAGACGCTTTGATCAAACTTGGAGGTAATGTAGTCTGCGAAGTTCGGGTAATTCGTTTCACGAAACTGATTGTATGCGTGGGATATTAGAAAGGCATTATCCATGAATACTGTAAACGCGAGCCGCTGTTGTTGTTTGATTTCGCAGGGTTCGTCAGCTGAAGCAGCAACTTGTTGTTGGACCTGCTCCATTGTAGCTATGGTGCTATCCCGAACAGTTGGTACCGCGTCCCGACAATTAAACTCGCTTGAAACAACAGAAGATGTTGGGCTTCTGGATGGTCGATGCCGACGCTCCAAGGCTGGTCTTTCATCTTGGAAACGGAAAGACCGCGTGTATCCTGGGCAGGGACGACGGTACTTGCGGCATTGCGAACATTGTGGTTTAGCTTGGTCGCACTTGCTTTGTCAGACATTTGATGCCCGTTGAGATTGCTTGCTATCAAGTATACACACCTTTATGCGTCGCTCCCGACACAGTGCACATGCAGTACTATGAGGAACTCCGACCATCCTCTGTTGAGACAAAATCGTCAACGTAGCTACTAGTAATATCCTAGTGGGAACCAGCCATGAGAAGCGCTTGGTTCGTGGGGATGGACCGCTCTTTCCATTTATGTCACCGTCCCAGAAATGGACCCGTCATATACACTTCTGCAGTCTATACTAGTTACGACAATAGCTCGAAATGCCAGCCAACCTATTCATTCAGTCTACTTAATGACGTTCACTCAACTTTACCTAGTATACAACACTACACGACGGTCTGTTCCTATCGTATTGGACGAGCCCCACTGTTCGCCCTGATTTTCATTCATTCCATACGACACTGATGCGTGAATAACCACATAGAATCTGAGGCTGAAAAAAACGGCCCCAGAGGTCCGAGTTAGCGCGTCATAGATCAAGCATAGTTTGGCCTAGATATGCATCTAAACAGCAGATGAAAACCAATAACTGTACGCCCTTTGGCAGGCAATCGATGAATCCTCGCAAATGCCAGATAGGTACCATGCTAGCAACTACATATATAGCATAGCCGCTAAAGCCCGCTCAATAATATGGTTGGTGCTTAAATACTTGGTGATTCTATTTTAAATCTGCGACCTTGTCGATCACCCGGGTTTAGGGTTAGCGGTCAGTTTGGGGGACGAGATGGCCTCGTGTTTCCCTGCATTAGTGGAAAATTCACGAGGTATAGGGAACAAATAGGGTATAGTTCCGTTTCTATCTTTGGTTGAGGATTTAGGGTCCGAGGTCGTATTCATGATTAAAGTGGCCCATTAGATACAAAGTCATGGCAGCAGATATCCGGGAGTGTGGTGGATCTAATTAACCATGTATCATAGTGAAACTGCATATTCATGGGAGTTTGACTAGTACATTACTAGAGTGAACGTATAGATGAAACTGTTTATCCTCATTTCACTAGCTTTTAGCGTTATTAATTTTGATGGGTACATTCTACGGCTAACAAACGGAAAGGGTATATTTTGTAGCTATCATGATTATGCTACTACTACATATCCTCGGTTCATTCTATAGTTTTAAGTTACTTCCTCTCTGATTGTCTTTTTAATTTCATTCTTCTTTTTCCCCGCCCTCCTTTTCCTTTCCCTCCCTTGGCATAACACATGCCTAAGCGCACAGTAAGATCGTCCAACGTTCCCTTTACCTCCAAGTTGCCAGATATAACATGATTCCCTGCATAGTCGAATCTGACGTCTCTAATAATAGAATTCTTTGAGAAATATCCGAGCGAATAATCGTCCTGTGGTCTGAATCTATGTAGTTGATCAGACCCCATGTCCCTACAGCTCAACCCGTCATACAGGAAGCCTTCCCCACAAGGCTGTTATTCATTAATAAGATTAATGATTCATCTATTTGCCGATGCCTGCGTCTAGAAACGACGTCATTCGCATTATGTCCCTATCTACTGCGTTGGCTTGCTTTGACTGTCTTTCATACGTGTCTTCTACACTTGGATATTATTGATCTGGTCCCTCTTGACTTTAGTCATTGCATGATTACTATCTTCTCCCTCTTTTTGCTTTTCAATCGATCCAGCGCTATCAGAGTATCAGGCTATTTGCTGTTCTTTTTGTGTAAATGTAGGGTCTGTATCACATTTGGTAACGTTGACATGTGTGGTTTGGTTCAACAGTTATGTTCTACTATTATTCGGCTACAACTATTGTATGTTCTCATTTCATCTGTGCATACACTTCTTCTATTTAGCAGTGTATTACCCTCTTCGCGATGTTTTGTGGTCGACATGAACGTCGATCTTAGTTATTCCAATTTGATAGAAACTAGCATTGAACATGGAACTAGATTGGTATTGATATGACGAGATAAATGCAGCAGAAACCCCCGGTCCCTATTTTAATAATCCATAGATTGTTCTAACAAACTCCTCAGTTCAATCTTCTCTGCCTCCAGCTCCGCGTTGAGATTCGGCGCAAGCATCAGAACCCGTCTCTGCGGGAGAGTCCCCTCCACCAGGGAATCAATATCCGAAGACTTAAATCCGAGGTCCTTCAGACCACGGGGCTGGTCACCCAGCTCGGCCAAGAACTTAGTAATCGCTTCGCCGAGCACTTCACCTGCGCTTTCACGCTTGACATTTGAGATGTCGACACCGAAGGCCTCAGCTGCTGCCAAATGGCGGTCTGGGTTGGATGCAGCGGTGAATCGGAAGACTGCAGGCGCGGTGACAGCGACTGACACACCGTGTGGGATGATCGGATGCTCAACGTCATACCCGGCATGCTTGTAGCCGGGGTTTTGACTGGAGATCGGATAGCTCATGCCGTGGCAGAGATGGACACCGGCGTTACCAAAGCCAACACCGGCTAAGGTAGCGGCCAGAAGCATCTTTGACTGGGCCTCAAAGTCATCTGGGTCCTTGACGGCTCGGGGCAGATACTTGACGGTGTCGCGAAGGGCTTGGAGGGAGAAGATGTCGGAGATTGGGTTCGCGCCTTGGTACGCGGGACGGTTGATGGGGTTGGTTGGGCGGGGTGTTCGCTCGTTGTATGGGATTGCGGTCCATGACTCCAGGGAGTGGCAAAGGACGTCTAGACCGGAGGAGGCGTGCACGGCGGACGGCATGGTCCGCGTGTTCAGGGGGTCACAAATTCCCAGAGTCGGCTTGAGGTTCCGGTGTGCAATGCCGGTTTTGGCCCCCTTAGACACGAGGTCGAAAATAGCAGTTCCGGTGGTCTCTGATCCAGTGCCTGCTGTGGTTGGCACCGCTACCAAGGGCTTCAATTTCCTTTCTACTGGAAGACCCTTGCCAATGGGCGCATTGACAAAGTCGAGGAAATCGGCCTCAGGGTAGACCGTGTAGAGGTTCATGAGCTTTGCGGTATCAATAACCGATCCACCACCTGTGCGGTCATTAGCCGCTCAAGGGATGACAGTGGGTTACTTACCCACTGCGAGGAACGCATCTGGGTTATATGGTTTTGCAAAAGCAATTGCCTCTTTGACACTAATTCAATTAGTACATAATTAATTGGTCGGCATGGTTCTACTTACGAGTAATCCTTTGGTTCAACCCGAACCTTATCGAACACCGTAAACTCGATTCCTTCCCGGCTCAGCCCTTCCACGGCTTGCTTCATAGCGTCCAACTTGGAGACATTCTGGTCTGTGACAATGCATACTCGCTTTGCCTGCATGTTGGCAAAGTCCATTCCAACTTCCTTTGTGGCACCAGGGCCGAATCGGATGCTGGAGGCGGCCATCTCGAAGGCGTACTCCTTCTGCCGTGAGGGGTCAACAGGTGTGGCCATATGACGACGGACATGATCTGCTAGTGTGGGTGTGCGGTGATGATGATGATGGTTAGGATTTGAATGGCATGGACATGATGGTGGGTGAGTATACTGAACAGTGCGCAGGAGGTTCAGAGCTCTGTTGGCGGCCGAAGGGGCCACGCGGATGGAGGGAGCGACCATAATGCGGGGAACGCGTTATATGGAGCTCTATATAGCAGTTGGGGCAATGAGAAGAAAAGGCAATGGCTATATACACGGATTGACCAGAAGAACAAGTAAAGAGTATAAATAGCGGTCAAGAAGCGAAGTTAGCAAGGAGAGGTGAAGAAGTGGGAGGTTGAGAGTTGAATGCAGGTCGGAGGACCGCAAAATGCGGGGATCCCCAATCTGGTAATTCGGACAAAAAGCCGAGGTTACTGCATACAAATACCCTAAAGCCACCATTTGGAGATCCCAAGCACGCCCACTCCCACTAAAATATGTCTCCAGCCAATCAAGAGGATCCAGAGACATGAGAATTTGGAGAAATAATCCAAGACCTAAGGAAAAACCACAGTCAATTTGTACGAACTACCAGGCAGTACAAGGATTATGGCTCAATGAGGAAGTACCGAGGGCCAGCATCGATCGGGATCGTCAACACAAACACCGCTTCCCCGATTCGGAGAATTACAAATACCACAGGTCAAAGATATCTCCTAACCAGGTGGGGTGCCTACTTGCATATAGGACGTTGGAAGCTCTCATGTGCCGGGGTTATACCTTGCCTTATTTGCTAGGTAATGGGAGCCGGACCCTCGGTCTTACGCCCAAAGGGTGCTAGACTGGCCCATTAGTACGGTCGTACCCAATGTATAGATCTGTATCTGGTATTCGGAATAAGATAGAAACAGCTTCAATATTCCGATATCTTGAGTGTCAGAAATCGAAAGAGCTAGCCCCCGCGAGGGTCATATCTGATCACTACTGCAGTAATCATACCGCATTGTCTGAAACCAGATGGTCTTGCCATTCGTGCAAGCAATTAAAGGAAGGAAGGAAGGATCAAAGCAGTTACTAGGACTCGGGGCCTTGAACAGGTATGCCTTTACCTATGACTATCGACAGTGACATGTCCGATAAGAATGGCGCTCACCTAAGATAAGCTAGCGAACGATGATCGCCTGACAAGCTCCTCCTCCAATCCCGCCGCAGCCCCAATTAATATAAATGTGGCCGACAAGGAGTACGTGGCCTCAATAGCGCGAAAGTGGACGTGCCATCCGCGGCACAGCGCAGCGACGAGGATACGAAGTGCTCAGACCTAAGATAATGGGGTTGTTCGGGTTTAGCGGGATGCCATTCCTTAGTCTCGCTGATAATGTTTAATTAATATGGCCTCCCAAGGATTACCTCATTACTTTTCCCTCGTCGTTTTTTGTTACCCCTCACTCAACACGATCGAGATCGCGATACCCAACTACACCACATTCTGTCAAAATGGCTTCGGCGCCACACGCCTCATTCCAACAGCTAGAGAAGGTCAGTCGTGGCACCCGCCCAGACAGGTTAATTATTGGCTAATGGGTTTCAGCTTGGGGAAGGAACATATGCGACAGTTGGTTCCGCAATTGTGCACCACCAAACATCTCCGCAAACTGACCGAAGCTACCCTAGGTCTTCAAAGGTCGCAACAATCAAACAGGAGAATTGGTCGCATTAAAAGAGATCCACCTGGACACTGAAGAAGGGACACCCTCCACCGCCATTCGCGAGATCTCCCTGATGAAAGAGCTTCAGCACGAGAACATCTTATCGCTGTACGATGTCGTCCACACCGAGAACAAGCTCATGTTAGTCTTCGAATATATGGACAAGGACCTTAAACGATATATGGACACCCACGGTAATCGTGGCCAGCTCGAACCGACTGTCATCAAATCCTTCGTCTACCAGTTACTCCGAGGTGTCGCGCATTGCCACGAGAACCGGATTCTGCATCGCGATCTCAAGCCTCAGAACCTGCTAATTAACACCAAGGGCCAGTTAAAACTAGCTGATTTCGGCTTAGCAAGAGCCTTCGGCATCCCTGTCAACACTTTCTCGAACGAAGTCGTCACGCTTTGGTATCGCGCGCCGGACGTGCTCCTCGGCAGCCGCAGCTACAACACCAGTATCGACATCTGGTCGATCGGCTGCATTCTAGCAGAGATGTACACAGGACGCCCGTTATTCCCGGGCACCACAAACGAAGACCAGCTGTTAAAGATTTTCCGGGTGATGGGCACGCCGTCTGAGATCTCTTGGCCCGGAATTTCGAAATTCCCGGAATACAAGCCTGATTTCCCAGTCTATGCGACGCAGGATCTGCGGCAGATTGTTCCGCGAATCGATCATTTGGGCGTCGATTTGCTGAGGCGCATGTTGCAGTTGCGGCCGGAGATGCGTATCAGTGCGGCGAGTGCATTGAAGCATTCGTGGTTTAATGATATTCCTCGGCCAGTCCCACGGAGTGCTCAATAGTAGCTGCAGCTTGCTTTATTTTTTATTTTTTTTCTTTTTGTTATACTTCAATGCTAAGCTGAGTAGAACTGACGAGGGCTGTAAGGAATAACGAACTCCCTTGCGCAACCCATTACCATTACTATTTGAGCATCATTCTGGATTCCAATAATTCATGAAAACCAAAGCAAAACGAGTAAACTGATCACCTTCATTAACCACACCCAAGGGCCCCATCATCCCTCATCGAAAAACCTCCCAAACAGCCCCTCACCCCAGCCTACCCCAGCAAAAGAACACTAACAAACCGTCAAGACCAAATCCACCCCGGCCCTCTGATTCCCAACCCTAGACCCTGCAGGCGGCACCCCCCTCTCCCAAACAATATCCGTAACCTCCCCATCCAAAAGCACCCTGCTGCCCCTAAACGGATCCCCAAACACATCCGACAAATCATACCAAACCCTATCGCCGACAAGGTTATACGCGAAGATAGTCTGGGGCGCCGAAGTCTCGAGCCCGTTTGGCACAGTCGCAAGCTTGATGCCCACGCCGCCGGTTTGCGGGTCCCACCGGAATGTCTCCGCGTAGAGGGCTCCCTGCGTCATGTTTTGCTGCTCGCTGACGGTCGAGGCCACGGACCAGAGGTAGATGGGGAATGCGCAGTTGTTGCGGACGATTGCGTGGCCGAGTTGGGTTGTTTGGTTGTAGGGATTGGTTTGGTTTTGATAGTAGGTTTGGTTCTGGGCCTGGAAGAAGGGGAAGGCTGGCGTGAGGGTTGGGAGGAGGAAGAGGGCGGTGGTGAAGAGGGTCGACGGGAAGTGCATTTTCTTTTGGATTGGGATTGATTGAGGTGATTTAGTTTGGGGTTCTCTTGGTGGGTTGGTTGTTGCTTTGCTTGGAAGGGAAGAGAGGGCTTTTATATCTTGAATTCATTGCTTGCTCTGTGGGCCGTTTGGGTATCCTTGCACTTTTTGTAAATTGGTCTACTTTTGTACTGTGTTTCCCAGTACTACCCGACATTTCTTGATGTTTTACCTTTATAGAATCTCCCGAAATTTACCTTTTCGTGCTGGTGTTGCTGCAAGGGTGCTTGTGTATAGTTCTTGGATCAATGTACCTGACTTACACACGCTAGCAAACTATTAGATTTGTTGCACGAGTGAAGAGTAATACGACGGTCGGTGCATTTGATCGAAATTACGTGTATAGTGAGCGACAGGTCGGAGCACAGATAACTGCGAACACACCATGTTTACATCATGTAGTATCTGGGGTTTGACAAGGCCGCGGTAAATGCTTCATACAGCTACAGTCGATATGTAGCTTTCCTATTGACAAGAACCAGGTACATACTAGTAGTATCTTGGAGCGGGTGTAACGCAGCTCGTTGGCAGTCTGGCGGGTCTGCGCTGCTCAACAATACAGGGCTATCCCCGTTCCACACGCATGGGTCACTCCTGATCACTGTCTGTAGCGACATCGAGGTGTTCTTTGGCGAACTCCCAAATAGTCATTCTTATAAACATAGGCTATCGCTTGCTATGTATCCTAGGGCTAATGTGGACAGTAATCGAAAGGTCTAATATCTATAAATGGCTATAATTTCAAGGTCACATTCATATCTGATTTCAATATCCTGTACGGCAGATAGTATTTACATGTATAGTCAATGATAAGTATATACAGGGACAGAACAAGTCAACAATTTACAAGGAAAATCTCGCATGATCCCCAATGAGATGCACACGGCTGGCGACATCCGTGACACAAGCCCAGGTTCACACCACGGAGTCACATGTCTTCGAAGCTTGACACGGAGGATTTCAAGCAACAGGGACAATGGCGCTGCTAAGTGGAACATTCCCCTTCCGAGCAACTACCTGGAAGTAAGGGCTCCTCAAGTTGTTTACGTCCACAGCGGTCTCGAAGCCGGTCCGTTTGGCAGATGTAATAAAGGTATGGTCGGTAGACTCAGGAGAGCTGGCCGTGTAGATGGCCCAGTTGTCATGCTCTGTGGCTCCATTCCAGCTCATATGGACCGTAGCAGATGTTGAGTGCCGCTCCACCACGACGGCGGGTTTCCAGAAAGGGGTAGCCTTCCACTGGCACTTGTAGCCACGGTAGGACGCAACAGCATTGTCATCCCCAAACTGGGCGGTGAGAACCGCATTGTTGTTGGCGTCGAACTCCTTCACCTTCGAGATGGAACCGTAACCCATGAAGACATGGTTCGTTTCCTCGCTCATCAGCTGGTAGCTTCCCTGGCTGACACTGTGGATGACATCATCACCGTCGTTCATGGTCCGCAGTGTGATAGCCTTCCGGTTGACCAGGTCCAACGACAAACTCAGGCCGGTGGTGGGAGCAACCGTTTCCGTGGGGGTGTTGGCATTATTAAACAGGTCCAGGACCATGCCCTCATTTGTCTGGTTATAGACACGTATGTCATGCTGCCACGAGAAGACGGCACCATCGTCAATCTCAAAGTCGCCAACACCCTTCTCACCCTGAAAAAGGCGTCAGTGTTGATAGTGATCAATTTCAAAAAGCAAAAACTTACACTCAGTCGCCACATGACCGTGCCGTTCTCGGCGATGAAGTAGCCGGACCAGTAGTGACGCAGGGAAATAATCCAGCCTCCATCTACAAGCTCCACCGAATTTATGTGATACGCATCCCAAGGCTTTTCTTGGGTGCCATAGTCGTCGCCCAGACCTTGCTTCGACTGTTCCAGGGGGATATCTTGAATATGTTCAAGGGCACTCCATTGATACACAATATTATTAGTTGCGATATCGATCTCGAAAAACATCCCATCCAGCATATAGTCATCCATTTTACCGCCAATGGAGGTCAGATCATATTGAGTAATGTTGTAGGCGGTTACCAACAGAGTGTTGCGATTAGTTACGTGGCTTTCGTGGAGATCAATGTAAGAGTCTCTGGCAACGCCATCGGGGGAAATGAAGTTCCCTGGAAGGGTGACAGTGTAGGTCTCCTGATAAGTGTCGTCAAGGATGTGGACAGTGCCGTAGCCGAAACCAAGTTCCATCATGTTGCCAGCCCAGAAGGTGATGACATCTTTGTTATATAAACTCTGCACTTTGAAGTTGGCCGCTACCTCGGTAGGGCCTTGATACACAAGGTTGCCGTCCTCATCGTAGATGAGGGCCGCAGTGCCATTCGGCTGGTTACCCCGAGGACCGATGAAGATGTAGCCAGGGTCGGTAGTTCCGGTCTTTTTCACCTCGAGCTGAGGGGGCGTAAAGTCAGCCGTCTGTAGAGTCATATACGGCCAAGTATCTTCGGCTAGCGCCCCCATGGACAGCAGCAGGGTGCTGAAGGCAGTGACGAATCCACGGGCCATATTGCGTGATCGCGGGTACCCAGTTCACAACAATAGTATGACACTAATCAAAACAAGCATATATAGGATTTAGGTTCTACTTTGTAGAGTGCAACGCCAAAAGAACGATAAATGAGCGACGTGTGTCTACCCCAGCTCCGGAGTGACACGGTCAAAATGAGGGTATCAAAGAATGACTGAATAGAACAAAAAGGAAGGGGAGATAATAGAAAGGAGAGAAGAACGGAAGGACTATTTTACACCATGGCCAATATTAATAGGGAAAGATAGTGGGAAAAATGGAGGGAAAAGCCGAGAAGGGGCAAAGCGGGAACAACGCTGGACAGGCAGTGTGGGACGGGACCCTTCCTCACTTACCCTGTGGGGGGGAGGAAATAAAAATTGGAGGTAAAAAAATTGGCTGGCCCAACATCAACGTCAACTCTCGTGAAAACGGCGGAAAAGCCGATAGTACGGGACTTCAGTCACAATTCGCCGTTTGAACTAATGCTGATCGCGGTCCTCCGCCGGCTGTCCATACAAGAGACACGCAATGGGATGGGTCCAGGGAGAAGTTTATTACACTGACATCGCCGATCCCTGGCCCTCGACGCCTATGAGCGGTGGATTCGCGACGACAACCATGGGCACACGGCGATACTGTGGTCCCGTCATGGAATTAACAAATTGGCTGGTATGCTTTCCGTTTATATGTATATATATATGTATGTATGTATGTATGTATCTCTCCCTCCCTCTTTCTCCCTATTTTCAGTTGTTCATACATGATATGAACGGGGGATGAGACAAAAGCAAAAGAAGGTTATGACCACATGGCCCAACAGGGGTGCGATGTTGGCTGCCTCAGGCGGAGATCTCCACCAATAAGGCCAAGAACACCAGTCCCTGAATGAACGATCGGCAGACTATCGCCGCCCCTGAGTTTCATTACCATTACTACAATTGTGCTGATAATAACGTTTCCGCTCAGCTGGAGTATCATCAGATAAGATTACTCTGTACATGCGACAAAATTCAGCCCACCAATTGAATGATCCGCTTTCGGTCTAAAAGCAGCGTATGACAATTTAGTATATTGATATGTGAGGTGGTATTTATATGCAGGTAACTGACTGGCTTGAGTGCTTAATTATATTAGTGTTACGGTAGTCCGTAAATGTCGAAAAACCGAAATGTTACTTGAATGGTCAACTCCAAAGTATGCCTCATTATGATAGAGCGCCATTTGATCGGAATCTAATGATATGTCTCATGCATTGAACCCGGATACTGTTGTCTGCTTGGGTGCCAGTTATCTTCCCTGTTCCAGTGTAAAATTATTATCACTCCACCAACTCCTTCTGACATCCAATCCACACACCCAAAGTCGACGATTGCTCACGGGAGTTCTACATGGAGATATGTCTAATACACCAAGTGTAATCCGTTGTACTCTTCTCTGGATCCAGCATCAACTCCTTTTTCCTTAATTCTTATTTACGCTCGAGTTGGGATACGGCCTTCACAGATTATTTCAGAAGAACAGGGGGGAGAAAAAGGAGATAGACGGCTGCTCGGGCCTCGTTAGTCAACAAACCGACTGATCTTAATAATCACATACCCAAATGGCGACCGATCCTAATCTTGGATTATTTATGACCCCCTCCCCTAAATCTAGAGAAGCATAGTCGTTTAAGTTGAGTAGTCAGAGGAATTTTACAAAAACCTCTAGCTAAATTTTTCAAGTTCCCCAAACTTAGGGCAACGGAAACCTCTAGTTACAGATAACTGAGGGTTCATTTTTCCTATGAAAGCGAAGTACCGTGACACCATACATAGACTATCAAGGGTAGAAAATATACCCAAAGTGGCTGATGCAGTGCAACATCTGGCTGCCAAGAAGCTATGCTCCCTTAGCTTAGATAAACTTCTAGATGACCAAACAGGTATTGTGGTCCCGCGCACTAGTTCTCGTCGTACATGCTCTAAAGTCCTACCAGAATTTGTCATAATCTATGCTGCGCTAGCTGTAAGCCCAGAATTAGCAAAGGTGACTCTGTGGCATATCCCCCGGATCACAGTTCATCCGACAATCGTTGTCTTGTCTTTAAAGTGAGAAGTTCAAAGGACGTTGATTAGTTTACTACTTGTAGAAGGGTGGACCTCTCAGGTTCTAACGTCAGGGGTGTCACATGCTTTTTTGATGCTAAGCCCTTGCACATCTTCGTGATCGAGGCAGGGTAAAGCCTAGTTCCACTGGGCACATCATACATGTCGGTCTCATTTTGGTCCAAATGTTTCCTTGGTGGCCTCGCACCGCCTACTTTCTAAAATTCAAACGTTAGCTCTACTACCCCAGTATCAAATGTGTTAGCGATGTCGTCAGTACCATTCCTTCGAGCAAGACTATCCTATCAAGAGGAATCACTATCGAGTCTCTGAATCTGGTAACGTAGCTCAATGTCGTTGGTGTTGGCACTGCCGGTGCTTCGAGCCTATCAGCGGGCACAATAGTGATTCGGTTGCCGCTGGTCCCCAGAACCTCTTGAGCAGATGATCCTAATTCTGTATAACAGCAGTAATTGAACACTGTCAATAGTAGAAGGAGGTAGGACTCGTTGTGATGTATTGACTCAAGACCGTAAAGGGGTTGTGCGGATAAAGATGTCCTCATACAAGCTGACACAGCTATCCACGTGGCCAGGTACTCCTATGCCATGCATGACTCCGAACTGCAACCGTGCCTGTTGAGTAGTTGGCACTTTCGAGGGTTTCATAGCTTTTCAATAATCTTTTCTGCAGCTCATTGTTACAGTCATCAAGGCGATGTCACATCCATGTCCAATGACCTTCCGTCTGCACTGACCGGTTCTGAATTTTTCGGTACCACGCTAGTGGGCGAGATACATAAAGGCTCTCCTCCAGTGCTACCTGGTGAAGTACAGGTGCCGGGATGACTCATGGTACTGAAGATAGTGTCCCAGTGAGGCCGAAAGAAATCTTCGCCCTGCAGGGTCTCCATCCACAGGATACACTTGATGCGGACAAGAACGTCGTTCCAATTACTCATCTGTAGAGAAACAATCATGGTATGCGCTCTCTCTACAAACCACTGATAATCGGGTGTGCCAGTTGAGGCTACCATGCCAATTGCAAGAAGCCAGGCATCAAGCGAACCATACACACGAGGAGTTGATTCGAGTTGCATGAGTTGGTCTATGAATCGGATGACAATGCTATTCATCATGGCGGCATGTGAGTAATACGTTGGCCCGTGAATGATGAACATGTATAGGATGATTGCGTAGCGGATGCATTCGGTGATCGATGACGACTGAGGGCTTTCCGTACCCGGTGCTGTAAGTAGAAGTCGGTGTATGACAAAGCAAGTGAGGTCGTGAAGTCTTGTGGTTGGGAAATGTATCCGTTGCGCCTGCTGGAAGGCACTGCGAAGACGGATAAAGACATTCCTGACTGCGTAATCGACATCCATACTTATGAGGTCTGACGGATCATCATAATGGGCGGTAGGGTCCAACTGCCATTCTGGAATAGGCGGTATGCCGTCTCCAATTCCGACATCATCTTGGGCCTCGAATTGAGGGTGGCCCATTACGATCATCGATACCCTATGATGCATGTGAATAATGTACTTTCAAGGTAAACGAGGCACTTACCAGCTAATCATCCTCGCAGTAAGCGGGCTGGTTTGCCTCACTGAATTGATACCACCTCGCATGTTGACTAGTCTTATTGCTCCGTCAACATGCATTTGGCTGACGTTGATATTACCCTTGCCAAACTTAAAGTGGTGCGCTATCAGTAATCAATTCGGAATGTATGAGATTTTGAGATAAAATAGTTCAGGACGGGATCTCACTTCAATAGCTGCCAAGGTGATTACAGAGTTCATAGTTCCATCTTGTACCGCCAGCGACGTGTCTTCAACTTTGCGTCTGAGTAACGAGACAGAGTCGGCCATGAGAAGTTCCGAGGTTTGAAAGCCCTTCTGGGCCAGCAACTCCTCGTCAAGACATGCTGTCTGGAGCGAGACATGAAATAGTGCCGGGTCGCCCAGAGCAAGTGGCCACCAAGAGATGAGAAATGGATTTGTCGTTGGATTTAGGTCGAGCGGATAATATTGAAAGGCAATCTTGTGGATAACTGAATTTGGTAAGCCCAATTGTGATCAACGACGACGAATGAAGATGTACGCACAGCTGTAAATGAGACGCTGTACGCGTTCCCGGGGAAGTCTCGTCTGCGGATATGAATCGAAAGGATCGAGAGATCCAAATCTGTAGGCGGTTAAAGTGCCGGATCCATCGAGGGGTCTTGATGATCCGCCATCCCCCCGCCCGGGAGCTGCCGGCAACGCCGTCAAAGGCTCATTCGCATAGTTGCACTGGACATTGCGCTTGAGACAGCGAGAACAGCGTGGCGTGCGGAGGTCGCAACTATGTTTTGATTTGGCACATGCAGTACAGGATCGGCGAAGAGTTTGGCGCATTTTGGGCAAGGGACGTTGAGTGGAAGTGTAGGTGGAGACAGCTAGAAGACTCAGGTACCAAAAGGTACGTGCTGTCGAGCCACGTGCCAAGACAACAAAATACCCATAAATAACTCTTACACCCCACTTTTACCCGAAATACATTCTGGATATCGGGTTAAGCTTCAATTTCTAATACATCAAAGGAGATATTACTTTCTCTCAAAAGCCAGCCTTGGCTTACTTGATAGCTGATTAAATCGGCTACTTTAATATATTAGTTTTAGAGAAAAATTTTGCATCGTGCATAATAAACACGACATGACTCAGCGTATTAACTAATCTCATTATAACGGGATCTACAAAATATATATCTCTCTTTCAGCATGCTCAACACAGATTATTACTCCAACTGATCACGATGAGACCTGTATTCTGTAGTACAAACATCTGATCTAAGTTCAATCTCTGTTCTCAGCGCTTCCGTCAATGGTCGCATCTTGAAGCTATTTTTTGTGAATAACAACATACGGAGTACTGTTTGAGAAGAAACATACACAATCAAGCAAGAGCTTCTTTCGATCGCCGTCAACCTCCACTCTCCGACCCTCGTTACAACAATAGATGACTGGATAATTACCCTAGTTCAAGCTGCAATATAATATCAAGTGTTGGATATACCTCGATGGGATTCGTCAGAATTCGGTGCCGCTCCTAGATCTCACTCGTCAGCCATATGGCTCTAGAGTCGCCACGACTTTAAGCTTAACAATCCTTGTCTGTTTTGTTAAGCGTATGCTGGTTCTTAACCCGGCATAGCTTCTGATTCAGCTGCTGATTTCGTATGTTTAAAATAGGAGCGACAATCTAGGTGAGCCCTCGTTAGGTCATGTGAGCATTCCCTCCTTTTTCAGTTATATGTAAGTATCTATAAAATCGTAGATTATTGAAGTGGACTGCCGCCTGGGGCTATAATGATTGTTATCGATGTCTCGAATCCTTTACACATCACGAGATGTGCTGAATGATCGAGGAATTGGTTCTTCAAAAGGTTCTGCTTCCAAAGTGACCGAAGCTTTAAACACCACATTGCTGTTAACGATGTACCGTAGAGCAACATGCGTACGTCAAAACCAACATTCCTTCGATTAGAGAGAGTGAGACGATCACATGAAGGGCTCTAGAAAGCCGAATAGGGGTATTTCGTTAGTAGTAGGGGCTGGGAAGCAATGGCAACATCGAATACTATCTTGGCGATATTCTCAAGAATTTAATAGGCAGAAAGAGACTGTTACTGAACACGCCACTTGGGCAATCGTCATCCCGTGGTTGGTGGACTGTACAGTTTGACAAGGATATACAGTAGCGTGGCCGAAAGAGGACTAGACCCCGCCGACTGTATCTGCTCGACTTTCGGAGTCTAGTCCTAATGAGGTAATGTATGTACTAGGATTCGATTCCCCTCATATCGAGACTCACGCCATCACAAGGGAATTTCCCAGGACTCGTAAACCAATTGGTTCTGAGAGTGGGTCAAGACGTTCTATCTTATCCCCAGTTCTGTCAGGGGAACAGACCAGCTACTTTTGGCCCCGCGCTAGAAGGGGAGGGATCATGGATGTTGCCTCTTGTTCGATCATTCTTGCAGCGTTAGATCCACCCGCGGCCCAGAAGGTCGATCTCATCTCCTTATAATAAAGTCCTGATGTGCCCCCTTCCGGTTTTTTCAGAAGTTGGGAAGCGTGCCTCTACCACAATGGACGCCAAGATGGCTACTGAGATATTCAACACTTCCAGCACGCAGCCTGAGCTGTCGCAGCCATGGGCCCACAAGACTTCCCCGTTGCAAGGTGCCCTACCAGACTTTCTGGCAAAATGGTCTGCCTGGCAATACGTCGTGACGTTTTTGGTTGGTTTAGTGCTGTATGACCAAGGTAACCAGCAATGTCGATAACATGATCTTCTTCACCTTGCTGACTTCTTCTCTAGTCTTATACCTCAAGCGAAAGGGTGGCCTACCTGGTCCTACGTTCAAAATTCCCCTCATGGGCCCGTTTATCCAAGCGATTTATCCAACTTTCGATGGCTATCTTAGACAGTGGGCGAGTGGACCTCTCAGCTGTGTATCCATCTTTCACAGGTGTGTATTCACACTCATCGTGATCTTGCTAGAACTCGATAAATCCGTGTAAGCAATGGTACTCATACCCCACGTTGCAGATTTGTCGTCCTCGCCTCCGACCGCGATCTAGCCCATAAGGTTTTCAAGTCACCTGCATACGCCGAGCCATGCCTTGTACCGGTTGCGAGAGACATCATAGGTCACAAAGCATGGGTATTTCTTCAAGGTAGAGACCATGCTGAGTACCGGAGAGGATTGGTTCCTCTGTTCACTAGCAAGGCTATAGCCACCTACCTCCCGGTCCAAGAGAAGGTACTGGATGACTATTACAACCAGTTCGTTGCCGCTACCAAGGGGAACCAGGGCAAGCCAATGGCATTCATGACGCTGTTCCGCGAGATCAACTGTGCGCTTTCCTGCCGCACCTTCTTCGGCGATTACATATCCGATGACCAGGTGAAGAAGATTGCCGATGACTTCTACCTTGCTACTGATGCCCTCGACCTGGTCAATATCCCTCTGGCGATGTACGTCCCGTTTACCAAGACCTGGTTAGGGAAGCGGACGGCCGACGCTGTCCATCGGGTATTCGCCGAATGTGCAGCTAGATGCAAGGCAAACATGGCGAAAGGTGCGACGCCCACCTGCATTGTGGACCATTGGGTACTCCACATGATGGAGTCCAATCAATATCGCGAGAGAGTCGCCGCGGGGGAGACCAACTTAGAGAAACCCAAGAACATGATCCGCGAATTCACGAACGAGGAAATCTCAGACACGCTTTTCACATTCCTCTTTGCATCACAGGATGCGTCCAGCAGTGCCACAACCTGGCTGTTCCAGATCCTCGCCCAGCGGCCCGATGTACTCAACCGATTGCGGGAAGAGAATCTGGCCGCGCGGGGTGGTGATAGAAACAAGCCCTTCGACCTCCCCACGTTAGAATCCCTCACCTACACAAACGCAGTCATTAAGGAGCTCCTTCGCTACAAGCCACCTGTCATCCTCGTTCCCTATCTTGCAACAAAGGACTTCCCCGTAACGCCCGACTACACCGTACCCAAGGGCGCCATGATCATCCCTTCCTGCTACCCAGCTCTCCACGACCCAGAGGCTTACCCCAACCCCGATGTCTTCGACCCGGATCGTTGGATAACCGGAGACGCCGAGTCCAAGACCAAAAACTGGCTCGTCTTCGGTGCGGGACCGCATGACTGCCTTGCAAGAAAGTACGTACCGCTATCCTTAGCAGGTATGATTGGAAAAGCGTCGTTAGAGCTCGATTGGGAACATCATCCCACGCCGAGGTCGGAGGAGATTAGGGTGTTCGCCACACTGTTCCCGATGGTAAGTACTCACTATTTTAAGTTTTGTTCGTATTTTCTGGTTCGTGGTTCGTGCTGACTGTCATAGGATGGATGTAATCTGGTTTTCAAGAGGCGCCCCTAGTATCACGCTTTGATATTTGGACTTCGATTCTGCCAAGCTGAGGGCACCTGTACAACCAAAAAGTTTGTAATAACTTATGATGATAATAATAATTCAGCCTTTTACGAGTTATAGTTCCTGATCCATAAACTGCCCTCAGAACATATACTGCATCTGGGCATCTGTAATCCCTCACAAGTTGTAAGTCTCATCTATCTAGCATTCGCCTCTGAACTAAGCCCTATTATGAGAATAACTTAACCTCAATATCTTCAGAATTATTGTCTGACTGAGAACCAGAGGGTTTCACTTCGTCATTTGATCACCACGCTTGCCATGCTTGTTGGCAGTTCGCTGTGCTCTCTATCTTCCGGCGTACCCTGGTCTGGACGTAGAACATGAATCAATGCAATACGGAGATAATGTACTCCTGCTCAACACTCGCGACATTGGGTAACGCAAGTGTCTCTTTGCTACTATTTTTTCGATAGGGTGGAGCGTACTATTATTGGTTAATTAATTCATGCACCGGGCATGCAACGACCAAGGGACTAGTTCGGGTGCATCTGCCTAGGTCTACTGTGAACGAGAAATGCCATGATATATGGACGTACTCCACCTAGTAAGCTTGGCCTAGTAAAGTCTATCTTTCTCGTATTCATTTCTTTAATTGCGAGAGTGGAATTCTGTAGGTCCTATCTACCACAGTTGTCGATATATGGTCCTATATCCTCCTATCTCTGAAGAGCTACCTGACAGTCTATGTCATTATACTACCAGAGCTACTAGTAGCTATCTAACTCATATAGCCATATTATACACCGTGTACCATGTACGAACTGCGGCCAAAGAAACTTCCGAACTACTAGGGAGTATTCCATATATTGAACCTTCTATTGAGGCATCAAGCTGGAAACACTTGTAATTACCGTTATAGTTAGGTTGTAACTAGCAGGTAATATTTGTTGTTTATAATATGCAGTTTTGTTTTTCACTTGTTATGTCGTGGCTGGCGATCACTTCTCGTACGAATGTCTAATACGGAGCACCGCCGGGGTTGAACTTCTGCGAGCTACTGATAAATCCCTGCACTTAACCAAATTTTTACGTACTAGCAGCCTCGTATCAAACTTTGTAAGCCGGTATCTACGGAGTACTAGTAGGTAAGCTTAGCTTTGTGCCAAGTAATATCAATCATGTTTAATGGAAGTACTAGTACGCTTCTCATTCTCAACGTTCGAGCTTATACTTCTCTAAGCTGCATCTGTGCAATTAATGTTAGGGGCGTCATCATATATGAAGCAAGTATAAGGCCAGAAAGCACTAGCCCAGTACTTTCTCAATACTTGGATTATATGTCAATGCTCACGCCTCATGTATTCCTAGTTGTCTATGCGTCCCTCATAAAGTTATGGCCAGAATCTGACTAGGTCTATTCGAACTCCAGTGTCCTATCTGGTTGAAGTTATTCCTTGTACCTCAGGTCTGTGATATAAAGTTAGGCATCGATCAAAGCCCCAGGCCGCCATGTCTGCCTCCCATTCCAGGCAACTGCGCCTTCCCTTTTCGACTACATTACGCAAACAGATGAACAAATTCGGTCCTAATACTACCGCAGGGGCCCTGATAGTGTAGTGGTACCAGTAGGCTGACCACAGACCCCGGGCCCCTTGATTCGAGTCCCGGCCTCGACATGGTAAAATCCTTCGGGGTTTTCGTAGCCTTCGAAGTCCGCCCTTGATATGAGGCGAGAACGAGGGTGAGCTTTTTGTAGTTTTATCTTAGTCAATTTGATTGGTCCTAATCATTTTTATTCTCTCCGCCTGCCTCTTTTCTATTATTTCTTCATCGATTGTGCTCCTTTTCTTCTTTTTCTTTCAACTTGCTTTCGTGGTCTTCTGATCGTGGGTGCCTAAGGTGCTATCGGGAACCTAGACTTGGTATTAGGAAACAGCAGCGTTCAACTATCACTTCCTTTCTTCCTTCCCATTAGATAAATACGGTGCCTACTCTTCCGCCTTAGTAGCTACTTTCTTGGACCATCTCCCGATAGCGTTGTCTTGGATTGGATCAAGTACAGATCTCAGAACCTCCATCGATGCAAATCTTTCGATGCTTATTCTGTGCGGGGGTGCTTCGACGCCCTAGGAGGTATATATACGCTTTCATCAATCTCATTCTCTATCTTTGTTTATGGTCTATCTAACTGACAATCTCCTAACAGCAATATTTATCATTCGGAGTGGAGACGTCTACCCCATTACTCTATGGGGAATCTATGTCGATCTTCACCATTTTGTGGGGTATTTGACTCCACATTTCACCTGCGAACAAATACTGCGACCGCGTGGGATTTGAGAAGATCGTGTTACGCATGTCTGTTTCAATAATCATTCTTCTTCCAATAGAGGAGGACGAAAGTAGGGACTATATAACCTCTCCGGTCAACATGTTTTAGATCATCTCGGCTGACGTTGCTCCGGCCTGACGCTCTCAAGCCGCCTCAAGCACGCCATCCAATCTATGATTTGACCAATCCGCAGTTAACTAGTCTTGTCGGAACACTCAAATCAAAAGCAACTTCTTTCTTGGAGCATCGAACGACTCCTATCCTACTATCACAAGTCCCGAGCGGGGAACAGCACGATCTGCCAATAACTTGCTCTTTGTGGAATAATGCTCCTAGAAACGACCCATGACTGCACCTTATTGCACCATGGAGGTCATGCCATATGCTGTCTTGTTGTTCAAATGGATAACCAAATCCTTAGCATCCCCACAGCCTTGTGCAGACGACACGCGGCAGCGGCAGTTGCGTAAGGGGTGTCAACAAGCTTCTGGCAGCGGCCTCAGTTGCTTTAAATTCTATTGTGCCTTGCTTGGCTTTTCTTGTTGCTTTCTTGTTTATAAGACTACCAGCAAACTTGCGCTGCGGCTCCACTTTCCAGAGAAGACGGCTTGTTCAGAGCAGAACCAATATGGGTCGCAAGCTCGGCCTCTTCCGTGCCACATACTTGGCGTCTGCCAGTTGCATGGGCTCTTTTGCGTTTGCATTTGACACGGGTGTTATTAGTATGTCGGAAGCAACTGTGCATACCTTGACCGAATCGTAATGTTTGTCTAACTCAACCATGCAGGCGGTGTCCTTACATTGCCATCCTTTCAGCGAGACTTCCGATATGGCAACTCGCAGCAAACGACTGTCAATTCCAACGCGGTGTCAATTCTTCAGGCGGGGGCATTTTTTGGATGCTTCTTCACAATGCCTATAGCCTCGAAGTTGGGCCGCCGCTCTGGACTCATTCTAAGCTCACTTGTCTTCACCGTAGGGACCATCTTACAGGTTATTAACGCCCATACCTTGGGGACTTTCTACGCTGGCAGAGTGATTGCCGGACTTGGTATTGGCGCTGCCACTACATTGATACCTATGTATGCAGCAGAAATGGCCCCTAAAGAGATTCGCGGAAGACTCGGGGCCTGTTTCCAATTGTTCTTTGCCACGGGGGTTATGGTTGCCTATTGGGTTACTTACGCCGTGTCGAAGGATCAGCCAGATGCCACAAAGCAATGGCAGATTGCGCTGGGTCTGCAACTGCTGCCTTCCACACTGCTTCTACTCGGTATGTGCACAGTTAAAGAGAGTGCTCGGTGGCTTGCCACAAAGGGAAAGAAAGATAAAGCTTGGGAGTCGTTGAAATGGGTCCGTGGAGGTGAAGAAACCGAGGAGCTCCAGAAGGAATTTGATGAAATTCTTGCAGGAATCGAGGAAGAGTCTCGTGTCAAGGAGAGTTTCACTGTCCGCGAGCTTCTTTTACCAGTGAATCGTTATCGTATCTTCATTGCTTTTACAATTCAGCTATGCGCCCAGTTGACGGGAAACACATCACTCGCTTACTATGCTAATCAAATCTTCGAAGCCGTGGGAGCGGAGGGCGAAGCTAAACTAGTGACCGGCTTTTTTGGCGTGGTCAAGGTAGTCGGAGTATGTACTTTTCAATTGTTTGTTCTTGACCGTGTTGGAAGGCGAGTTCCGTTCATGGTTGGAGCACTCGCAATGGGTTCGTTCATGCTCATCATTGCATGCGTTCTGGCGACTCATCCTACACAATCGGGCGGGTCCGACTCTACGCCAACGAAAGCGGGGGTCGCCATGATTATCATGACCTATGCGGAGGCCTTTAGTTTCAATATGTCCTGGGGGCCTCTCCCGTGGCTGTATGTTGGTGAGATCTTCTCTAGTCGCACACGAGACGTGGGAGTAGCCGTCGGTGCTGCGTTGCAGTGGTTATTCAACTTTATGATGTCGCAGATAACGCCACATGCCATAACCAACATCAAATGGAGAATGTTCCTGATGTTTGCAATCTTCAACTATGCAATCATAGTATATTCATGGTTCTTTCTGAAAGAGGTATGTCCCAAAGCATATTTCTTTGTCTTCTTCCACTCTTTCCTAAGGGGGACATTCCCCAAGCTCTGGGATGCGACTCCGCTGTTTCGAAAGCAGAAAGAGGACCAGCTAATGATATGTTCTCTATTCAGACATCCAACCATTCGTTGGAAGAAATGCAAGAAGTCTTTGGGGGAGGCGACCATCCAAAGGAGGCCAATCTCGCTGTAGAGAAGGGCAAAATTGACGCCACGGTGCGACCATGAGTGTGACGCATGTCCACATGACTGCTGGCAGTGCGATTTCAGAATCGGTACTGGTTATAGATCAAGTTTTGTTAAATGCTTTAAGGGGGAATCCCAATAATTTGTAGAAGTTAGAATCTACTCCCTTGACCCCTGTGCCCAAAACTGTTGGAGTATGCACGTCGCAAATGAGCAGTCCACAGGGTGGCTCAATCTGGGTTCAGTCGACGGGTGTGGAGAAAAGCCCCCATGGGGACCAACGCTTTTTCCTTTCCCTTCGCACCTCGGCCACAAATCGGCTGGTTCGAAAAGTTTAGGGTGACTCGAGCCACCTGGAACAGACTAAGGGTTGCGGAGTTGAACCAATTGGCTCGATCTAGGTTCGGGAATCATTTAGTGTTCAGCCTAACCTAGGGACACCTGCCCCGATGAGAAAAGGAGCAGGAACCTCCACCAGGAACGGAGACATGGCAACACCCACATTGGCCAAGATGACCGGTACGAGGCATTTAAACGGTCTAGCCTCACCCGGTCGGGGAAAATTCTCGTCGTCCAGGAATTAGGCTTTAGTTGTCGCACCATATTAACCGGTGGAAATTAATGGACGTACGACAATCCCCGCAATTAGTACGAATACGTCTGGCCTCGTACCACAGGAGTTCCTCGTCGAGGCGTCTACCTACCGACACTAGTCACTGTAACTCCTGCACCCCAGAAACCATATTTCTTCCCACGTTCCAACCCGCACGTGCCCATGCTTACACCATGAATTCTTTTTATACTATACATCCACCATTCTTCCCACGCGCACTGCAAGCTTGACGATCAAATCTCAAAATCACAGCTTGGTCATGGTCGTCGCCCCTCTCAATGTCTCCGTCTGAGGATCGTATCACCCGGCCCACAGATCCTGATGATCTTGTCTTGGAGGCCTGGGGGCAGGGCCTGATGGTCGGTTCCCTGGTGGTGATGGCCGCGGTGACGTTTGCGAACATGAAGAGACACATTCTGCTGCATAAACTGATTTTTGCCGAGGTATGCTTTGATCTTGAGGTGGTAGGCTCGTGATCTCCCAGTGTTTCCACTATATTCCCTTTGCGCGGAGTGCTAACGAGTGGCGATCCCATCTAGCTTATTCTCGCTATGGCCCATGGCACCTTCATATTCCCCAAAGAACCCGCCTACGGATGGTATCTCTCCTGCAGTGCTATCGGACTGAATGTGTCCTGGACTCTACATAATGTCATTGCGTGGATGAAGAATAAGCCATTCCTGAGTCGCAGGGTTTCACAAGCTTATATCATCACGGTTCTGCTGGTCCAACCGTACTGGGTGGTGGAAATATACGCCAATTTCACCTACTTCAACAATATTAACAAGATCTTTCTCACGACACGGCCAATGGAGCCTCTCTTCCGGTAGTCTCACTCTTCCCACTTCCATCCATATCATGCTGAGCAATTGACAGAGACCCCTGGTGGGTGTTCACCACCTGTTCACTCTTCTACACTATTAAGCGCTTGTACAACTTTGGCATTATAGAATTGGTAACTGTGAGCCCGCGGTTCGGGATCATGCTTGCCTCAATGTGCCTTTCCATTGCGTTTATAATCATCGATACGTGTGTCGTTCTGAACGCCTTCCCGGCGCATACGCTCCCTACTGGAGTTGAACCATTCTGGAAGGTAAGCTCTCTACCTCGGATCATCCTCACGTGAATAGCTACTAAATTACATCTGAGCAGCTATCATTTATCTTCAAATGTCTCTGTGACACCGTCATTCTCGACGACTTCAAGACAGCACTTGATCGAATGCGAAACTACTGGCTACAGACGCGGGTCAGGACTGGCGAAGTCCTTCTTCCAGAGACCCAATACGAACCTGGCAGTCGTAGACACGAAGGGGATGACATCGAGGCATTTGGTAGCGAGAGACGGGGCAGTGAACTCAGAAAGCCCGATTCGGCGGTTCCGCGAGTTCAGACAAGGGAAGATGTGGGCATAGCTCTTTGATTATGCATATGTAATCCTGCATTGTGTTTTCTGATGATTATGATTGATTCGATGATATCCACCCATTGTTTCTGTTTGTTTCAATTATACCTTGGTTAGGCGAATACCTTGGGGGTTTAATGCGCTTAAATTGGTCACTGCTGTCGGTCACAAAGGCTCTTCTAGTCAGAATGTGCCAAAAATATCCTAATACATGATCTGCGATGAGCGATGCAAAAGGCGAACTCTTTGATTCTCGGAAATAGTAATTGGTCAGCCTTGTGAAGATGCAACACAAAGACCACACGGTAGTCAAAAAAGTGTCTCTTCAAACAACTATCAGAGAGGTCTAGGCCCTTTGTATCGTCAATCTTTGTTTTACTTTTTCTTCATTTGGTTTCTTTCTAGACAATTTGACCCGAAAGATCGATATACTGTTTCATATTTCTTTTGTTTCATGTTTGCCAAGCAGTAATCACGATGTGCTGTCTTTTCAGACATGACAAACCGCGTGACCGATTCTTTGTTTGATAAAGAACCCTACGTAGATCACGAAGAACGTTTTCAAAGTCTACCTATAAAAAGAATTCACATGCTTAGTTAAGTCTTTGGATCAATAATACCATATAATGAATTGATTTGCTCCTCTTCCCCATCTCCTCTGAACCTCTGGGCAACAAGGTCTTTCTGCAAGACATGTTGTAGTTCCCATAATTTATATATTGCCATGACGCTTGCCTCGATTGTTCCGAGGACTTCATAGAAACAATGAGGCAGTTGCGAGTTGCCTTTGAGACTACTGGTACTAGTAAGATGGACTTCTATACATGTGATATATCATTTGGAGATTGCGTAGGGGCTAGGTTCGGTACATGAAATGTCTACTGATAGACTTGTCCATTGTCTATAGTCCATTTACAAGCTTAACATGGGGATATGGTACTAAGCAAGCAAGGATGATATTGTTACGATCCATAGTATGGATGGGTATCATACTCCATGTCCGACAAACAAATAGTAGCAAGATGTGGCCACGTGTAGGGATGTTGTGCGAGTCATTAAACTGCAGAGGCCATGAATTCACGATGATTATGGTTGAGTAACTTGAAATATGGAAAGTACACGGTGTACTCAAGCTACTGTATAATTGGAGGTCGACGAGATCCTTTGTCCACGTATCCTGAATGAGCCCTGAGCAGATGGCCGGAGGACTAGGGCAAGGCAAAAAGGATTACCTAATAGGGGCTTCTGGCCAATGAAACGCGGTTCTAGTATGTTCGGTGGACCGCCTGCAGAACATCCATGAACACTTTGGGGCGATTTCGCCGGCAGAATGGAGGGCGGTGGCTACGGCGGATGAGTCATCCTGGTCCCTGAAAGCCAACGCACCAATCACACTGCGAGGAGTAACCTGCAGGGCGATGGCCGTACCAGCCATGCTGTCCTTTTCTCTGGCCTCAAGCATTTTAAAAAAGCTGATCTCTTCCTCTCACGTCCTTCGTTCAGCAACTTCTCTCTTTTGCCTCAACTTTCCCTTCCCCCCCTTCCATTCTGTCGCCTGTGGTTGGGTTCTCTTTTCTCCTTTTTGTTCCTCTTGAATACAGGACACTGTATTGAAGCACAAGGGATTCACCAAGCACACTACGAGCACGTCTCCCGAATATCACACGCGTGCCCCTTGGCAAAGACCACCGCTCGATATACACATAGGCACAATGGCGCGACTTTCGAGTCGCAACGGTGCGGCCAAGCCGTTTACTGCTTGGACCACCATCTTCTACCTTCTCCTTGTTTTCATCGCACCCCTGGCATTCTTCGGTACCGCACACGCTGAGGAGGACTCTGTACAAGACAACTATGGAACTGTAATTGGTATTGATTTGGGTACCACCTACTCGTACGTTCTGCAACAGCAAAACAAGGTCGGGCGTTACAATGACTAACCTTTTCAACAGTTGTGTTGGTGTGATGCAAAACGGAAAGGTCGAGATTCTCGTTAACGACCAAGGAAACCGTATCACTCCTTCCTACGTCGCTTTCACCGATGAGGAACGTCTGGTCGGTGACGCCGCGAAGAACCAATACGCTGCCAACCCTGTCAGGACCATCTTTGATATCAAGTGAGTTTCTACGGTTAATTCGTACACATAAATCGGTGTGCTAATGTCTCCCAGGCGTATGATCGGTCGCAAGTTTGATGACAAGGACGTCACCAAGGACACCAAGAACTTCCCCTTCAAGGTTGTCAACAAGGATGGCAAGCCTGTTGTGAAGGTCGACGTGAACAAGAGCCCCAAGACCTTCACCCCTGAGGAGGTTTCCGCTATGGTCCTTGGAAAGATGAAGGAGATCGCCGAGGGCTACCTCGGAAAGTCTGTCACTCACGCTGTCGTCACCGTCCCCGCCTACTTCAACGACGCCCAGAGACAGGCTACCAAGGACGCTGGTACCATCGCTGGCCTCAACGTTCTTCGTGTCGTCAACGAACCTACCGCCGCCGCTATCGCCTACGGATTAGACAAGACTGGTGATGAGCGCCAGGTCATCGTCTATGATCTTGGTGGTGGTACCTTCGATGTTTCCCTCCTCTCCATTGACAACGGTGTCTTCGAGGTTTTGGCTACTGCTGGTGACACTCACCTTGGTGGTGAGGACTTTGACCACCGTGTCATGGACTACTTCGTCAAGCAGTACAACAAGAAGAACAACGTTGACATTACCAAGGATCTCAAGTCCATGGGTAAGCTCAAGCGCGAAGTCGAGAAGGCCAAGCGCACTCTGTCGTCCCAGATGTCTACCCGCATTGAAATTGAGTCTTTCCACAACGGCGAGGACTTCTCTGAGACCCTCACCCGTGCTAAGTTCGAAGAGCTGAACATGGATCTGTTCAAGAAGACCCTCAAGCCCGTTGAGCAGGTGCTCAAGGACGCCAAGGTCAAGAAGTCCGAGGTTGACGACATTGTCCTTGTTGGTGGCTCTACTCGTATTCCTAAGGTCCAGGCTCTCCTCGAGGAGTTCTTTGGTGGCAAGAAGGCCAGCAAGGGTATCAACCCTGATGAGGCTGTTGCTTTCGGTGCTGCCGTCCAGGGTGGTGTCCTTTCTGGCGAGGCTGGTACCGAAGATGTCGTTCTGATGGACGTCAACCCCCTTACCCTCGGTATCGAGACCACCGGCGGTGTTATGACCAAGCTCATCCCCCGTAACACCGTTATCCCTACCCGCAAGTCCCAGATCTTCTCCACCGCCGCTGATAACCAGCCTACCGTTCTTATCCAAGTTTGTAAGTTTCCCTTCTACACAGAAATATTATAGCAACCCGCACTAACTGATCATAGATGAGGGAGAGCGTTCTTTGACCAAGGACAACAACCTCCTCGGCAAGTTCGAGCTTACCAGCATTCCCCCTGCCCCCCGTGGTGTGCCCCAGATTGAGGTCTCCTTCGATTTGGACGCCAACGGTATCCTCAAGGTCAGCGCCAGCGACAAGGGCACTGGCAAGGCTGAGTCCATCACCATCACTAACGACAAGGGTCGTCTCTCCCAGGAGGAGATCGACCGCATGGTCGCTGAGGCTGAGGAGTTCGCCGAGGAGGACAAGGCCATCAAGGGCAAGATCGAGGCCCGCAACTCACTGGAGAACTATGCCTTCAGCTTGAAGAACCAGGTTAACGATGAGAACGGCTTGGGTGGCCAGATCGATGAGGACGACAAGCAGACCATCCTCGACGCCGTCAAGGAGGTCACTGACTGGCTCGAGGACAACGCTGCCGAAGCTACTACCGAGGACTTCGAGGAGCAGAAGGAGCAGCTGTCCAACGTGGCCTACCCCATCACCAGCAAGCTCTATGGCTCTGCTCCGGCTGATGAGGACGACGAGCCCTCTGGGCATGACGAACTGTAAAATTATTTAGAGGGATGTATGGAGTTTCACTTTGCTTTATTGGCTGGTTTGAATCATTTTTTTATTAGACCTCGATACATGAGGTGACGGGAATAGCATGATACCTTGAATATTATCTGACTAGCTTCAATCACAACATTCTCCATCCCAAGACGTAAATGTGTCAATCTGTAGTAACTAGAATAGATCTCTCGAATGGCATAATTTCTTGAATTGTTGATGCTTCCCTCAAAGCAGTCCCGATAGCAGCTATGAATGGGGAATTAAACACTGTCCAGCAGAAGGGTTCTTAGTTAAGTGGAGCAAAAACAACTGGAGGCCTCCTGCATAACGTGGTCAAACTCATATTTCTTATTTATTCGATGTATATGGTCTTTAATACTGTTGCGTGACAGCTCTCGTTCCCCGACTATAGCTAATACTTGTTTCAACCGTCATATCATATGTATCTCACTAGTAATTCTGGATTGATAATATGGCATGCAATTCAATACTACAGATATTAAGCTAAGACTTCGTAAATTCCGACTTCCCTAGTACAGACACTATATATACACGGAGTGGCTCGTGAATCAGCTACACAACTAAGCCATCACTGTCCGTCCTGCTGGATAAACTCCCGAATTGTCTCCAAAACAACCTGGTGGTCATCCTCCTGCTTCAATCCACTAACAACCACCACGCCAATAACACCATCAACCCCCTTCACCCGCACAGGGAACGCCCCACCATGGATCGCGAAGTCATCTGCCGCCCCTCCACCACCGGTACTCGTCAAGGCATGCTTCCTCACAAATGCCGCCTCCACCTGATCCGCCTCCAAGCCAGTGCTCGTCAGCATCTTATTCCGCATCAGCCAGCTTGACACCCCCCACCGCAGCACGGTGTTGCGCTTCCGTCGCACCCACACCTCGTTATCGGCGAAGGTCCCCGGTTCCGTCGCGGCTTGGAATACAACATGTGGCTCGGACCCGCCGGTTAGCGCGATAGAGATGAGAGCCGGCTTTCGTTGATCCGCCGGGAGGGAGAGAATCCGGGATCGGAGCGCGAGACCGAGAGACCAGGCTGTTGTGGAGGTGAAGGAGGGGAAGATTACTGCGGCGGAAGATTCTTGGGCAGTGAGTTCGCGGAGCTGCGATTTTTGTGTAAGTATGTGCCCGTAGTAAACTTTGTATAGAGGGAAGCGTAGTGGGGAATTGAAGTTACATCTTTGCTCGCGGGGGCGAGGGGCTTGTCTTCCATTTTGGTGGTGTAGTTTGTTCAATTGCAAATCTGGTAGTGTATACTTGGGGTTTGAACTTCAATGATTGAGAATATTTGCAGGACTGTCCTATTTTATATAGTTATTCTGGGTGGGGATGTCATCATAATCGATTTAGATCTCATGACGTCGGTTCCGCAGGAGATATAGACGTCGTGCTGGATGGACCTTCCCAATGGCTGGGTGGATTCGGTACTAGACTGCTTCTGGCTAGCGACCAGGCTATGTCTGTTTTTGGATTGGGCTGGCTAGGAGGAAATAGTCTTGAGATTTAGATACTGTACTTATAATTGACTTGCAGAAGGCTTGCGATACTTCGGGATATGCGACATACGTTACAGCAACGTGTGTGAGCAGAGAACTGCAGTGACGGCCTCTACACATTCGACAGTCCTTACCCATTCTAGCCGGCAAGTCTTCACGAGGCGATGTGCCCACTCTTGTCTCTGGGTCCGACATCACTTGGCTCGGCCAGATGAGGAATAGTCTACCGAAAAGCCCAGTCTTCCGATGAAGGGTCCACGGACAACCCGTGTCGACTCTTATGCCGGGTTGGTCGGTATCAATGGACAGAGACGTCGCAATCCGAAATTAAGAACCAAGACATCGGTATGAGGCCTAACTGATCAAGGCGAGCCGAAAACTCTGCTGTGGATCCGTCTCTTCCGGCGGAAGGGGGGACGACAATCACTCCGCCGGTACTATACGCAGCGTATTTCGACCGCTTCTTCGTCCGGTATATGTGTCCCCGGTCCCGCGACGCCCGAATAGGGCGCCCGCGGAAGGCTTGCAATTCATGTCATTCACGTAAGGTGAGCAAGTGCCATCGGCGCCCGCAACAGTTCACTTAAAGGTAGCGTGGAGGTGCTGATTTAACCGTAGATTAAATGCGTTGAAAAGAGCAACGCCACCAAATGCGAGTGGTGTCTACATCAAGGGCTAGGATGTACGTATACAGGCATAAGTAGTCGACGAAAACGAAGGGCAGATAATTTATCTGAGTAGAGCAATCCATTATACTATCCTGCAATATTGCTGCCTCCAACACGACTAATATCACGCTGGTAGCTCTGAATATGCACATAAACACGCGCGTGCCGGGATTCCCGGCGACTATATCTCGGTATCCGATAGAAATCGTCGATCAGAGATGAGTGAGTAGAGGTTGTTTCTAGGTGTCGTCTGTAACAATGGCTAATGCTATGAGCAGAAAAAAGCACCTCTTGTGATGGTCATGGGAGCCATCGCCTGTCTCAGAATCAAGTTGTTGAAGGTCATGAGGTTGGTCCTTATGCCGGGAACCTAAACACTCAGGTCAATAATAGCGCATTCTTTCGATATTATGGGATCCCAGTTTTCTCCTCAATTGGACAAAAGTGGGTTCAGTCTCTCCGTGGGACCTCTGACATTCTTCAGACGCTTCTTTCATTCGGCCTCCCCTGGGCGAGTTGTCCTAATCACTCAACCTCAGAGGGAGCAGGCCTCAAGTCAGACGGAACCTCCATATGAGCTACCCAATAGGTTCGTCACTGAAGCATGCATTGCATTCTGCAAGTGTGGTAAAATCGGCCTGATCTGTCCTATTGCCGATATGCCCCTCTTGGAAGATTCAGTGAAGACCGCCTATTCCCCTCCACATGAAGAATCTCCCCAGGCTCTCTCCATTGTTAAAGCTCTTGTGCTTTCCTTCGTTGCCTTTTGCTCCGCTGCAGATCGCAGGGAACATATATTATATCCAATCGATGGCGAATGATGTGCCTTTGACGCTGAAAGTCTGCTCCTCACAGTCCATGATCAAGGACATAGTATCGGTAAGCTACAAGCTCTTTTGCTACTTGTAAGTGTGACCCGTCCAGTGTGCACCCCTTTAGCATCCTCTTCGAATGCCATTAGCAATGAATGATAGTCTCGCTACACGAGCTAATTATAGAGAAGGTTCTATTTCACTTATCGCAGGGAAGATTAGAGCTCGCAAGAGAGTTAATGAGCTCTATCGCTCGCATAGCGAACAATTTGTCTTCAGCCATGAAGCTTTCTGAGCCCTCTTCGCCTCCAGAAGGAGAGGTGGCACCATTGTGTGCTGATTATGAAGAATCTACTTTTCGAACACTCTATTGGAACAGCTTCATGCTAGATAAGGAATTGTCCTTTCGAACGGGTACGCCGGTTCTTATGCTTGCCGAGTCTCTAATACCCGCTTCATTAGACGCAGCGGAATCTCCAATTGAGCATCTTTCAAAGCTATTGCCCACAAACTACCCTCAGAACCATCGAACAGAGTCTTCCACGTTCCATTTAAAGCTAAGTTTAGTCATGTCAGGGGTATACTCAGAGCTCTATGCACCACATTCTCTCAAGAAATCCGACACTGAAACACTGAGAGCCATTCGTGCTCTCGACGATAAGTTGGAAGAATGGCGACTCTCAATACCTAGGGCCCGTCGGCCCACCCTCCACATTTCCGACCTTCCCACAATCAACTACAGATGTTGAACTCCTCTTTATCAATGTTAGATGTCACCACAGCCTCGGATGCATCCACCAAGCTGTAAGTCGATGCCGACCATGCAATCCCATGACCGAGGCTCTTCGGTCAAGCCTCAGTCTATCAGTCCGAGCAAGTGTTTCGTCTCTGGAAATCCTGCGTGCCACGCGCTTTACACTAAATCGAGAAATTTTCTGGCATGTAGCCCCAAAGTCTTGATCTTTGCTAGAATGCAAATCTGACTTACCATCAGGTTCATCTGCTTCTACCTGCTTTCGGCGATCATGAATCTGTTATGCAAGATCATCACCGAACCTTTCGATTTCGACAATCCAGAATATATGGGGACTCTGAAAGATACCCCCGTGATCCTCCGAGAAATGGATACTTGTCAATTGACCTCCACCGAGAGACGGCACTTGGACCTCATGATCCTTCTTAGTTCGGAGCTTAGTGCTTTGGTAGAGGGAAGCAGTGCTCGAAATGGTGCATAGTATAGTATCGTTTCCCCTTCAATGTATCTGTGATCTTTTATGCAGGGATATCGATATGCTCGAATTTGATTTAGGTCTGCCAAATGGCAGTTTTTGTTGATATAGAACTTTACTATGTCATTCTAGCCCTCGATGGACTATAACGATGACTTAACGGTACATCTCTTCGCAAAAGACTTAGGTGGGGATATGTGTACACTAAGAGATTGCAGTTTTTGATTTATACTATACGATGCCAATAGATAGACATAGTGTAGCTAAGACTGAATGAACAAGGATATATTTGTATTGTGTGTGAGTGTCCCGTGTTATCCTTTAAGAGACTCGGACTGTTTAGGATTGGCATCTATAAATGCCACGACTTATTGGATTACACGATCAATTTCATAGTATACCTTTTCGGTTATAGTTATAGTTATGCAAAAACATTAAGAATCAATTCTCACAGCGATCGGCATTCAATATAGCTTCAACGACGAGTATTCTCATAAGCACTAAATCCTATGGTCGACGGTCTAGATGCATGCACAGGTCCAGTGACCGGCAATCAATTCCCCCCTCACTCCCAACACTATCTCCGCATACATTTGCCATACATCATCCCTCCCGTTCTCCACTACAGCCATACCGAGCCTCTTACTATCACATACTCCGCACTCCATGCGCCCAAAACTCACCAAGCGAGCCTGCGACGAATGTATTACCCGCAAAGTTAAATGCAGCGGCGCCTGGCCCTGCGACACATGCCGCAGTGCCCTAAAACAGGTGAAATGCACATATCTGAAACCAGCGCGTAGAAGAGGTCCCAAAGTCAGACGTCATACTGGCAAAATTGATTCTGAGAGTTCCGTTTCGGAGGCGGATGCTTCTACATCGTTGGATGTCGGTGCTTCGAACGAAAGTCATGATGGACACAGGACGATCTCTCGGCCAGTTCTCGAAACGGTGGTGCATTGGTACCAGCATTCATCGTACAGTGTTTGGCCAGTAATTGATGCAGAGGTGCTTTTGCGGCGACTCGCGGGCGACAGCGGCCATGACCCTAATATTTATTGTCTCGCCACGGGTCTTTGCGCGGCGACGATGGCGCAGCTGCAGCTCCCACCATTGACAGATGACGTACAAATTGTTGATTGTGCAGCGATGGCGAGTGAGTGCATGAGGTTGCGTGAGGCGAGCAATTATAGAGAAAATCTCGATATGAAGAGTATCCTTGTTTCGTTTTTCTTGCATGTGTATCATGCGAAGATCAATAAGCGGAATTCGGCGATGATGTTCATACAGGAGGCTATTTCTGGAGCGAGGCTTTTGAAGTTGGATGAGTGGGACTGTGAGACGAGGGCCGGTGGTGATGAAGTCATTGCGAATGAGGATATTTTGTTCACTCTTCTCTGGATTTCGGAGAGGTAAAGTCACCCTTGCGTTTGCGTATGTGGGTAACACTGGATGTTGATCTTCTCAGGGGCTATGCAATGCATCTTGGACTCTTACCATCTTATACGAGCCCGATTCGCTTACCGGGAATATATTCAGCAGGCAATGAGCATGCCCAAGGCTTACTGGAGCTAGCTAGGCTATTCGCAGCTTTTGATAGCGTCTCTCTCAAGCGGGGTACCGGTGCTTTGAACCCTGGTGTAATCTCGACCGATTGCCTTACGGAGACGGAAGCGGCGTTGTCCATGCTTTCGCTAGGAGAGGGTGGCAGGGCGTCTGTCCGGATGGCGGACTATTGCATTACTAAGGAATGGATGAGGACTATCATCTGGCAGGAAGCATTGTCTCGACAGATGTTATCCTCCAAAGCGTACGCTGAGCTTCTTACATTCAAGTTCCCAGCCCGTGTCAGTCGGGATCTCTTGTATTCATTACAAGGTTTCTCCGAGTTTGATTTGTTGCCTCTGGGTCGTGATCAGGTATGGTAGCCTCTTTCTATTGCGACGGTGGTGGTAACATGAATGCAGTTATTGAAGTGTTTTGAGGTAACAAACTCACTTGCCGATGTCGTATTGTATACGCCCTCAGCTCCATCATATGACCTTCGATTAGGGCCTCAGGACTTTTTGCATGCTCTGTACCAAAAGCTTCTTCCATTTTTAGAGCAAGATACTATGCTTAAGTCTATCTTGCATGCTAAGACGGCCGAAGCTTTGGTAACAGCACCTGCTCGGTTGTTAAGATTCTATGATGGAGAAATAGCGGATGATGAAAGAACTATGAATGAGTATCTGGACCACTCCGTATATGATACGGCTGAATTCAATTCACAAGGTCTCAACGAGAGTTCATGACTAGTCGGACACACAGACTGTTCTCTGTGGGAAAGATGACGGTGGCTACTCCGACATTTGTAGCACGATTCTTCCTGCAATATCACCCTTTTCCATCTCCTCATATACCTGAGGCAACTCTTTAAATTTGCGGACTTTGATCTCTGGTTTCACCACACCACGGCGAACGAGATCGACAGCCTCCATACATTCCTTCAGTGACCCTACAAGATTTCCGGTAATCTTAAGTCCCTTGATCACGATAGTGCAGATCGGTGTCTCCAGCACCGGTCGGCCTGGAGGAATGCCAACACAGCTCAGCGTTCCACCGACACGTAGCATATCGCAGGCGTGAGCAAAAGCCTTTGCGCTTCCAGCTGTAACTACGACTGCGTGCGCCCCAAGCCCGGTGGCTTCATGAACGCGCTGGACGGGGTCGGTCGAGGTAAAGTCAATAAAGTCAGTAACCCCGAGGCGAAGGACAAAGTCGCGTTTGTCCGCGGAATCAACACCAATGACCAATGCTCCTTGAGCTTTTGCGTATTGAACTGTTCAATTTAGTATTGTATCCATGCATACAGCTCCAACTGTGACGACTCACCAGCCAAATGCCCAAGGCCACCTCCAGCACCAACAACGACCAGCCATTGTCCCGCCCTGATATTAGCATTTAGTACCGCCTACGTGGGGTTTCAGCATCTTCAGCAGTAACAACAGGAGCATAGCAGAACCACCAACCTTATAGGCAGTGACACCGGCACACAAAACAGGCCCAATGACCACCGGATCAATATCATCCGGTAAGATCGTCAAATAATCCGCGTCAAGTGCAATGAACTCCTGGAAGCTACCATCCTCGTGGTGCAAATGATTTGTACTCTTGACACAATACTGTTCCGTCCCGGCGAGGCAGAACTCACAGCGTCGACAGATCCGGCTCGAGAACCGGATTCCCACAAGACCTCCTACCTTTAAATCAGAACCACATCCGGGCCCGAGTGCCACAATACGGCCAACCCCTTCGTGGCCGCCGACATGGGGAAGTTTAATCTGGGTTATAGGGTCACCAGATGGACCAGCTGCAGTACCGTTCTTTGTATGGAGGTCTAATATCAGCAGATTAGCAGATTAGCAGATGTGCATAAAAGCCATGTCATGTGTGTCAGTCTTTCTATGATAGCCAAGGAATATATAAGAACGCACCACTTTGGCAAACGCCAGTATACAAAACCTTCGCCAGAACTTCATTCTCCCCAGGAGTAGGAACAGGATATCCCTCACGAAACTCGACATCACCACCCAGCTCGGATACCAGAGCTACAGTCTGAGTGGAGGGTATAGGATCAGAAGTTGGCTGAAGGGCACCCATGATGAATATAGATATTGTTTTCTCGGTTGTTTCTCCAACCATTCAGTAGACAACGAGAGCGGGCATCCGATGGTATAAATAGGCTGCTGGGTTCCAAACATGAACCATGTTCATTTTCGCACCCGAAAACTGGATTGATCATACGTATATCATACATATCGCTCCCTTACTATTACGGGATTGAGCTTGCGGGATGGCAATTCTCCAATTGGTTGTTTTTGCCATAGGCCCTGGTAAAGCTGTCCGGAGAATTGCGTGGGAGGTTAACTCCTTGTAATGGTCAATACTGTCTGGAGTATATTTGAAAATTACTCGTAGGGCTCTGTTGTATACCACGTACCAGAGTAGAGTTATATTTACAACCGCGTATTTCTCCGAATGCAACACCAGCCAGAAAGTGCCAGACGAAATGGAAACAGGAGTAGTAAACACGGGCCGAAAAGTAGTTCTAACGCTGTCCTGTCTTGTCGTTTCCCCTCATTTTAACACATCTACTCCACCTTTTGTCCGGGGTTTGTGGTACCCTATTTCTCCGAGGTATTTCTCCGTGCAGAGTCTTCTAGACTTCGTGACAAATAAGGATAGAAGCTGGTCTGGGGGTTGGTATTGGCTATTTTGCGTGATGGGTGATTCGTCTGGGGCATGTAAGGGTGCAAAGATATAGATATATCAGAGGTTATTGAAGTTTTGTTGTCATGTAGCCCCAAGATCCCGTAGGCTCGGTATTATCCGACTTCGATTTCCAATTGGAGTTCTTACTTTTGTTCTTCCTCTTTGAATGGTTTCTAGGTCCCTAAAGCACGTAGGAAGACACAAGTCCCTCGCGGTCTCCATTTTCTATGTATATATAGACCTTTGACTAGATATATACATTCCTCCCTGAAAGCAGAACAAAAGCCGCTCAAAGATTACTCATTCCAACAACCCAGCTGCAACGGTCTCGCCTCCAGCCCGAAGAACAATTCTCGTAGGCGCCTCTAAAGGCACTGCATGATCCAGTTCAACGACGATTCGTGCCACCGAGCCTGGTCCAACGATCTTTGGCTTTTTCTTGATGGAGGCGCCAGAGCCCTTATCCAACGTTGCGACAAGTCGACTAATCCGTCCAGGCACATGAAGGCGTCCCCGATGAACATCAACCATGCTGGGCATCAGATGATCAAATGCCAACACCTTGGCTGTGAATGATGTGATATTGGCGATAGGTTCAGAGGCACGACAGATCACATCACCGGAACGCAGGTGGATGGGGTCAATGTTTGCAAGGTTGAGGACCACGTTCTGACCCGCTACAGCCCAGTCGCTCGGTTCACCGTCCACTTCCAAGCTTCGAACCAATGCCGTTTCGCTGCTAGGCATCGTGAGAATTTGATCACCCACTTGCAAGTTGCCTGCATCGATCCGACCGGAAATCGAAAGGGGATTTTGCACACTTCCACGGAAGACATCGCCAATGGTCATTCGCAATGGCTTGTCAAGGGCATGAGAGTAAGGCTCGGTAGCTTCAAGCTCCTCAATTAGGGTGCGACCTGTATACCATGACACATTTGGATCCTCGCTTCGCTTTGTGACATTGTCACCACTGATACCTGAGCATGGCACAAATGCAATGTTTTTGGCCTGGAATCCTGCAGTGGTCAAGAAGGCTGAAACCTGCTGCTCAATCTCGTCATAGCGATCCTTGTTCCACTGAACTGAGTCCATCTTATTCACAGCAACAATAATCCGTTGAACACCCATACTCCGCACTAGAAGAGCGTGCTCCTTAGTCTGACCCTTTAAGCCAGACTCAAAGTTTCCCGTGCCTGAGTCAATAACAAGAACAGCAAAATCGGCCTGGCTAGCACCAGCTATCATGTTTGGCACAAAATCTCTATGACCGGGAGCATCTACAATTGTGAAGACGGTCTTCTCTGTCTCAAACTTGTTAGTCGCGATATCGATAGTGACACCGCGTGCTCTCTCCTCGGAACCTTGATCCAGCACCCAGGCAAGAGCAAAAGAGCCTTTGCCTATCTTCTCAGCTTCTCGCCGATACTTGTCAAGGGTACGTTGGTCTATTGCCTTCAGATCAGCAAGCAAGCGGCCCATGAGCGTACTTTTTCCCGCATCGACATGGCCTGAGTCACCGTTAGCAACACAATCCTGTGAAAATAGATGTTGGTGAAAACAAACCGATGACTGCAAAATTCATGGCATTTTTCCGCTTCGACTTTTGGTATTCAGATACAACGTCCAGATTCTTGCTCTTAACGGTCACCTTCTCTGCGACGCTTAGGTTGTTCATGCCACCCGCTAGGTCCTTTTGGTTTTTCTTATCGCCAGCCGGCTTAGAAGCAGGCTGTTTCGACTTGAAGCCTGCACGTCTATTAGGGAGAGAAGTCCTAGATCTTGCGCCGAATAGCCAAACCTTTTGCAGAGCTTTGTGCGTTCAAGACGACATCATCTGGGCTTGGGCCTGTGAAATCAAAGGGTTCAGTAAGATCTTGTCCGTATATCTCCATCAGATCCAAAGAAGTTGAGAACAAGGGACTGGGCTCGGTCATCTTTGGTCGCGTAACATCCCCAACGATAGTGCTAGCGAAAGTAGAAGGCGAGGCGCGAATATTGACAGTAGGCTGTTCGTTTTCTTCCTCTTTGGCCAAAGGCTCTACAGTAACCTCTTGTTGTACATTTGCTAAGGTATTCTGCGACGCTCCATTCTGCTTGACTGGCTCAGGAGATGGCTTCTTCTGGGGTGAATGGCTCCCGAGACGGGACAATTTCCCCAAAGGACGCGGCGACTGGGCGCCCTCAGGCTTTTGTGTTTTCCCATTGCCAGCGAGCCTCTCACGGAGAGATAAAGAAGCGCCTTTCTGCTCCGTTGAGGGCGCTGGTGTCTTATCCACCTCAGCATTCTGTGGAGGGGCCGCAGTTGAAGCCTTGTCGCCCTCCTTTTTCTTGCGGGCAGCAGCCAAAGCAGCTAGTTTCGAAACCTTTCCACCAGATTCAGGAGCCCCACCAAGCAGTCCAAGCCGAGGATAAAGAGGCTCTATGAGAATATCGGCCTTACGATGCGCCGGGACATTGAGCCAAGGCGAGTCGCGGAAGAAGTCTGCGGCGGAGAAATGTGGGGGTTCTTGCGGAGTCATATCGGGAGGTAAAGGGTATGCAGGCACTGAAAACCTGTTAGAACATTCTCGAGCTTCCATTTGGAGTCAGTTTACCAGCCAAAACCGAGGGACAGGTTACACTCACCACTACCGCAAGGGTGCGACAAAGGGGATTCCGCTGGAGACTCGAGCCCGCCCATGGGGGAATGGGGCAAGCTGTAAAACCAAAAGTGACCACGCTTACCTTTCGCCTTCGCCGCCGGAGCGGACACGCTCTCCTTCTTCTTCACTTCCTTAGCTTTTTTATCTAACCAAGCCACCACAATTAGCGCCCATGCCACCACCTCATCGATTTATCCCGATGAACAGCAACACCCATTCGTCCATCTGCAGAGTTTTCGCCAAACTCACTTCTTAAGTAGTTCACGGACTTTGCCACATCGTTATAGTAATGCCATAGTGCTTCCTGAACTTCGTCCCGCGTGGCCGTCACAGAAGGCGACCCCGCGAGGAGTTGACTCAACACTTCTGCAGTACACTGTTCGAGGAATTCCTGTTCTTCGGGATCTGGGGAGTCATATCCATCATCATCGAAATCGTCCTCATCGTAGGCCACGGCCTTTACGCGATGGCGCGACATGGTGGTTGTTGTGATTGTTGAGGGAGGGGCAGGTGGACTTGGAGGGGTTCAGCCGCACCAGGCTGATGTGTGGAAGGGGAGTAGGATGGTATGAGGGCAAGTATTCCAGTACGTCAAGTCTCTCGGTGGTGTGTTCCAATTACCCCGATGCAGATTACCTGGCGCAGCGGATCAGAGGAATAATGCAGTAGATGCCGAATTGTCAAGGAAGAAGAGACGAACCTCCACACGTCATTCCCTCATTTATTGTCCCCGCTGCACAGACCGCTTTCCACCCTAACACATAACATGAATCCCCTTATTGGCCCAGCGTAGAGCATAGATCCCCCGAAGAAGATCAATAGTAAACAAACCGAAAAACTTCTACAGTATATGTAAATATTGAAGTTGAGTTGTATTGTTTTCTAAGAATGGCTCTAGCAACTAGTGACTAAAAGCAATTGTCGTATCTGTCTGCAGAGCAGCTACTACTTACAGCAACACTAACGTAGCTCTATCCAGTCCTACGACATGTCATACCATCATGAATATTCGTCAGTGCGAAATTCTCTTTAAGGGGGTGGTCATTTCAGTGGGCTCCCCCCAAAAAAGTCTCCTGTTCCTGGGCCAGCAAAGCTGCCATTGCTCGGGGTCAGAGCAACCGAGCGTCGGAATCCCTGTCTGGGAGTGGTGGGCGCACTGGCAGCAGGGGCGGTCACTTCAGGAGTGCTGGGGGTGTTTCTACCGCTATTATTCTGCATCGTCACTGCAGTTCCAGGCCGTGATAAAACTGCTGTAGCGCCGTTTCGAGCTGGTGGTCGGAATCCTAGTTTGGATCCCTCGCGGAAGAGCTCCTCGAGTATTTGTGAAACCACCCCTGCGTCTTCATATTCCTGGAACTTCTTCCAAAGACGGAGGGCCATGCGTGCATCTTCAATAGAGTCATGCCCTTGGTTATTGTCGGTGGGTTCTTCTTGGATATATTCCTTGAACACAGCCCAAGCTAAGTATCGGAGACTGAGACGCCGATTCTTACCGGGGTGGAAGAACAAATACTGTGTATCGACTGTCTGACTTTTGGGGACTTGGATATTGATTTTGCGGAAATCGGAGGCTAATCCGTGCCCGACAAAAACGCATCCCAAATTGAGGAGTAGCCACAACTTCTTATATGCGACTTTAAGTGGGACAAGATTGTGCTGACTAGTCCTCGGGTCTAAGTCACCGGGTTTAATACCAGAGTATTGAGTGACATAGTCAACGATTGTCTCTTTGATGGTGATATAATCATCGATAAAAGGTACGCCTTCTCGAGTCCCGGAGCCTCTAAGAACGGACACTCGAGCAAGGCCACTCTTGCTGGGCCGTACAATTTCTTGAGATCCATCGGCTTTCACGTCGATCTCTGCTTTTTCGAGATCAACAAATTCGGTATCGAGGGCAACAGGAGTACCAGGAGTCGGTTTCTCTTCCTCTGAAAGAGTAGCAAGTGATTCCACGGAGCGACCGCCACTAAAAGGAATGGTCAGCATGGAACTATCTCGGTTTTGTAGCACAGATTCAACGCACTTAAGTGACCAATCGCGGTAAAGAAGAGTCGTGTCAAGGACGTTCTTCCAGTTATCATCCATGGAGTGGCGAGCATCCTTCACCTGGTATGCCAGCACACACGGCACTTTCCACGGTTGATTGAATCGGAGGGCTTCATCCTTGTCTACCTCCGTGACCAGGAAGTCATTGAACAGATGCCATTTATTTGCACTCTCCGGCTCGCGCGAGGAGATGGACACATTAATAAAGGAGACTAGATGAGCTTTCTGATGCTCAGGAATATCGATTTCTGAAACCACGCCTACCAGTTCATACACCACAAGGCCCGGCATGTTGTTCTGCATTCGTATTTGAAGGTCTTCGCCTTCAAAGCACAAAATTTGGCCAGCATCAACCACAAGGCCAACCGCTTCTGGCAACCATCCAGGAATTGCCCAAAGCCGTTTGCAGATAGGATTAGTTAGTGCGGTATTGAGCATCATGACTAGTGGCATGCGATGTACTGTCTTCCGAATAGCCACTTGCTGGTAACGTCGGCAGTAATTGCACCACCCTCTATTTTGAGTCTCGCGCTCAATGCTTGCCCGTAAAATGTTTGAGAAACGGTACGCAGGTTCCTACGGATCTGCTTTATATCAATTGCCGGATAAATTAACTCATTAACCAGCGAGTTTCCTGGTCTGACAATTTCCTTCTGGCAAAACATGCAGCGAATAGACTCGGAAGCAATGGTTGCTAACTTATGGTCGAGATCATCTGAGCTCGGGAGGATCATGCGGAAATCATGAGAAATTTGGCCAAGGAAAAATCTGTTGACAGCCTGGATTGAAGTAGACAACGCCTTATTCGTCAAGTTCTCTTCAAGCAGCCCCAAACTGGAGGCTTCCCGAAAACTGCCGAAAGTTTTCAGAAGATTTGTCGCTTGACAGTTTTGGCCGTCGGCTTTCTCAAGCATATCGAAGAGATAGCCCATCTCACATAGAAGGCAGTTCTCAAATATGCAAGTGCTTGCAGCGTGGTGGAGAGCTACATTTCGTATCAACGGAATGAACTTGAATAGTTGGAGGAGAGCATTTGTAAAGGAGTTTGCAATGTGTGTCTCTAGACCAGAGAATTTGGTCTGGTTATAGAATCTGCATCAAATGTCAACTGATCTGGTTTAATTCGTAGAGCTCAGGGTATGTCTTACCTAAAGTCGAAATCATCGACACCAAATCGGCTGTATTTGATCTCGACATTACTGTACTTAAGAAGAGGGTCGTCCTCTGCTTCGCCGTTAAGCTTCGTGCCCGCAAGTGTCTCCGCCGTATCGGTAACGAGGCCATCCGACTTCGCCTTACTTTGTTCTCTTGCCTTTTCGCTCAGGAACTTCGGCGCCATAAGAGCAGGTTCCGAATTGGCCAGTGCGCGAGTATTCTCTACTTGATTTCGTCGAGTCTTTTTCGGGTTCGGTGCATAGTGCCCAATCTCCGCGGGACGTAGGTAGGGAATTAGTGCTTGGTCAATAGGGGCTGGCGGGTTGCCAATCTCAAAAACAAGGTGGCTTGGCCAAGCAGAAAACAGCCGCTCGTGGTAATATGGCATCCCAATCATACTCAATGGCGTATCAGGTGACCAGTCAAGGGGTGGAGGTCGGGCAGGTACATCCGCAAATTCAACTTCCTTGCTCATCTCGTTGAAGTGCACTTTCGATGGAGAACCCCACAAGTGGATCGCACACTCGGCATCATTTATGGCTAATGCCTCCCCAGAGGGAGACAAATCGATCCCAAGCATGAATGAAACATTGGCCTGGCGGAGGTTGATTGCGTTAGGGTTCATGAGGTCAACCACCTGCAACTGACCAGTCTGCGACGCAACAAAACTAGTGGTATGCAGTTTAGGATGCATGCGTACATACGCAGCTCCAGCATGGAAAGGTATAGGAGGTAATGGCGATAGCGTTTTGAGATCATAAACGTTGGCCAAGGGGTCAACGATCGGTGATCCCAGATGTCTAACCGAAAACCCACAGGTGACCAGAAGGTCATTCCTAGCATCCATATCATTGACAGCTGTTCCATGAGCCTTCCAAGACTTAACGACACGAAAATCAGTGAGACTTAAGGCGTTCACTGATCCGGTGTCTGTCGCAGCACAAAGATATCGACTCTTTTTCATCATAGTGTAATTATATTCGGTCGGCAGCTTGTCGACTATGTGTCCCTTATCGATATCAATCGTAAACATTGCCTTCTGACATCCCGCTACTATAACTTTGTTCAGTTGTGCTGTGAAACTCATGCAACGTAGATCCGTCATGTCCTCATGGGTAATGTGCCATTGCGTAAGGCCACGCCGGGTTATCATATGCACACTCTTCGAGGACAACGATATCACGCCTCTATCATGAAATAATATCTGCCGTACGGGGCCTTCGGAAACTGGGTGTGCTCGGACGGAGGTATACCTCTGTAATTCTGGACCGCAAAAGGAAGTAATTCGGCCCTGCCGACGAAGAAGAGGAAGATCAGCACATGGTCAACCTCTAGAGTCAATGACCTTACATATTCGTTCCCAGCCCACAACAATTCCATCACATCATCAAAGGCTATTGCTGTCGCAATCGTTGGCATACCATGTGGGCTTGGAGGTGGCACCGGAATGCGCGACAGTTCATCCCAATCGGCTTCCATGGTGCTAACATTGCACCCGGGTCTGCACCCGAGCTTCTATCGTCTGTAAATCAGATGCAGGCGACGTGTATAATTCCTAAAGGCTGAAACGGTCCTGTTCATTCGGAAAGAGAGCGAAATCGGGCATTGTTCGGCGTAGACGCGATTGCGGGGGGAGCTAACAAAGGTCGTTTTCGAGAATCACGGCACACGGTCTTGAAGGGGTAGGAACCGAGCTAAAATATCCCATTCACTAACAATCTTACCCTTCTCTGTTCGAAAATATACTTGGAAAGCCCCCCAAGCGTGCTATCTGCAAAGGTGAGGCGGCAATACTACTACTCTGATGAGGTACCGACACGTCATCACGTGAAAGCTAGAGCGGGGGACATGCAGTATCGCCTGAGGCAGTGATCAGGTAACTCAAAAGAGAAAAACGAAAAAGTTATGAAGTATACACACTGCTTGCCCGAATGCCACAAGCCCAGGCGCATACTTATACCACAAGCTATGGTCCTTTGGTCATATGTATTCGTATTAGATATTGATTTTTCCTAGTCTCATAATAATGACCTCTGGACATAGACTCGCATCAAGAAATCAGAATGCACTAGGCAAAACAAACTATAGTACATACAGTAGTACATGGAAATTGTACAGAGTGAACAACAGCACTATTGTCCCAATTCAGCACAGAAACGACGCATATTCATTACACGTGGAGCTTTTGAGACTTCAAGTATATTGCAAGTGCTCATACAGAATAGTAATCAAGCTCATGTCTAGTAATACTTTAAATGCGTCTAATCGCACCATGTATGTCTACACCATATCGGACCGCCAATGACCGCCTTCGTAAGTTAGAATAATTACTAGTATTAGTAGCTCAGGGGAAAAATCCCCGACCGTAACAAAAGTCTTCGTTGTCCGCATACTGCAGTAGTAAAAACTCCACCACAAGGGGTCATACAAATTTGAAAATTTCTCGGATTATGCATTATACAGGTAGGCATTCTAGTTAAAATTTTTATTCGAAAAATTAATCGCTCTTGACGGCGTAATAAGCTTGAGATCTTAACCCTCCAGAAGATACAGGATCCTATTCCTTCCATGACAGACTGCATAAAATCAGGGTTTAGCCCTTTCTATGACCCAATGTAGTATAGTGCGCTTTCATGTAGTGTCCTGTTAGTATCTATTCCGGAGTATGTACCTATCTCTACTGACCATCCGTAGAACTCTTGCCAGGAACTTTAATATGATTATAAGATGTAATCATTATGCATAAGTTTAATGGAGCTTTTTTTATCGGTGCTAAGGGCAAGGGTCCATATGTTGCCATTTCTATCGGCTGCGACTAGTCTAGGGGGGTTCGCCCTGTGTCTATAAGTACTTGGATATGCTTCTATGACGAAGATCAGAGTAGCTATATCGTGATTATTTCTGAGTTGTTGCGACTATGACGATTCCATTTACATATTCAAACGAAGTGCATCTACCACATGACAAAAGTCCATATTCGTCTTGTGATTAGGCACATAACAAGGCGCAAGTGAAAATGAACAAATGGCTGCCAAGATCGACAAAGCAGGCTAATGTAACAGAACAAGCAAAAGCAATCCCCCGGCGTTCGCCTAGACCCGAGACCAAGCATCAAACCGTCATCGCGTTACACAAACCTCAATCGGAAAACGGTGCTAATACGCCGGTTCGTTAAGAGAAATCATGATATTCAGATCTTGTAAGCCGTACCACGAATGGTTAACGATAGAATGAAGCTGGGTTGGAGCTAGGTGCCGTTCCTTGGGATGGATTGTACGCCTGATAGCCTCCTGCTCCGGGCGTTAAAGAAGGGTAAGGTGTCGGTGTTGACGTTGTGCCCGGGACAGGGGGAGGTTGATGCATAGGTGGTTGTTGATTGGAAGCTGGGCCTGTAGGGTACGGGGGTTGTGGCTTAGCTGCATCTTCATGGGCATAAGGTGGGTATTCCTGTTGTTGCTGTTGTTGCTGCTGCTGCTGTTGCTGTTGTTGTTGTTGTTGCTGCTGCTGCTGGAAGGGTGGCTGGACAGCCGGCGGGGCTTGTCCGCTAGCCGGATATGGAAGTCGTTGGCTTGCGGAAGGATGCTCAACAGGGGAATCATAAACAGATGTTCCTAGCTCTTGCGGGTGTTCATATGTTGATTCTGGTCGGTGATGCACGGGCTGATAGGATGCACCCGTTGGGGGTGTGCGGTTGCGTGGATCGGGAGACTGAGACGTTGGAGGGTGCATAGGCGCTTGATCTGCACCGTAGTAAGGGGATGTATTGGGCTGGTGTGATTGGGTTTCTTCTCATAACATTAGAACTATGTTTGCTGATATTATCCCGTGGCGATCACAAACCTTGAGGCCGAGGGCTGAAATATCTTTGGGGATCAGATTGCGGAGGGCCCTGGGGATAGCCCATGGATGCCGCAGGTCCGGGATATCCATACTGAGATGGACCAGGCCTGCCATACGGAGGCTGGGCGGGGTGGGACATGGATGCCTCCAGAAGAGATTCATAGTCCCGTCTCGCTTTAATGAACTTCTCATTGAGTTGGGTGAACTCATCTGGATATGCATCAGTTAAACGAACTGAAGCGGGGTTTCAGGCAAGTATACCTTTTTTCTGAGAATATTTGCCGATGAGCTCAATCAACTTAGGTCGAATTGCCAAAGTGGAGTGATACAGAGCTGTGATTTCCTCATTATCCTGAACGTTTGGTTCGGTACTACGCGTGCTGAGGAGTGTCAACAACTTCTCAACGTTCTTGATCTGGCCGAACACCTCGCCTTCCATATGAGCTTCCCGCTGTAATTCTTCAACTGTAGGGTCTGGAAGCTTTTCAACATAATTGAGGGGGAAAATGCCAGTTTGCCCTCTTAGAGAGCCCTTCCACCAATCCTTATACACTGACTCGAGCACTGCAATGACATCGCCTCTGCGGAATTGTAGTTCGCCGGGTTCTGAAGGCTGGAAGTCATAGAGCGCCCTAACTCGCGAGACAGTGGCAGCGGAAGTACCAGAAGGAACCGCCTGATGTGCTGGGGCTTGTGTCTGGCTGGCAGGGGCAGCATTAGAAGTACTCGATTCCGGCTGCGGTTCAGACGCCACAGGATTCTTTTCTCTGATCGAGAGGGCCAGCGCCATCTGCAACTCCTCCTCTTCTTTCTGACGATCCGCTTCGGTTATCTCTGTCTTCACAGGCTTTGAAGGGGGCTGCAGGTTCGGGTCTGCGCGATTAGGGCGTTAGTAATGAGTCCCATCAATGCGACACCACATCGTGACTTACTTTGTGTCTTTAGCTTCATGTAGGCTTGCTCCATGATGCCGAAGTCTGGGTTACTAGCAAACATCTCTGTCCACTCTTGCATACGCTCTAGAATCTTTGCTTTGACCTGCTGGTGGGTGTTCTGCCGGGGACGCTGTCAGAGCCTATGTCAGATGTAGGGCGGCGATGATACGTACTCGGTCACTAGCAAGGCGGAGCAGGGCATCCGTGAAGCTTCGCGAAGCCAGTTCGCGGTGTATCTTCGGGCCGCAGTTCTGTGCCAAAGCATTGCCCAGCTATGAGAAATGTGAGAATTTGTCCCTGGCATATTCTAAATGTTCTGGACGAGAGTGCGAACCTCCAAAGTATACAGTTGCACATTGGCGTTTCTATGCGCAAGTCTCTTGATCAAGGCGGCAACGGCATCTTTCGCACTATATCATAAACACATATTAACACAGATCCGTATAGATCCAGACCAAAGCCAAAGAGACAAAAAAAGCCAGACTCACCCGGAATCCTCTGCCGCAACTTTGTCGCACACATCCTATTAGACGAAGGCATCAGATAAGTACATCCAAATCCGATTGCGGTATACTGAAGTGGTAAAAAAAGCTCCCATACAAGAATATATTCCCAGTTCTCCGATGTCAGATTCTCGTCAGTCGCCTTGGCTAATTGCGCAAAAGAATTCATGTCAGCAAGCTCTAAAAAGCAACCGAACTTGTATCTCGCCCACAAATTGCATGGCGGGAGAGTAGCTGGGACATCGTACCGACTGCGTCATCGAAGGCGTTCTGCTGTGCGCGGAACATGATTGTTCTTCCTCAAGCTAACCTAACCGGCGGCGTAATGTCTGGATTGACGGTGACAGGTGGTCTAATCTTTCGTTGAAGAGAATACGAGGCTTGTGGTCGGCCTAGTGAATTTGATCGCCTGCAGGTATTGACTCGGCTAGAGATTAGCCACTGAACCCCCTGATGGCTTCCAGGTCCCTGATCAACGCCCAATGCGGGGAACCGGTTGACGGTATCGAGACGTAAGGCTGAGGTCGGCTGGTTGTTGAGCAGTGTCTATTGGCTTCGTGAAGATAACAAGGGGGAACAGACTCCCGCTAAGACTTGGAAGGGATCTCAGGAGAAACGAAGGAACGTGAAGATCTCGGGCATTCGGTGGAAGGCTGCAACTGATACTGCCTTACGGTCCTAGTAGTCGTACTAAACAGGTGATCGCACAGGCGGAGAACTGCGCCTCTGACGCTGACTGGCCGCGCGCGCTACGCCCGAATAAGCGAGTTCGGGCACCTCCCTACTAGTATGACGATATTACCAGCTATGACGGAAACTTATCAGGCAGGTACCAGCCCACACGGCATCCAATCCGTATGGTAGGATACGAAGGTTATCAGGACTCCCTAGGAAGATAACGTACAGAACAATTGCAAATTGTCATCCGTATTCGTTCCTTTCGCCTAGACTGGGATAAGTACGTACCCGAGTTATATACAAATGGCTAGCCAGTACCCAAAATTTGAAGTGGATGAAATTAAATGTTACCATGGCCGTACGGAGTACGTGCCCCGTAGCAGAGCAGAGCAGGCATGGCATTCCTGAGCTATTTAAAGTACGACTACCGTTCGCTGAGCTAGAGAGACCAGAACGCTGCGCAAAGAATAGAATACCTCACGAACCTGTAACATAAATATCGACGATTATTCAAACGGGATATACATACAGGGTCATTAGTTTTTCAGTCGCAGCCAAGTTCGGCTCATCATGAATGAACTGCGTTATAGGGGAGACACCGGGAAAAGATCACCCTCTTCGTATTTTAAATAATATCTAAACAGCCGGGATGTCGCTATTATGATGAGGATAAGTGAAAAAGAAGCCATATATTAAACCGGCAAGAGGCCCAGCCGTGCCTTCGTATGTGACGCTTATGTCTGGGTTATTCTTCCCAGGCATATGCTCATTCATTATGAAGGGTCATATCCCGCGAGCCCTAGCTTTCAATCCCGCCGGCCCAGAAATTAGAATTACCGGCCAATAACAATAAACGAAGGGAACCCCATATAGGATTTACAGTATTTTCCATCATCCCAAACATCGGTGATGATACAAATAAAAAGAGTGAGGTGTGTGAGGTAACATCATCACAGTAAGAGGATATATTCGAACGTGAGGTAAGGTGCGGAATTTTTTTTTCGTAAACCCTGTCACAGCAGGTAAGAAGGAAGCGCAAAGCCATCAATCATCGCCATCTATGAGATTTAGATCCAGAAGAGAAACACGGGCATGGGAGGTCATCATGAGAGATTGTGCCATTATGCAGCAGCATATCATGGCCCAGCAAGATATAAGAAAACATCAGGAGCAATGGGTATCTGGAGAAGACAGAAGACATCGACGTATATAGAGACAATTAAGTGCGAAGAAGCTCAATGACCCCCTTTTTGGGCTTTCTCCTGGGCCCTGCTGAGCCGTGCAGCTTTTACAAGGGGTGCTAAATGGGATAGAGGGGCACAAAAAGACATAAAAGGGTGCTTTGACAAGGAGTTAGCACAGCTTCCGTTAACTAGAGTCAAGAACATACCTTCAGCAAGTCATGGGCCGATGCTCTCTTTTCGGGATCGACCTTCAGTGCAAGGTGCAAGAAGTCTCGGAAAACCGGTGACAAGTTCTGTTCATCCTTGATCGTAGGGGTCCCGTTCGTTGCGATCAAGTATAGTGCCCGAAGAGGTGATTCGGTGAGGTACGGAGGCTCACCCTCGATCATCTCGATAGCCATAATTCCCAAGCTCCAAATATCAACTTTTCGACCATACTCTTTTCTCGTAACGACTTCCGGGGCCATCCAGTACGGGGTGCCGACCATCGTGTTTCGCTTGTTGTGCGAGTCGTTGATTTGGGCGCAGAATCCAAAATCGGCTATATGAGGTTAGAATATATAGAGCGAAAAATGAACCAGGAGTCCTACTCAATTTTATATTGCCATCCAATGCCAGGAGAATGTTGTCTGACTTGATATCACGATGGATTACGCCTTTGGAGTGAAGGTGTTGTAGACCACTCAGAGTCTTCACGGGAAATGGTCAGGATCCGGGTCACATGTAAATAAGTATATTTTGGGAAACTTACTTCTCGGCAGACGGCAGCAATCTGCCCTTCACTCATGATATTGAAAGTGACCACATCGGTAAGGCTGCCACCTTCCATATATTCCATAACCACCCAGAGATCTAGGCCATGAAGATAACTGTCCAAGAAATTGACTATGTTCTTGTGCTTGCTGTCTTTCATGACGATAATCTCATTTATAATAAGATCCTTCTTCGGCTGCAGATCAAGGTTCATTTGCTTGATGGCAACACAACTGCCTGTTCCATTGTGGTACGCGGTGAATACGCCACCAGAAGCACCCTGGCCAATCTTGTTCAGGTTGTGGTACATCTTAGTTGGATCGCCAGGAGTGCAAATGGCGACCAGTCTTGACCGTATATCCATAGCATTGCTCTGGCGAGCTCGTTGCCGTGGGCGAGCAGCGGGAACGGCACGAGCGCTTTGCTGATGCGCAGCAGATGGATCCTCCACAGGCGACACCTGTTGTGGAATTGGTTGCGTTGCTTGTTTTTGTTTTGGCTGCTGTGCCTGCTGCTGGCGGAGGCTTTGACTGCGGTCAAGTTGCTTGCTTGCAATTGCCTGCTGGGCTGTGGCCATTGCCTGCTCCTGTTGTTGTTGGTACTGTGTTGGCGTGGAGGCCACCGCTGGTGATACCCATGGAGTAACTGCGCTGTTAGCCTTAGAGTTTGATCTGCTCAGCTGCGGCCCAGACGGTAAGGGCTCGGATTCCGGTATGGGCGGTGTGCCGAAGGGCTGTGCATTCTCCGGGATCGTTCCAAACTGAGGCCAGGGATCCTGTGCTGGTCTTGTCGTAGCGTATGAGGCAGTAGTTGGAGGCTGAGGAGCAGGGCGGGCGGGCGTCATATTAGTGGCAGCTGGGGGTCTTGGAGGGGCCCGGTTGGGTACAAGGCCACCAGCAGGGGGTGACATAGCCTGGGTTGCTGCTGGAGCAGCCCTGGGGATCGGAGGTGGCGCTCTTGGGTTTTCAAAACTCCCCTCATGATTTTGTGGGAAACGTGGGCTTGTGGGAGATGAGGCTCGCTGGCCCACAGTGCCATAGGGAGTCGAGCCTCCAGAGCTGGGCTGCGACGAGGAAGTGGTAACTGGTTGATGATGGGCATATGCATGGTCAAACTTGTGCCAGACCTCATCGTCTCCTTGCGCATTCTTCTCGTAGAATCTCATAATATCAACCATAGTTTGCGGGTGTTCTTCCTGCTCCTTCTTTGAGATGCCGCTTTCCTGTAACAGCCGTTGCCATTCTTTAGGCAGTCCCGTGAACTGCCCCGTCTGGTTATCGTAGCCAACATGTGTGACATGGACGGGATTCTCCGGTGCAGATATCTTAATACCACGAGGAGAACCTAGCATGCTGTTGACGAAGCTGGAGAAGCTGGCCTTCTTACTTCGCCCAACCGGTTTGGTACCATTTCCCTCATCGGAATATCGCTTAGTATTCGTCGAGCGATCGCTATCCGTTCTATTTACTAGGGCATCCATACGGTTGTGTAGAGCGGTGAAGCTAGCGGATTGTCTAAGTCCTCGAGTGTCGGGGGCTGTCTGAGACCGCAACGTCGGAGGTTTCTGGATTGGTTGTCTGTCGGACTCGGCAGTATTTTCTTGCAAAGCACTTAGCATACCCCGTGAATCAAACGGGGCACCGATCAATTCATCTGAGCTTTGATCGTTGAGTGAAAACCGTCCCGAGTGGGGCGGGCGGGATTTGGTGGTGTTGTGGTTACCAGAAAAATAGCCAGATTCGTTGTTTGCAAGAACTGGAGATGGCCCACCACTGTTCTGATCCAGAGAGGATGTAGAAGAGCCGTATGCGTTGGATCTCGTGCGCGAATGTTCGCGGCTTCTGCTGGCAGAAGAACGCGGATACACGGGCGCTGAGGGGTGTCGTTTAAGTGACGTGTTGCTCTGCTGACTCTTAAGCATGCGGGAACCGATACTAGGAGGGTCCTTGTGAAGCTTGCTTGACGGTCGTCGAAATTTGAGGGAAGAAAAACTATCGTGATTCATGACGTGTGGATTTTAGGGGGGGTGTTCCAGCAGGTCGGGCGGTTTGGTGGTCGCAGGGTAAGTGCCGCTAGGCTCAATGTTGGGCTTGATTGGAGGGACTGGAGGGGGGGAAAGCCACCTGTGGTGAGGCGGTGCTTTCTGGCTGGGCAGCCCAGTCTGTCAATATCGATTGTGGAACTAGGTACTTCGGGGGGTGCGTGATGGTGTATGGTAGGATGTGTCCACTGAGAGGAAGGTTGTCGTTGGAGCAATGAGGGGATCGGGGATGCAAGAAGATCCAGATAGCGATGCAAGGGAGGCGCGAAAAGAAGCTGCCGCGGGCTACCGTCAACCAGTGGTTAGCACGTGGAGAGCCGCTCGCTGGATGGATCAGAAACCAAAGTGTCCAAACGATTAATTTGATAAAGTAGACTTTAAAGGCGGTGACGGGCTATCAACTCCGAGAGGGAAGCATGAAAGGGGGACCCAAAAAAAAAGAAGAGAGAGAATAAAATAAAAAATAATATATAATGAAATGGGCAAATTTATGAATGGAGAATAAAAAGCAAGAAAATAAAAAGAGATGTATGTGATTAACCGACAGCTCAGCACACAGACCTGCAACCCATGGGGTGGTGGAAAGGCTGGAAAGGGTAAAAACAAAAAAGGAAAAAGGAAAAAGAAAAAGCAATAACAATGATATGACAGTGACAATTCGAAGAGGAGAGTACGGAGAATAATTAATCAACCTCAGTTGGGGAACCAGTGATTTAGTTAGATTGGAGGCTGGGCCAGCTACGGGGGACAAGCGAGTGCCAAACGGCCCGTCCAGCGTCATTACTTGCAATAATAATATTATTAACAACGGTACATGCAGCACTTATGGGGAAGGATAATTTCCTTTCACGGGCCAGCCACTGGGGTTGTTGACTTGGCTTGATCTCATTGTCACTGTTGACAAAAAAAATAAGAAGAAGAATAAGGGCGGTCAAAGGATTAATGCTATTTAACTTTGTATGATCCGTAGTTATTTATTGATTTTTTATTTATTTATTGATTGATTTTTATTTTTATTGTTTCTATTATCTTTTCTTCCGATCCTTCTATAGGATCGTTGCATAGCGAACCCCGTGATTGGTACTTTTGGTATGATACATACGAGAACTACTCGGCACAGAGGTGGTTGCAAATTCCTGGCACCTACTTGCTCGTAAATACTTGGAAAGCCCGTCACTTTGTACTAGGGCATACATCATCTGTCTCAGATCATCCATCCTCTAAGCAAAAAGAAAAAATTCTAGACACCTGTTAGACTCGGTTGCAATGGGGTCGTTGACTCGTTGGACCCAAACTGCTCCCAGACAACCACCCTCACTTTTGGGAAATTACAATCCGAGTCCACACGGTCTGTTAGTCGGAGAAGATATCCTTCAGATCAGTGTGGCACCATTTTTATTTTATTTTATCCATGATCCCCCCTTTCCATTTTCAAGGCATGCCGGTACGTAAAGTGGTTTAATTTATCTCAATCGACCTTCTCCGATCGTGCTCCAACCTAAATCTCGAGGCACAATATGAAGCTAACATCCTTCGAAACATTCTTGAGGTTGGGTGTCCGGTGGAAGCTCCACTTTGGAAGGCGGGGCTAAAGTTCCTTGACACGGTCGGCCTATGGTTGGATAGAATGTTCCAACCCGTCAACCAGACTTTCCCTGAACCATAATTCGAATGACATATTTACCAACCCGAGCTTCAACTCACATCTCCGGGATTGGTTCGGTTGGGATCAGATAGCGCCTTAATTTCCACCGTCTCGACTGCCGGAGACAATCACCGTCTTACCATATTGCTTATTATTCTCGATACGGTCTTTTCTGATACTGTGTAGCCCTAATCAGCAATCTAGAAAATCGAGAAGGGCAATTTAGTGGATCTTCACACCTCGGGAGCTCAGGTCTCTTCTTCCTCCACCCACCAACAAAGTTAATTAGAGAGAGTACCACGCAAACCAAATACTAAATAAAAAATTAAAATTACGCAGTAAGAAGACAAAAAAAGGGAGGAGCAGTGAAAGAAGGAAGACGTAATACTGCTGTGAACCTTCTGCCCAACCGTTTTGCTCTCCGGCCTCAAAGTTCTGTACATGTTATCCTGCAGGTACAGTGCCAACTACTACCAACACCATCCTCGGTCGACCGGATGAGCAAATTTCTACTCGTTCCCTGCAGTCAGAACACAGCCCAGCCAAGTCGCACAAACGTTTCTCATTCCCGACTAGTCAGGAAGTTAGTCTATCTAAGCCAACTCCCAGGTATATTGCAGTCCCTGTGGGCTATCATATGTGACTGGTAGTCGGTTAGAGTCTTCCAGAAACGCGGGACGATACAGCCAGTGCCGCCGGTAGACGATCCTTACGGTGTACGATACCCCCAGAGCATGCTCATGGGTTATCTTAAGAACTCCACTTGTATGAATCATGAGTTTCTTTTTCGTTTTTTCCTTTGGCCTTGCTATATCGTAGCAAACGCAGTAATACGAATAGGCTCTGTCCGATTCAATCAATTTGCGACCTGTGGCTGTCGTGCTAGCCCCAGAACAGACTCTTAGGGAAAGTGCCAGGACATTTGTTCTGCTGAGTCATTCGACATAATCGCACGTGATCATTCTCATGGAAAGGAGACTCCAATGAAGCTATACTAGGTACAGACTATACACTTCCAGAAAGGGTGATATTGTGCCAAATCCACCGAATGCATGCGATCATGTTAGTTCCGAGGCTCTTCCCAACTAACCATATCCCAATCAGTCTAGGATACAGAGTGCATTACCTATAAACATCCACCCACTTTGCTATCTGCGGGTCAGCTAGTAGCTATGTTCTTTGCTATGGGTATGGGCACATTGCCTGATTCTGATTTATCTGATTTAGTAGGTAGTATTCCTTTCACTGTCCCAGAGAAGCTCTATGATAATACCTGCCCGATAGGTTCATTATTTTGCGCGCTCTCTATAGTCCATCGTAATCTCGTGAAATTGAATATATATTGCCAGTATGCGCATCACTTCCCAAAGACGAAACGTCTGGATATTGGATCGTCATAACTGGCCCTTTATGTTGGATCAAACTAACTATTAATATTTAGACCTTGTGCAATTGCAGTTATATACAAATTGAATTACAGCTTCCCATTAGTTGGTTCGCAGCCCGGTCTGGAGAATTCTCTACCATAAGCCCACTTAAACTACCTTTTCTCCATTTTAAAACTCCTCGTCTGAGGTAAAAATAAAGCGAGACAAATACGTAACTCTGAGATGTTGGCCTTCGCATTGCGATTTTTTTCAGCCATACCTAAACTCTAACTTTCCATTAACACCCTTGCCAGCGGACTATCTGCACACGAGGATACTCTAGGTTCGGCCCGCTGCATGAAAGGAGCTATCGCCCAATATACTTCAACTCCAACTTCCTCAACGGTATATACGAAACACTCGTGAAAACCAATGCTAGCTCATTGGCTATGTCTCCCCCATCCGCACCGATCAATTTTACGATAGCACCGACATAATATGTCTCAACCATGCCTACGATCCATCCCGCAGCGCCGCACAGAAAGGCAGCGAGGCCCGCGAGCCCAATAGGCATCTTCGACGGCATATTCCAGGCATCAAGGTCGTAGTTTGCTACATTGCCGCCCCGGAAAACGTAGTGTTCGCAGAACAATATGACGAAAAATGAGGTGTTCCAATAGCCCAGCAAGGAGAGGAAATTCTCCAGTACGTCTAGCAAGTGATCTCGGCCGGCGATGCCCAGGGCCAGGATACAACCGAAGACAAGAGTAGACCAGATCGCCCTGGGGACCTTTTCGCACGGCTTGGCGAAGAGCTGAGCTGAGAGTGCGCCAGAGTAGATGGCGATGCAGTTGACACCAACTGTACAAGAAAAACGTCAGTGTGAAACCTTTTTTTTTAATATATAGTATAGCTGAGTGTGGGTTATACTATGGTTCACTTACTTCCGGAAAGGACTAGAAGAACCAATAGAAATTTGGCGAATCCGTTGGGATAGATGATTTCTTGTAAGATTTCCCCAATTCCATTGTCATAGGCAGCAGCCCATTCTGGATTTGTATCTAAGGCTGAGCTGATACAGGCTCCAAGTAGCATTCCAATGCAGGTTGGGATCGTGATTCCGAGGGTGGTGTAGAGGAATACTTTAACTTTAGAAATATTCACCGGGTAGTGCACGTAGAAGTCCGAGACGATCGAGCTCCAAGATGCACTTGAGCCATACACGACGCTGATTAGACTGAGGACATTCCCAGATCTTGTCATACCCGATACCGTTGCAGGTGCAGCAAGATTTGCCCGATGTGCTGACTCGCCGTAGATAATCATGAAAATGACGAAGAACACCATCCATGCATATTGCTCGTACATGAGAACGCCTTTCAGTCCGATAAAGCTGAAAAGAAAACTGATGCATGCGACAATGACTACTCCTACGGCGATCGAGACACGACCGTCCGAAACAGCACTCAATGCGAGACCGCCAGTAATGCAATTAACGGATGCCCACCCTAGCTGTTCAATGACGTTTAAAAGAGCAATGATAGACGACGGGTAAAATCCTAATGAGTACCTCGAAATGGCGACCTGACGGAGACCGGTCTCAGGACCCATCGTCGCACACCAACCCTGTAGATAAATGTAAGCTTTCAGATACCAGAAACATCAGAATCCTTTATAAGGTATGAAGAATAGGAAAAGGTATCCGAACCGTCACAGCGGCACCCAGTAACGTTGAACATATTATGATAGGAATGGTCTGCCCCAAAGATAAGCCGAATTGCTTTCCCAAGAATCCGGTACTGAAGCAGCTGATGTTCATTGTCGCAGACGCCCACATAAAAGCCATCGCTAGCGAATTGGGAGGATTGCGGCCTTCAGGGAGCACCCTGTCGAGACTGTGGGACTCAATACCCAACTTCTTATCCAAATATTCCTCATAGTATCTGATTCGGGCCAAGAGTCCTCGTGGCTTCGTAGGGGTCTCTTCCTCGAATGGCGCGGAAGAAAGCCCAGCCTGAGCTTCTTTCCCAGCTTCAAGGGTGTAAGTCTCCATAATACGAGTGGCTATGCACTGACCTGCATAATATGAAGAGTCTCAGGCAAAAACATTTGACTTGAATGGCCGAGCCGTGTATTTATGAAATCGAGCTCTTATGGTGCTAAGCTCGAGCTAAAGTAGGGGTATAGCCCTCATTCGCTGTGGTAGAATCCTTTTATCTTCAATTTTCCCGGTAGCGCCACTCATGTGTGGAACGGAAGTTCTCTTATCAAGGTCATATGTTCTTCTTCAGTTTAGCTCAATGCTGGAGGGGTCAAAGTGCAGAGAGCAGACTACACATTCCAGAAGAACAAGGGTAAGTATTCATTGACCCACGCTCTTTGATAGTAAGATATTTTAATTTACTGGTGTCAATAAGCACTGTTTTTGCATTTATTTTCCATTAAAGCAGACCATTCGAGCCGTAATCCAGGAAAAATTTGCGAAAATGCGTATCTCAATCAAGCTTTGGGTCCACTTCGGCCCAAGCTTAGCCTGTGCCTTTTACAAGGGTGGTGGGGTCGGATGTCCGAACCTTCGCTAGTCCTTTAAATGTGTAGAGTTAGTAGCCCTTGAACCCAGTCATTCTTAACTTGATACAATATACGCCAGTCTCATTGCCTATCCTTTGAACTATGTCTCAGGGTTTTTGCAACAAACAATATGTGTCAGCCTTCCGCCAGATATGGCCTTTTGAAGTAACTATATCTTTTTTTTTTCTTTTCTTTCTCCCCCAACACACCTTCTCCGTTGGCCTGTAAACGCCTTCATCGCCCAATGCCTTGGTTAAATTATCAATATGAACCATGGAACCTTCATCATTAGGGCTAAAATTAGTTCTTTTTAAACTCAAGGCGTAACATGTGTCTTGAACCGATATTAGGATGCACACTTTTGTTTAGATTCTAGACGCCTACTATAGCCCAGTGTTTTTCATGCACCTTCTACTCTCTTCGATACTTTTTTGCCAGATCTCCAGATCTACCTACTATATTTGTATTTTAGCAATATAGGCTCAATTAGATAAATCCTTTGCAGCAGTTTGATATACAAACTCAGACTTCGATGACCGTTGCTGATGATTATTTGGGTTGAAAGCTCAAGTTAGGGTTAGTACTAGGAATACTTGAGGTAGCCATGACATTGATTTGTCGTAGGGTTTAGAACTATATCGACTGAAGATGATGTGTGCTACACCTAGTAAGCCACACATTAATTGTCGCCAACTGAAAAGAAAGGGGGTCAGTTCTCGTTCACCTAGCATATGAAGTTCTATGTTTATTGGGATATATCCGGATGCAGTGCAAGACAAGGACTAACCAAGTATATCGAATCGTATACTTCCAAGGCCTCAATGATGGAGTATGGCGCGCTGCTCCTCTATCAGCAGATGTATTGCTTGTCAATTTGCGGATCTCGTGCGTCAAAAGCTTAATTTGAACAAGAATCAAGGTCGATGACATATCACAGGCCGGAGTGATGGGTATTGATGAGGTCCTAAAGAACGACTGAAGGTAGGGCTAGATGTTCTAAGACAAAATTTACCTGCATATGTCTGCTTGTGGATTTTGCCTCGCCAGACGGGGCTTCGTGAGGATATATATAGAAGCAATGTACTGGCATTTTGCTTCTTCTCTTATACTTGTGGTTCGATATATCGATTGACAAAGCCGGCTGGTTATGAGCAAAGTTAGTAAATAAATAAGTATTATGATTAGCGTTCTCGGCACTCTAGTGTGTACTGATAGATCAACTACTTTTCCGAGTCGAGACATTCGGGTGGACTTCAAGAACTTGACAAGAGATTAGGAAAAGAACAATAGAAAGAAAATACATCAATACCACTCCCGATATAACTAACTAGTCGCCGTACATTATTCAGCAGAAAATTCAAGCAAGAAGCTATTGTCTGTTCAATTTATACCATCTAACCTACACCTTATATGTCAATATACGCGCATGGATACTGAGCACCTTGTACAGCTATGGTAACGCTTTAATGTATAATTCGGGTTGGTAGTAGACATATCTCAAATAGGATTGGCTTAGTCCCAAGTTAAAAGTGATTGAATAATTGATCCTTGAGATTACTGCCGATACAAGTCAAGCTGAAAGAAACTTTTGGTGGCAAGGCTCGTGGTGACATTGCTATCACAATAGCTACATGCTATCGCCCTTTCCATAGAGCCTGGATATGATTACAACTGTTTAACTAGCAGTGCAAGGGAGAAAATGAAGGTAGTTTTTAGGTGCTGATCATCGCGGTGAAGTACTGGGCAGGTTGAGGCTCCGAACGGCAGTGGATGGCTGATGGTTCGGCTCCGCCGTCGAATCGCCCAAAGAGGAATAAGCACACCCCGGTCTCTGGTCTCCGACCACTCGGACTGTCTTGTCTGTCCTCTTCGCTCTTCTTCCTCCATCGTCACCACGCCAATTTATTATCATTCCTTCTTTGTCAACGGTCGATTTCCGACACCTTCACCCCCCATCCTCTCTTCCCTCTCCCTTATCCTACCTCCCTTCTCTCCGCTTCCGCGGAATTTCTCCTCAATTCCTCTTCACTCTTCTTTTTAATCCTGTTATGCACTGATTATATCTTAATCTCAGCCGTCATTTCTTATTGCCCACCTGCGGAAATTTTGAGTTGTCAACCTCAGTGACAATTTACCGTCAATTTCTCATTCTTATAGTGCTGTTTCAACTTGAACAGCATCTTTCCATTGTTTCTAGGGTTCTGGGTATGATTGACGGACAGCCTAATATATCTCAAGCTCTGATCAATTGATGAAATAGTGCCTTAGGTTAATCCGCCTTCCACCCTCCCCACTGCAAATAAACCATATATCTATTATTCCGAGGTCAAGCAGTTTTAATTACGGTTCCCGGCAGAATGGCTTCTGATCTGTCTAATGCCGACGTTAACGGCGGAATCCCCAAATCCCGGGCTGCTATCTTAGAAGAACAGCATGCACGTGATGAGGTCCATAATCCGACTGTGGAGGATGTCATCGATGAAGAAGACCTGAAACACCCTCCCCCATCGTCTTCAGTGCAGGACCAGAAGGCGGATGCCCCAGCGCAGAGCTCGGCCCCTACGGAAGCCCCCGCCCCTAAGGTTGCCCCTAAGAAGACGCCCGCCTTTGATGTACAATCGGAGGAGTTGTTCCCTGCCCTGGGAAGTGGCCCGAAGCCCAAAGCACCTGCTGCATCTGCATGGGGGGCTAGAGGGCCTTCAGCAGCTGCCGCCGTCGCCAACGGCGTTCCTGGTGGTTCCCCGGCGGGTAGGTTTTCCAACACTCGTGCTCAATCATCTGGACTTAGCTGACCAGCCGTAAAATAGCACAAGGGCCCCGCATAATGAGCCTTCCTGGCAAGCACGTCGAGCAGCTCCGACTGGCGCCGTCCCAGATGATGCCTCGAGGACAATTGAAGAAGCCTTTGCGGGATATTTTGCGGGATATCTCGAGGCGGTCGAAGGCCAACGTTGACATGCGAGGTGGCCCCGGTGGCTCTATAATCTTTGAAGGCAAGGGCTCAGTAGATGCCGTCAGACAAGCTCTGAAGGAGGTTGCACAACAAGTCGGCTCCAAGGTATGTTTCTGATCGTTTTAATTTCGGACTGGATTGGATTAACTTTTGAATTCAGCAATCGGTTCGTGTCCCGATTCCTACTTCTGCCCGTCCTCATATTATCGGTAGACAAGGTGCTGTTGTGCAGGATATGCAGCAGCGGACGGGTGCACGTGTGCAGGTTCCCCGCGTCGATGAATCTGCGGGACAGGTCGAGGACGATGAGGATACCATTGATGTCCTCATTGAGGGCGATGCTGTTGCAGCTGAAATGGCTCGCCGGGAAATTGAGGCCATTGTGAAGGAGAGAGCTTCTAACATGAGTCTGCGGCTCAAGTCTATCCCTCCTGAATTCTTTCCTTTCATCGCGGGAGCGCATAACGCGAATCTTAGAGATATCGAGCAGCGCACCAATGCCCAAGTGCACATTCCTCGGTACGATACATGGCAAAGCCAACCTCCACCTCAGGAGGCTGATCCGGGTCATGTTCAGTTCGTGGCAGTCCCTGAAAAGCACATCCATATCAGCGGGGAGCGTGCTGCAGCCCAGGAAGCTCGTGCAGAAATTGAGAGACTTGCTGCTGATCTCCAGCGCCAGTTGACTCTTCGTCAACTAGCTATCAACCGTGGCCAGCATCAATTTATCCTTGGTGATAACGCTGATGCTTTGCATGAGTTCCTTGCTGACACTGGTTGTGCGATCGTTCTTCCACCTGCGTCGGATGACAGCGAATTCCTTACGATTACTGGTCCATTGGACTCTATTGAGAATGGTATCAACCGGGCCATGGATCTTGCCACGAGTATGCAGATGGCAAGCATCGACCTGTCACGTCAGCACCCGAATGCTCCCAGTGGAGCCCACGCCCATGCGCGTGCCCTTACTCGCTACCTGAGGCAGCGACAGATCATCAAAGAACTAGAGAGCATGTACGACGCTCGTATCGCACTCCCCCCAAGTTCTGATGGCCCGGTTACCTGGGAGGTTTACTCTAGAGACGGCAAAAACACTATTCGTGCGCGGTCCGATATTATAAATCTTGTTCATGCTCATCCTCCAGCCAGGCTTCGCCACATTTCTGTTGACCCTTATTTCCACCCGTACATTCGGTCTCGGGCTATCCCGAAACTACAGGAGGAGTATGGCGTCCACGTTCTCACTCCCGAAGAGCTTGATTGTCCAGACGTAGTACTTGTTTACGAAGGGCCGTCAGCCACTGCTTCTCAATTCGAAGTTCCGCGTCAGCGGCCAACTGCTGCTGAACTCGCCGCCTTTGAAAAGACTCTCCAAGAAGCTCAGGAGTATCTCTCTAGCGCACTGGGTGATCAGAATGATATCGTCGCAAAGTCTGTGAAGGTGCCAACCAAGTATCAAGAGAAGGTTAGGAAGTTTATTGCTCGTGAAGAGCAGGCGAAGGGTGAGGATTCGATACCTGTTCGTGCTC